TGGAAGCAGTTAGACTCTTCTTATTAAAGGTATCATTTATTAGTTATTAATATTTAAACTGTTAATAAAAATGTTGTCCATCTCACAAAAAATCAGTTTCATTAATTTCCATACAATTTGTAGTGTTAATGAGTCAATGATAAATTTTATTGTATAAATACTACTTGCACGGTTAAAAAATGTATGCGTGTAAAAAAGCTAAACGTCTTAGAGTCAACGACCATAACAAAAAAATAGATCTCAGTATGCTAACCCCAAGTCTTCATCAGTTTGTAGTTTTTTAATATTAATTATTATTTAAATCTTAGTGTATTCGTTCTTTTCTTATGTTATCAAATGAAAAAAGTGAACATGTTCTAAGGATACTGTTCAATAAACTATTGCTAATCATTCAAAGGAATTTAACATGTCGGTTTTTTGTAACTTCTTTTTTGGAACTATAGAAGTTATCCTTATATGTATTTATATATTACTATTTCGTTTAATGCACTAGAATCTTGCTAGAAATACGGTTATTTTGAATTTTACCATGAATATGTTTCTTAAGTAAAATTTATTTAAATTCCAATGGGTTTGAATGATTCAAAAAGAAATTAAGCAAAGTTCCAGTTTTTAGACAATTATTCCTCTCTAATCGACATCTTAGTAAAAAAAATGTAGTTGCCAAAATATCAAAATGAAAACACAAAAGGCACCGCCCGTAAAATATTATTTTGTTTGTAACAAACATATCATTTAAAATGCTTATAAAAGTTTTGGCTTAAAATAAGATTTCAATATCATTGTTACATTAATCAATATCTCAAAAACAAAGTCAGAGCTATTAAATTAAATCCTTTATTAAAAATAAAATATTAATCCTTCAGTCTTCCACATCAGTAACTTCGCATAAATTTTCAAGAAACATTGGTGAGGTTAATTGGTTAATTAAAAATTAAAACTAAGATTATCGGATAAGATATGAATCATCGCGTCTGCCAATGATCACGATTGCTGCAAAGTTACCGAAACGTAGTATGTAGTTTAAAACAATAAAAAAAAAGCGATAATATCCAAAAATATTAGTTTTATTTGAATAAATACTCGCCAAAATCTTAGATATTATTCTTACTTCATTTTTTTAAGCGATGAACAGTTATTAGTTCTCAGAATTGCTGCCTAGATTATATAATTACAGAGTCCGTTAGACCAAATCAACATTACTTCAAGTTTTTGTTAGACCTCGTGATTTTTTCTGCCGCATTTGTAATTTCACGCACGTTTCTCAAATAACATGTGTAAAAGAACAACTATTTAATCAATATATAGATTGAAAATTTTATATGCTTATTTGAAATAAAAAAATAATTTTAGTACATATTATTGATTATTAATTTTTACGTATTTTGTTTTCAGATAATCTTAGTAGCCATAATGGTTAACGTCATGGCAGATTCTCAATATAAAACTATATCTTTGTCACATTCGACAAACCAGGACAGAACTCCCATGAATTCTTATTCCGCTGCACAGAAAAGAAACTGGATTCAAAGATCAAGTACCATAGAAATGTACAAAAATATGCCTCCATATTTGGTACTCAACAAGAAAACTGGGTCCTACCATCCCTACTACAAATTTCCTAGTTTGAGACGTATGGCAACACTGGAACGACAATGGAATACCTATAAACATAATGGCGCTTTACAACAAAGGAATCGAAAATCTTAACAATTTGAACATCTGAGCTATGAATATAGGTTATAATTCAGCATTATGTACTGTATATAATAGTTATAAGTCTAATTTATGTAATTTATTAAACACTACATTTACAGTGGTAGCATTATTTTACAAAGCATATAAGGTAATTAAAAATATCTGCACTTAGTGAAGCTCGTAAAATAATGTTGTAAAAATTATTATCTTACTTATTATATACGGAAAACAAATAATACATACAATAACTAAAGAACTAAGGTTGTGGGAATAACAACCAAGCCAAAGTTATAACCTTACAGTTTTAATAACACAGTATTACTTTATTGCATTCATTTTAATTTTCATAATATCAACACAAAAAATCTCATAATGAAATCAATTTATGATTATTTCTTAAAAATTATTTTTTTAGAAATAAAATTAATATGTAAACAATAAGAAAGATTTCTTGAAATAATAATAAATAATTGAAAGATATCGCGATAGTTTTGAAACCTGTTGATAGTCATTGCTCAGGTTTAAAATTATTATGCTTTGAGGTGGTGTGATATAAATTGGCCTCGAAAAACTTTATTGCTTAAAACAAGGATAATAAAACGAGATCCTCATCGAAATCCTATTTTACAGAAAATCTATAACTTTAGAGATAACACACAAAATACGATTATACCTACAAAAAATATGTTGACTAGAATTTTGTATTTTAGAAAAAAATACAAGGAAAATACGTTATAACGTCATAATACAGAAATTAATTAAATTCTGAATTAACTAGCTTATTTATCACGTTATCACGGTATTAGTAAAAAAATCATAAAAAAAATCCATTACCAACCAAATGACTTTGAAATATCCAATTCCAATGATAGTTTTATAACGTGTATTCGTATAACGATTTTATGATTTTTAAAGTTCTTATAATAATTGGAAGGGAATTGAAAAGAAATAAGTCAATATCGTACTTTTTAGTTGTAATTATTAAGTAAAATCATCTATTTAAACCATGTGTTTGAACATACAATAGTTAATTAAGCATATATTATATATACTATATATATAATATATGCTATTGTTATTGTTGTTATTAACTAAACGAAATAAAAGATATCCTTTATAGTGTTTACATTGATGTATATATACAATAACAAAATATATCAACTATAGATACCTCAAACTTATTTACAAAATTCAAACAGGTTCTCCCTAGCAACATTTTTACGATCTTATGTTTTCTTTTTAAATATTCTAAAAGCATTCGAGAAACACTTCATAATATTTGTATCTTCCACATAATTAACCTTCATGTGAACTGTATTTATTATTTCCTTTTTCTACATTCGTTATCATATATAAACCAATAATTTAATAAAATAATACTCCACCATTATAGGTACAATTTAATTGGATGTAATTAATTTTACCTGAGAGTCATTTTACGTATAACCTGATTTCTATTAACAGCAAAATCCCCGTTCCCAGTTTAAACAAGTAAAACGAGGAAAAATGTTGTTTACATTTTTATATAAATAAAAAAAAATGATAAGTCTCTTGAATATATCACATAATTACATTATTTTTCCTTAAAACATAAATTAATAATCAATAAATTGGTTTATTTAACAAAAATACCTTATCTAGTTAAAAGCTTGAGGAGATTTAATTTTAATGATTTCATGATTTGAATTGGACAGACCTTGAAATGTAATTGAACCCATGTTCAAGGGTCCATTTTAACGCTACGACAAAATCTTTTCTCTAATAAAGTTCAATTTAAAAAATATATATTTTAAATTTAGTTTATATTGAACCTTAAACATAAAGTCCCTAAAAGCTATAATTGAAATCGAAATATTTTTCTAAATACCTAAGTAATATAGTAAATAATAATATATATTAATTAAAAGAATAACAAGTTTTATAAGATTGTTTATATTATTAGCATAACCTGACTCACAGCTTTAGGCAAGTGAAACACAAAATCCTTTACGAGTTACTGTTCGACTACAAAATAAGACAAAACATAGAATAACTATTTCATATATATTTTTTACCGACTTTCATACATACACATTATAAATGAATATTCATTTAGGTGCTAATTGTATATTATAATATCTAATGTAATTTCTAAATAAATATCCTAATTAAATTGTTCCTATTCTTGGTGATCAACATACTAAAATTATCTTTTACTTTACTTTATTTTGACCAAAATACAACATTTTTTTTATAAATTAAAGATAATTATCATTTTAAATATAAATTAAAAGGTGAATCTGACAGACATTTCGACGCAGGGCTCAAACTAAAGGGGTTAGATATTTGAAATTTTGCACAGGAATTTTCTGTAACAGGGGCATTAAGAAAGGTTTTTTTTAATTAAGCCTCTAAGGACGTTAAACGGGAACACAAATTCAATATACTTTGCCGATTTTCATGTTATAGTAAAAATAAAAACCAGCTTCAAGATTCTTTACAAAAGTCTTGAAAAATAGGTAAAAAAAATTGTAAATCATATCCAAAAATGTATACTTATTGTAAATGATAAGAAATACTCTGACTTATTTGAATAAAATATCTAAGTTATTTGAATTAAATGTTGTTTTCTTGTTATGAGTTCCAAATAACACATTTCCAAGTTACACCGTCCCAAGTTACACCCCTTTAGTGAATTCAATCATTCCAGGGGATCCAAATCTAGTTAACAATAAATTAAAATATAAATTAATTTCGAACTTCCTCTTTCATTTACATAGACATTTTTAATAGAATATTTTTATGAACATTGAATTGGTTTCTTAAAATTAGACTAAAAACAACAACTATTACAAAATTTAAAACTTTTGTTGCGAACCGTAACACGAGGGACAGCGAAGATCAAAAAGCTAGTGGTTGTATGAGGTCACTCTAGTATATAAGACGCGAATGGGAATCGTCTTCACAACTTACAAGTTAACCTGTGTGCTCGCTTGTGAATATGGCTAAATTACTGGTAAGCGAATTATCAAATGTATTGAAGATTTTTTTGTATTATAAATTTATTTATTGTTCTATGAATTTTTATACAAGAATTCTTTGTTGAAGTAACTTTAATGTGTACGATAATTCTCGTTCCAGATCGTTGCGTTAGCGCTCGTCGCTGTGGCTGCAGCATACCCAGGTAATTGAAGTTATAAGAATAATTTAGAGACTAAGTTACTTGAAATTTGTAAATTTCACAAAATATTTTTTATTCGGAATATAAGTTTAATTCAAAAAATCCCGAAACAGGTTACGGAGGTGGACAAGTCCATGGCGGTTCAGGTGGTTTTGGAGGCCATGGAAGCCACGGAAGTGAAGAGGTTGAAGGTGTCTTTGGAAAACCCGAAGGCGGACACGGTCAAGGAAGTCATGGTAACTTCGGAGGGTCTGTGAGTGGACATGGTAGCCACGGTGAAGGAAACTTTGGAGGACATGGCCATGGTAGCCACGGTGAAGGAAGCTTCGGAGGACATGGTCATGGTAGCCACGGTGAAGGAAGCTTCGGAGGACATGGTCATGGTAGCCACAGCGAAGGAAACTTCGGAGGACATGAAAGCGGACACGGACACGGCCAAAGCCACGGAAGCAGTCACGGCCACGGCAGCTATGATCACGGACATGGTGACTTCGGAGGACATGGACATGGTGACTTCGATAGTCATGAAGACGGCTTCAACTTCGAAGGGAGCCACGGTCATCATGGTGACTTCGATGGACACGGACATGGCAGCCATGGCCATGGGAGCCACGATCACCATTACTAAGATATACTGAATTAAATTTACATTAATTGAAACATACTCGACGCACTAATAAATTTTAACATTTCGTTAAATTTTAATACGTCAAGTATTATTGTAAGTTATGGGACTGATAAAATAATAAAAAATAAAAATAATACAAAAAAAATATCTCTTTTATTATATTCGAAAAATTAATGTCGAGTTGTTATTTTGACAGTAAAAATCCAGTCATAGAAAAATAGAGAAAAATGATTGAATTTAAAATTTTGCGGTAAATATGAAAATAAAAGCTCGTCTACTTTAGTTACAAAAACAAATTATAAGATTATCAGTCAAACTAAGTTCTAAACATTGAAACAAAACAGCATGTGCCAGTCAAACATATAAATAAGTTTTATATTTTACTGTTTATAATCTTTCATAACAAAAATAATTAGTATAACTTGAATTAAATAATTAAGAGACACACAAATAACCTATTCTGTCAATAACAATCTTATCAGTAATGTCGAATGGTAGTAAAGTTTTGTTTCTTTGTATACACTGAACGGACTTCAAAAGAGGTTGATCATGACAATTTTTGTATTAAAAGCTAGTTATTTAGTGACAATATATTAATTCTTTGTTCATCTTAAAAAACAAATGTACGTTTTACTTCCTGTCCTTTCATATAGTCAACCGATTTCTTGAGAAAAATTTATAACATCAATGCTATTTTCCAAAATTAGAATACTTTTAAATTGGTAAGTCTTAAACATTTTGCTTATATGCTAGATCGTTAGTGTATAACAATGTTGGCAGTGCTTTTAAATTCGCGAGCCGTTTTTCATGAGTTCAGTGACCTCTATATCGTGAGCTTTGATGACGTTGGAGAGAGGTAAAAACATAGTATGATAGTAGGTTTCTTATTGAACATTGCGAGAGGAACAAAATTGATAAAAAATACGTATCTTAATTTAATTCACAATAACGTTTTTAAACGTTATAAGTCTTATTATTATTAATTAAATAATTTAAAAGTGGATGTGAGAATTGAGATATACATATATTATAAATTATATAATTATTATTTTTATTATTAATTATTACATGGAATTTTTATATTTACAAGTTAATATGTGACAGGTACAATGCGGTAGTAGTAACAAAAAAATACGGACAATAGACTTATTATATATGACACCTTAAAAACTTGGTTATTAAAATGAATAATGGTTTAACGAAATTTATATTTCTAAACATTTGCGTGACTGCACTTGAGCTGCTTATATCTCATATAGGTATATAGCTGTATGTTTACCGCAGCTCATAAAATTTGTACATAAAGTTTTTGCAAATTGCTAATGCGTATGTATTTTGTATATTTTATTCTTAAAGAACCCTCCTTTATTGTAGCATCGAAAGTAAAATCATTCCAAGTTCTATTCTTAGGTGGAGAAATGATTGATTGATTGATTGATTGATGAATGATGTTAGGGTAAATACTGTGACTGACATAGATCTCTATAGCAAAGAATGCCATGACGTTAGCTGGACGGTAACATTTTAAAGCACTTCTTCAATACATTCATAACTGAATAAATGAGAGAACTCTCGAAAGAAGCCTATTTTTCGTCGAAAACTAAATGGCTCCAGACAGTGTATGTGAGATTTTGTTGACAACGCAAAATGTGACGTGCAAAATTGTCATCGAAGTTTTGTAAAAGAATAAATCCATATATCTTTTTTGTCCTTTCCATATAACACTTGAAAATATACATCGAAATTATTTTTAAGTGCGCAATAAATACATTACATGAAAATCTAAAGTTTATTTATATAATATGGTAATTATATATAGGGGGGCTCCCCATATAAAAGACCATACTATTATATATGACACGATATTGACACTTAACACACATAAACTAGTTTTGAAACTAATATGTAAAATATACTTTAATTACTTACAAAATAAAAGCATGTTAAAAGCCACAGTTTTAATTCATTTTAATTTATTTGTGCTGTATGAAATGTTCTTATAATTAATACAAAGACTAACACGTTGAGTAGGAAGATTAATGATCTAGTGATCTTAGTAATCGTTTGACTAACTCTAGTATATATAGAGGATAAAAATTAACTTAATCGTTATTAATTGTGTGGCAAGAGCACTGTTGAGTTATCGATATGGCTAAGTTACTGGTAAGTTTATCATTGCTCTATTACTTCAATGTAATATAAAACTACTACACTACACGTTGCCCGTCAATATTAAAGATAAATGAACTAAATAATGAAGTGAAAATAATTTAAACATAGACTAATCTTTTATTAGTTTAAATTGTATTGTTGAATTTTTGACTTCTATTTCATTCTTCGAGAACAGGTTGCATAAGTTGTATCGAAATATCAGGAATATAAAAAAAAGCTTCCTAAGCTATTCCTTAATTTATAAAATTTTATTGTTTTTTTTTATTTTTTGTTTCTACGTTCATTTTGTACATCTACTAGAACTTTTTTTAAATGGCAGCTTAACAAGTTATATATGTACATACCTACATATACAAGTCATTAGAACATGTTAGATAAATCCGAAATACAAAAGTTGTACTAAACTTAAACGTGTTATTAATATAGCGTTGTTAATTTATTTGCAAGAACAATAAAAAATAAGTATATAATATTCTCAAAACTATATAAGCATTTAGATTCATTTCCACTTATTATTATAACTTAAGATATATTTATTTCATCATTGTTACAGATATATGCGTTACTGCTCGTAGTTGTGTTGGCTTCGGTAACAGCATACCCAGGTTTAGTACACGTTTGGTTCTAAGTTCTTCCAGTTTTACTGAAATTTATAAGTTTGCCTAATATATTATCAATAAGTTACTTGGATTTTAAGAGTATAGATTAAGATCAACAGATTTACTGTACGGATAGTTTAATCTTTGATGATTCAATTTTATAATTTATTTGTAGCAGTTTACATGAAGATGTAATAAAAATTCCTACATACACGTACTTTTCCAAAACCGACTGATTTATTATTAAAATGTATACCCACAACTATAATCCTTTTTCAAAAGTTACAATAGAGTATTTTAATATTTAAAATTCTTCTTCTTTCAAATTAAAACAAGTCGTCGATTAAAAGTTATTTGTTTAAAGGTGGTGGTGGTGGCGGAGGCGGCGGCGGTGGTTACGGATACGGCGGAGGTTCCGGAGGAGGTGGTCACGGTTACGGAAATCATGGACACAACCACGGAGGACATGGCTCACACAGCCATGGAAACCATAACCGTGGACATCATGGTCACCACGGTCGTTAATAAACACAACATACTTTTGGCTTCGAACGTTAACATGTTGAATTTTATCATAGAAAAATTTTAATAAATGTAGCAATATGGTTATTGTATATGTCTATTGTTTTTTAACCAATGGGATCTCTTAATTCATTTGTGGTGTACCCTTTAAAATAATTATAAATGATCATCTACAAGTATGTAGAAACAAACTATAAAAAAATCACTAGCCAATGAAATAAAACAAATAATATAAAACACACTGTTGATGTTAATGTTAACTTCAAAAAAATTAAAGAAGATATTTCTTAAATTTTAAATTAACGACATGTGAATTGGCATATTTTGTAAATTCCTGGACTGATGCAACTGGATTTCCCTAAAATTGCGTCTTATTTATTTGTAAGCATCTATTATCACTTATAATTACTCATAACTGACTTAATAATTTATTGAGGAAAACATCTATACCTAAAACCTTTAATTTGAAAATAAAACGCTTTTGTAATAACAGAAAAAAATAAAATTATATTAAGAAAACGTATATTTTGACTTTAAGTCGCCTACAGGTAAATAAAAATTAATCACCAAAAAAAAAAATTCTAAAAAAAAACAATACGTGCTCCATGTGGAGTTAAGCAAGGGATAAAAATACTAATGATTAGGCAGTATGATCTTTGCGAGGCTGTCATACTCGCAAAGGAGGTGGCGGAAAGGGAGAGAGAGGCTGGCTCCTATCTCCCCTCCCGCAGCAGACGGCCACCGTAGAGTGCGGCCTGTGAACGACAGATTTTGGTCATTTTGTCCCATTACAGTTGCAGGCTTCAAGGAGGCGGTGTGTATTCCGCGCGCACCTAATAGTTTAATCTTATGGCAGTGTGATGGCCACAGAGTGGGTGAAGGGGCCCGTCTGAGCATCTGTTGGGTCAACGCCTGTCGGAGGATAGCGAAAAATGCTTTGGTGACTGTGACCCGCCCCTGTGACACACGGATACATGAGGAATACGAGTTGCTTTTAGTCAGTAAGAGTCTGACAATCCCCTTCGCCCTTCCCGGGGCCGGCGGGGCTCCATGAGGATTTTCCAATACGACCACAAAAATAAAAAAAACAGCATGATCTAAAATCTTAGTCTGACAAAAGGATCAAATGAGATAATAATGTAACACGGGATAGTTTGTATTCAGAGTAATATTAAATCAGAACTTCATATAGGTCCAGTTATATCAATATAATATAACTGTATAATATTTCTATATAAATAATATCTGATCTGATATTCTGTATAATAACTAGTGGGTAAATCCAATTTATGATCGTACAAGAAAAAATACTGAAATTTTTAATATTTTTATTCGAACAAAATAAAAATAGTATGACTACGGAATAAGTGATTCTGATCATACAGAATAATTTCAGCATAATTCCAATGGGTTAAAGACAAAATTATATACCTACTATATGTAAAATTTGGATTGTGTTGACTCAAGCAATGCGGCATCGTAATTATTTAAGCCCTCAATGAAATAATGCACAATATTTTATTTCAACTAGTCTATAAATCGTATTAAAGCTTACAATGTGAGTACTACGGTAAAGTGGATAGGAATTATAAGTGTGTTCACGACTATGCCTTCATTAAACCCATTCAAGTCCATTTTTATTACACATATCTTAGATTTTCTCAAGTACTCATTTAAATGAAACTTTTTGGATACTACGCGTTTTTTATTATTTTATACCTACATAATCCCGACGTTTTAGTTCTTTTGCAGTAACCCTGATCACGGACAGACGAGATGAAAGTGTCTGTCAGTTAGTCTTATAATTTTCTATCGGACTGCTCTGTATGAAGACAAAGTGCGCTCAGTGTGTCTTGAGATCAACTTCAATATCGATACAAAGATAGAACAAATAAAACTACTATAAGTAAAACGATGATACGTTATTTATTCTTCTGATACACAAAATTTTTCATGAAAATCTTAAACAGGTTTCATCAAATAAAAGCATAAAACAAACTAAAGCACATTTTTATAAAACCATCTCAGAATCTAAATTTTAGAAAAATACACGTCTCTAGTGCGTTATCCAAATATATTATGATTTCTATTTATTACACTTATTCCATTAATTTTAATTTAAAATTAAAATTTATAAAGCAAGAAACATTGTTAACAGATTACAGAATCGTTCTCGATATTTTACAAATACACATAATTTATCTTCTTTACAATAGATGGCGCTAATAATAATAGACGATATTCTTTGTTATAAGATAAAATTAAATCAAAATTCCATTCAGTAATGACTGATTCAGATTCATTAGTGACCCCAATACGATAATAGCCCAGTGCATTTCTGTTAAAATATTATTTCATTTCGAAAACAACAAGCTAATATCTTCTATACATAGTAACCATGTATACATACGGTAAAATCTATTATTTACAATATCTAACAGCTATATACACGTATATAATTTAATATATAAAAGAAGGTTTTTTTATACACTATCTTTAAAGCATTTCTTTCTAATATAAAAACAATACGATCGATTGAAACCAAATATAAATTAATGCAACAAAAACTTTTTACTTTCATCATGAAAAAATAAAAATATAAATCACCCTGTTATTACAAACAAAAATGTTTTTATAAGATAAATATATTATTTACATGTAACAAATAAATTAAAGTATAACATTTTATATGAATAAATACACAAAGAGGTTAAAAATGTTTCATGCACATGTTAACAATGTAATGAGCAAAATGCAGTTATAAATAAATTTAAAAAAAATTAACATAGAACATTATGCTGTCAATATTTTTTAGACACATACTTCCAAATAACTGTCAATTGTAAACAATATAATTACACATTTTCAATATAAAATTAAGAGCAATCTTGTCGAGTAACAAATGCATATAGTAATACAAGTTATTTAAAACAACTTATAAATTTTCATTCCTTACTACATAAGTGACATTAGTCTTCTATAATATACGAATTGTCATGAAACAACGATAATCCACAATGTAGTTGCCATAGACAAATCAACTATTATTTTCATACCATAGACTATATAAACTATTGAATATAACACAATTTCAATACACATCCTTCAAATACATATAAATAGCTATAATTTAATCAACGTGTTTCAAAATATGTAACCTATATATGTAAATAATATTAATAGTTAGTGACTTTAATATATATTTAGCTAAGATGATGTAGGCCTACATACATGTTATATTAATTTCATTATATAGTGAATTATTATATAATAAAATATAATCTCAAGCGAAGCACACAAAATATAACTCTAACCCTGTCTATTACCACCCAGTCTCTACTAGCGGACACTAATTTGTAGTTTGGTCCATTTAAATGTATGTGGGACAATGGTCTAGACTAGTGCCGCAAGCGTCGCATATTCTTGCTTCCCGTTTGTTAACTAGTGTACAGGCGGGACATTCCCTCCCACCGGAAGTCAGCGGTTCGATTTCCGGTCCCTTTTTTGACTTTCCACACATCTCGCATGCGATGGCCGCGTTCTTGTTAAGGTATGTGCATGTATTACACTCCCATTTGTCTTTCTTGGTGTCAATGCCCTCGTCAGTTCGGTTCGGAGTTCGTTCGCGTTCGCCGTTCTGTTTCGGTGTTCGCTTGTAATCGGGTTCGTCGAGCGATACGACCAGTTGAGCTTTTAAATCGTGATTTGATTGATTTGTGGCTGGAAATATAGAAGAAACGTTTATGTTATACTATTCATATTCGTTTGTTATGAAAGTCATGTTTTATCAAATATGATATTATCTAAAAGACAGAAATAAAAAGGTATATTTTCAAAACTATGCCCTTATTCTAATTAAGATACAAATAATAATTCTTAAGACTAAATGTGTTTCAAAATGTATATTTATATTCACCTGTATTAGTTTTAGAGCTCTGTGCCTTGTGAATGCCATTTTCTAAAGGTTTAATTTTCTTATCATCAGATGGTATGAGCTTGGACACTTTCTTGACTTTCTTGACATCAGCCACGTTTGATGATGTATCGATGTTTGAGTTTTGTTGCTTGATGACGTCCTTCCTGTCTTTAATCTCCTTTTTGGTCAGCAGTTTAACCTTATCCGGTGCAACCTTCTGTGTGATCAAACCATCAGCCTTAGGGTTGCCAACTGGTTCTATTGTTTTCTTCGGTCGTTTGTCTTCTGTTTGCTTCTTCATCTGTCTTGATTTCTTTAACTCCTGCTCCTGTTTGAGCCTCATTAAATTCTCATTCACCTTAGCCGTTCTATACGCGTCTTCGTCATACGATCTATCCAAGTTTAGAGCTTGGAGACCGTCTTCTAGGTCTAGGGTGGTAGGTTGGTATTTAGATCTCCTTTCTTCTCTGTCCAATCTGTCTAGCGTCCTTGAATCTCGGTCCAATGATTGAGAAAATCCACTTCTGCTATCTCCATGGCGTTCCTTGCTTGATAGATTCCGAAAAACATAGTCCCAACTCTCGTAAGTGCCCATGCCGTCTTCTTTAGCCTTACTCAATGCTGGTTGAGTGTCAGATCTTGGCAGACTGGGCAAAGAAACGTCACTGAACCCAGATTTCGACGTACGTTTCGACTCAGTGTGTCTATTTCTCTTATGGCTCCTATCATCCTGCCGTCCAAATTTACCGTTCTCGTAAACCGAAGCTCCATCCAATTCTATCAGTTGCGCGGTGGGTACAGCCGGCATATCCAGATATATCGGCGGATAACCGTTAACTGGTATATTTGTCGCGTGTTTTATCGGTGCGTAAACCGGCGTGGGTATCATGTATGGTGTTTGCACGGGGTAATAGTACGGGACACCGTATGGAGCCATCATGGGAACTGGATTGCACTGCATGGGCGGCAGTTCGTACATCATAGGTGGCATTTTAGGTATAAGGTAGGGGTTTATTATGGGTTGAACCGGTTCTTCGATCTGGTCCGTGCAGTAACACGGTGACGGCATCTGATATGGCGTAGGATCAGTTTCTATCCTCCTTTGATCTGAAGTCGCTGGTAAGTTTGAGTAGATTTCTGCTTCTACAAAAATAATCATTGTATAAGCTTATAAATATGAACGTAAGTCATTTCTTATTTCTACAGAGGTTTCTGATTTATAATCATATGTTTTTACAATAATATGTATTTTGTGATTTATTAACATATTTCAATGTCACGAATAATATTAGACTTAAATATCAAAGGCCTAATAGACACAGTAATGTATAAATTTTGCTATTGCACTAATCACAGATCGAATTTGCAGTTACATTAATCGATTGAACTAATATAGACCAGTATCCGGTAAAATATTTATTAAATTCATAACCATTGTCATTTGTCGTTAACTTCTATGTTGTGATGAAATGTATCTATATAGATACTACTAATTTTGTATGGAAGGAACCACTATCATGTGTTATACCTGTGTTGTGTGTGATAGAAGGTATCACTAAATAACACTTATTTTTTATGGATACTACCAGTAACTATCATGTGTGGTGCGTAGTATGGTCTATTATTTGTTATACATACCTCCACACCCGGCTAGCCTTGCTGCTGCTGCGGCAGGTGATGAAGCTCTTGCCGCTCGCTCTCGGGACACCGCCGCCCATGACACTCGTCCGCCGTTAGACCATACACTCTCCCAGATCTCAGACATTATCTATAGAAAAAATTATGATAAAGGAATGATATAAAATTAAGTACAGGTGAAACTTCGTCAAAATTATTATGGGTGGAAGTTTGATTTGGCTATTTGAAATTGTAAATGAAATTTGGCGGATTTCTTGGAAACAAACAAAAATGTGTTTGTACAATTTTTTCCTTTTCTTCCTAAGTCTTCACTTATCAGTAGTTGTGACATACAGTCTACGAAACACAAATAATGTTTTCCTTGTATTAGATAAAACAATAATAATATTATTATATTCAAAAGTTATTATAATTTTTAACAGACACCGGTTGAATATAGTAAATAATATAAGAGAAATTAAAATCTTTTCACTATTTATATGGCAACAGATAAATTATTTGAAGTATCTTAGGCAGCTTTCACATAAATGCTTACATCCTACTAATATTATAATTGCGAAAGTTTGTGAGTGTGTGTGTATGTTTGTTACTTCTTCACGCTCAAACGGCTGAACCGATTTTGATAAAATTTTGTATACGGGAACCTGACGTCCAGGAATAACACATAGGCTACTTTACATCCCGGAAATCTGCAGGATCACCGCGGGGCGCAGCTAGTGCTTATATAAATACGTATCCTAGGCTACATATATACCTGGCACTCGCAGTAAGCGATGATAGCGTCCCTGGATATAGCAGCGGCCATGTCCGGGCAGACGGGTCCGTCAAGCGCGAGTTTCCCGGGGCCAGAAGGTCTATAACCCAGGATATGTAAAAGGCTTTCAGCACACACCAGGTTAGATTCCACCTCGTGCTTGTAGAAACCGGAGTACAGCTGTAAAGACGAAACGACTGTATTGTCAGGTTGGAAGATTATTATTGATGAATTGAATTATGAATTAATCGTTTCATATTATCCCCACCACTCAGCATTAGCTCTCCCGAAATTGCGATTACTATCTCGGTCTTGTATGGTCCGCATTATCGAGTGATCTACATTTTACAAAAACTTACAGATTTCCCAAAATGAGTTGACAGTCTCGCAATTAATGGATGATAAAATAATAATAAATAGCTTCCTTTATATTCTTATTTATCCCTAATACTTCCATGAGAACCTAAATAAATTGATACCTAAATAACAAAATCTTTTTCTTTCCAAAACCATAACTGACTTGGTTTAGAAGGGTTGAGAAACATCAAAAACAATTACTATATATGGAAGCTCCTTTTCAATAACCTCTTACTGATATCGAAAATATCATAAAACCCACCCGTATCTCCTTATACTCTTTCCTCCATGGTTGTGCGAGCAAATTACCAGCGTATCTTGCGATGGCCGCCCAGCCTATACTAGCACGATACGCGCTATAGTCGGGCAACTCATCTATAGTACGTTGGAAGATCTTAGCAGCCTCCGCTAGACCAAACTTACACTCATGAGGCACCAGTGTAAGGTATTCAAGGATGTAACCTGCAATATATTTGTTAAACATATAGGATTTGCCAATTATTTATTTTATAAGAAATTTGATATCAATTGGATATCTGAGTGACTAATGATCTGCTTGTAGAAGCATTAACTTTGGTTAAATATATTGTTCAATACAATTTTAAATAGTGTGACTAATACCTTTCTATCATTCATGCTATTAATATTTTAATTAACATAAAATCATACAAAAGCAATTTTTTTAATCAATAGTCTATATTTTTTATCATAGATGTATAAAATAAATCACAGTAGAATGTACCGTATTGATTTAATTTTCTAAGCCATTTAAATGTCAGAGTGGGTATCACAACTAACCTTCTAACTTCTTCTTCTGCAATAACTTCTCGGGACTGTCATCTACCTCCAAGTAGCTATAATGTGCGTCTTCTATCCGCCGCCATAAAGCGGGCAGACGTTCTCTTAATATAGCATCACCCATCATGCTCGACATGACCATCACATCATTTATATCATTTCTGACGAAGACTGAAATATTGATTACTATTACTTTATCACATAATGAAATCTAAGATATTCGAGTCTTATTCATTTTAAAGAAACTAATATATTTCCCATATACTATGTGACTTTATTTTTGATAAAATTTACTTTATTACATTGTTGAATAATATTAATCAAATTTAAACTAAAGTAGTATCTGAATCATCACATTGAAATAATGTGAGCAGTTTTTGAGTAAAGCTTGAATTAAAGATGTAGAATACAATTATGAATCAGTTTGCGGGCTGGCAACACTGCTTGTATTGCCAGCACCAATACTTGTGTTGAATCTGATAATTGCCATAAGAATAGCATCATTTAAACAGATATCAGTCATAGTTTTTATCCAAATTATATATAACATTCAGTTTTTTTTTTTTGGTCTAGCATTGATCAACATCAAAATGTATTAGAATTGTGTGAATAATGTTTACAAAATTAATTTTCACACTAAATATTGTTTTGGTGAACTTAATACTTGCCACACAAGTACATCAATTAAAAACTAAGCAATTTAATAGTTCCGACGATACAGTAGAAAATTTTGTGGAATAAAAATCCTATAATAGAAACTAAAACATATTTCATATCTGAGGATTGTGTTTCAGGTGTTTAAGCAGGAGCTCAGCTATAAAATTTAATGATTGCAACAACTTATTTAAGGCCGAAAATAATATATCGGAACAGCAAAGTATGAGGCCAGTGTCAACTTTGCTTTCCACAAATTTATTTAATAGAATTTATGTATTAAATTTATAAATATACAAATAAATATAATAAATTTCATTTATTCTAGTGTCACCTTAAATATTAAAGAAAAACTTTCTTATACCAATTTAAGTACATAAAAATATGTTTTATTTCTATTGATACTTGATAATATATCAAAGTTAATTATTCATAGTAAATTATGAACAAAAGTAACATTTTTGTCTAGTACATTCCACTCTTATATTTACATTTTTATTCATTATTTAATGAGTGATTACATTTACAGATGTCAATACACTCTTATCATACATCTCAAGTTGAGTATCAATACAAATGCACCGGAATGGAAACAAGTGACATATGACTCACCTATAATTATATGAACAATATCAATTGTGTCTTCTAAATTAACAATAATTTACTAATTACACTATTACTAAATGGAACAAAAATAGAAACTTCACTTCTACAGTATTTATACTAGCTCAGCAAAAATGTTTTAAATATCATAATAAATGAAAGTAATATTATAATAGTGTTATTTAAATTTTTATTAAAGTTAAATCGATTGCAAACCACCATAAATCGAAAACATAACATAAATAAAGATGCAATGCGCACTAGTGACACACAGTTATTGTAAAAAAATAAACGCGTGATACTTATGTAAATTAACACACATCACGCGATATATGCTCTAGAAAATATCTCACGGCTCTTAAACGCTAAAATATTAATTAAGGTAAGTATACTACTAGCTTACTTGCAGGCATACATTCTTTCCTATATGTCAAAATATATTTCAATGCACCGAATCTAGAGCGGACAAAAATAGTTCACCAAAAATAACAGAGCTTGACTATATTATTTACACGATATAAATATAATCCGCAATTGATTTCTTCAATTATTCCTTTATGTTATTATTTCAAACAATATCTCCAGTTATATCAGCGATGAATTTTCTTATGAAAACAAAATTTATACGATTTTGTTTTGACGTTTCCCTGGACTGTATGTAAAACGACAGCAGTCAGTACTCAGTAGAAAGAAAATGTAGATTAGACACAGGTAATAAACGGCACACATAATAATTTTAATATAATTAAATATTTAATTAAAAAACACCAGGATATTTATTTTTTAATATAAATAGATAAATTAGAAAATGACATAATACTAAACGAATTCGTCTTTTGAATTACAAAAACAAATGATTGACAAATCTGTCTTAGAAATATATTAGAAATGATTTTTGATAAAAATATTTAATTAATATTTATCAACTAGTATTAATATTACACAATTACTTGGTCATTAGTTGCTTACTCGAAACATTGAAGTACTTGTAAAATGGTGAAATATATTGTGTTTATGGATCCAATAAGACAGGAGGAAGTAGAAAATTTCTACAATGTGGGTATTTATTAATTACATATTATTTAATTATTCATTACAATAATTTTCTTGTTTTGGGGCACCAGGCATGTCAACTACATAGAGAATATTACAAAGGATATCCTAAGCGATACCATCCGCTGACGTTCTTCAAGGAACCAGAGTATATGTTTCAATGTCCTCCTGAAATGTCTCGGTAAGAATAATTGCAATGATATAAAATATGTATAAAATTATGATAATATATATTTTAATTCATATTTTATAATTTCAGGGTTTATTTAAGCTTCCCACCATTCCATGTGAGATACAAGCAACCAGCAGTGTTGCCCTCTTCCACAGATAGAACATCAGGTTTTCCACCCTTACCCGATAGAAGCCTGAAGGCTCGGTTTAATAAAGGTCCTTGCAAAGCATTTATAAGGTAGTTGGTACAAAACAAATGAGGTTGTTTGCGCAAAACGAAAAAAAATTGAAGTCTTAATAAACCTAATTTCAAAGTATTTTGTTCATTATTCTTATTGCTTAAGTCACCTAAAGGTATCCCATAATGTTGTCTTAATGAAGAGAATTTTATCATGAAGAGGACTTCCCCGAAAAGACCAATTCAACGAATAACTCTATTAAAAATAATGTAACAGATGGACCAGAGTTAAAATATATAGTGTAGTCTACAACAAATTCCTAGTCTGAACTTAGCGAAAACCTTGAGGAAATATTTTAACCGTACCCAAGAATCATACAATTTTAAGTATTTTTTTATACCTATGACTTCTTCTTTTCTGGCTGGTAACGCCCTCTCACAGAAGATTCGATTGATGAGAGAATTTTTATTACCGAAATTAGAAGCTTTAAACATTTAACTTAAAGTTTTTGTGATCGAAACCTAAAACCTGTATTTCTAATTTAACAAGATTTAAAGGTTGTCTTTATATTGAAGTATTGATTCCTCTTCCTGGCAATTTCCCAACTTTAGCCAGGGTCTGCCTTACATGAAAATCATATTGAAGTATGAATTATGACAGAATAAATAAAAAGAACACTTTACGACAAACCTTCAAACTTAGTTTTATATTTAAAGATAGTACACGTTTATTTTCCAAAATTGAGATAGAATTGTATAAATCAGAAAATAACACGATTACAGTAATAAAAATAATGAAAAACAAGTACCAGACAAAAATTAATGAAAAATTTTGTTTGCATTTTTTTTGCTTTCGGCAATAAATCAAAGAATATATATTCTCTTAATGTCGATAAAAATGGTAACCATCGATAATCTGATCGAAAGTAAATTACAGTAAATATAACTCGCTAATTTACAAACATGTATGAAAACTCACAAACTTGGTAAGTACCTAGACATAAATTCACGGAGCATTTATAAAAACGAAAAAATGTCAAAAGTAAAAATGTCTTAGAACAAAGGATAAAACCAGCGCCAAATACAAAATTTCTGTTGTATTTCTAACAAATACAATTATTTTAAATTAAAATGGACATATATTTCGTAGATAACGCCAGACAGGATGAAATTGATACATTTTATGAGGTATTTCAAAATGTCAGAATTATATCAAAATATAAATCGATGTTTTCTTCATGATAATTAATTTCAGGCATGTCAACGTCATAGAGACTACTATAGAGGCTATCCGAAAGCTCACCATCCATTGCTATACTTCAAAGATCCTGAATACATGTATCAATGCCCAGCAGATATGACACCGTAAGTATTTATTTTTGTACCTAATACATTTTTACAATTTATTATATACGTACGATCTTAAACCTAAATAAAGAATCTTTGACACCCATGGATTAAGAGTGCATTTCTTGAAATGTAAGGCAGCTTCAATTCCTCTTTATACGAGACAAAATAAAATTTTATGTTCAATATACCGCCCCTAAAATATACACATGTATAAAATTATAGCCTAATGATGCCCACGATTTTATTCCAGGACATATTTATCATTCCCGATGTACTTTGTGAAGTACAAACAGCCAGCAGTATTACCTAGTAGTGTCGGTCGAACAAGCGGTATGCCCGCGCTACCTGACAGAACCCTCGCTGGACGATACAATAAAGCCGCTTGTAAAGCGTTTGTTAGATAAATAATTAAACATTACAGACATATATTTATGTATTTTATTTATAAAACTTTAATAATATGCAAAGAACTTATAATCTGAAATAAAAAGACGAAGTGAATTCAGGTATCCTAGTGATCATTAATCTGAATTCAGCCAGACCGACGCTGCCGCTTTTATCAAGATTGACTTTTTCTAATATCTGAAAGGAAAGGCATTATGTCAATAAATTTAAAACAAGGAGTAAGATAAGCTAGAGCTTAGTATTTTAGTCGCAATGAAGTATACACCAGAGTTTTAATGCTATACACCAGAAATTTCACGATCAGTATTGTAACCAGACTATAATTTTTTAAATAGAGAGGCAAAGAATTTTAAAATTAATAGATTGGTCTAGGCCTAGGGCTTAGAAAAAACAAATTGGCCGAAAGGTGTTTACTAAGCATTGTACGGGTGAAGCGAGAGTTCGATCCCGGGCATCGCATGTGAGAAAGAATGATTTTATTTCCCCCGCCCCGACACAAGGGCCGTCGTGGAACACCCTTGGGTTTTTAGTGGGTAGTGGCAACGAGCCCCACATACCCCGCTGTTTTCTAAAAATGGCGGGGATGCGTAAATGCATTTTTTCCCAAGGATAAAAAAAAAAAAAAAAAAAAAAAAAAAGGCCTAGGGCTTGGCCAACCTATATAATTATAAATGTCAACTGTCAACAACAAATTTTTTCAGTCGTTATAATTCAATGTCATTTTGCCACTGCCACTACTAAATCAGTTTATCTATTTAAATTTTAAAACATCGATACTCACAGTGTCGGCAATTTTCATTTTCTCTGCGTGGGTTAGAAAATTGGTACGATTGTTTGGATCCCATGTTATTCTGTCTAATATATTACAAATATCTTTTGGTGTTATTTGATTGTCCTCATCTATATCTGAAAAAAATAATTACACTTATTTTTACCTTAATAATATAAGTATAAAAAAGATTTTTTACTGTCTCACAGTAGACCATTCCTTTTTATTATTATTTTTTTTTATTCATTAAATCTATAAAATTTTAAATAAAGCACTCCACTTAATATTTTAGTATGCAAAAAATATAGAAGAACGAAATATACAAAGTATTAAAACATTTGAATAAGAAAATATTTCACTTTTTGAATAATAAAAAATACAATATTGAGATAAATAAAAGTTAACATACCTGTATCCTAACTTATACATTCTACTAATGATATAAAAAGTTAGTATTTAACCCGCTATAGTGTTTTCTGATATTTTTTAACCGACTTAAAAAAAATGAGGTTTCTCAATTCGACAGTATATATACTTTTTTTAATTACAAAGATAATGTTACATGTTTTATGTAGATAGGCATTTCCCGTGACAAGGAATCCATACCTAACGATTAATAAAAAAATAACAAATCACCATAGGTACGGTAAAAAAAAGTAAAGTACCAAAAATCCTGAACGCCCAAGCAGCTTTAACTTCCGCCGGGCAGTCGGGGCTCATGGCGGAGCATAAGTCCAGTAAGTCCTCGAACGAAAAACAACCATCTTGCTGAGAAGAAAATACACGAAACAGTCTATCCTGGAATGGATTATTCTGGCAACAGAAAATAAGATAGAAATCATTAATCGTTTTACAAAACATACAATTTTTGAACGAGTTCATTAACAAATTATTTTGGAAACCCTCTTAAGATTTTAAAAAAAATACAGTAGTACAGTACAGTAGAACGTTATACAGTAATGTTCTAATTTCTTAATGTTTGTTTGGTTTTTGCGTTCAAAAGTAAGATTTTCTTTTTTGAATGTCTCCCTAATATTTATTTGTACAATAAAATTCAAAGAAAATGTACTCGGAATGAGGTAGACGAAAAAAATCACTTACCCTTAAAACTTCGAATTTAGCTATAATATCTTGCTTTTGCACTCTATAATTGTAGTCCATAGAAATTTTTTCCGGATTTATTGAATGGAATTTTTTCATAAGACTAAAAAAACACTTGCGTCAAAAAAATTACGACAACAAACGACTATTCAAATTACTGAAATCAACTTACTATAATATTTGTCCCTTGTTCAGATACGTTAGCAAAGTGTATTCTTCCAAAAGATCCTCAGTCAATCCAGGATACTTTGATTGAAAAGCACCCATATTTTAGAAAATTATTAGCGCTTAATATGAAATGCAGTTCTGTAATTCAACCATTAGCAGAAGTGTTTATTTCACATTAATTATTCCCCCTATCTTATCGGATCACTTTGTAGTTGATAAAGTTTTAGAGCTAGATTGTTGAAATCGGATATAATTACCGTTTTATACACGTAATTAAAGAAACTAGAATACCAATACGACTATAAAGAGTTTTAAGACGAAAGCATTGAAAGAAAACCTTCCTTTAAATATAAATATTTCTTGTAACTAATAAAGAATAATTACGAATTATAACTTAAACTTTTGTTTATATTTTACTCTATTTTTTTAATATTAAATTTTGGCTTTCCAGCAATGGATCGTGGTAGATATAAAAATACAGAGAAAAGTACTATTTTAACTGTCCTAAACTAATAGGGATAAAAAGTATAAAGGTATAGAACATTCCAATAAAAATCATAATTTTGAGGAATAATTTATTTGTTATAAAATCACCTGAGATCAGGCTCCGTGAAAGTAACATATTAAAATAGTTACATACTAGAGTCCATACAATAAACACATTCCACTAACACATACAGCGACATTTATAATACATTGACTTAGCACTCACACACACATACAAACAATACATCACTTGACATTCCAGTACTTATCTCTGAGAATTATAGAAGTAATATCAATAAGAAATTTCATTCTCCATATATATATTACAAACTAAAGGTTAGTATGCTAATCATCAATTTATACAACCAGCGTATACTCAAATTTCACTTCGGATGAAAAATAATTGCAGTACTGTGATCTAAATCAAGTTACTTATATGTCAAATTATAATACACACAACTTAACTATAAAACATGTTAAATGTTATGTTTAAGTAAATTCAACATATAGTTTTTGAGCTAAATTAACTACAGTGTCATGCTTAATAACAAAATAAAATATTTATTATAAATTATACAACATATTGGAAGCGCTTATGAATCTTAGACTGACTATTACCGCCATCCATAAAATGCTTGCCAAATTAAATTGAGTCGTTACAAAATAAAAACAGTTTTTAATTTAGAACATTTTAAATAAATAATAATAAAGCCAAGTCAAAAATAAATTGATGTATAGCCATTTGAAACAAAATCTATATATCCAAAATAAGATCACATGTGATAAACATATCACCTCTTTGGAAAATCTACATTGTCGAAACTTATTTGTCTTCTTGCCCTCATTTTAGCTGCTTCTTCGAATGAAGGCATTGAATTGGATTTGAAAACTCCAGCCTTATCTAAAACACTAAAACTACCACTGCTATTACTATTTGAGTTTGAATTACAGTCTATATTCATCCACTTGTCTTGGAGTATATTCTTGGAGGTGCTCCTAGGCTGCTCCAGTTTACTTGACCTTTCTCCAAAAGTATTTTCTTTGATCTGCGAGGTCAATGTCGATGGAACTTGTTTGGTCTTCATCTGTTGGTAGGCCGTGGCGGATATATAGCCAGTTATCTTGTTATTCTCATTAGAGATTTTGACCACCTCATCTTGATAGCATTCTTCCACTGTTCGACCTTGGATTATTGCAAATACGTATTGGCGAGCTAACCTATAGGAAGATTAGAAATCATATTAATATTGTTATTACTAGAGCAGAAGGTTGGCAGGATAAACATAAATCTTTATTAGAAAGGCTGTAGGAATCTAATATCTGACTTATACATTTAAGATTAAAAATTTAAATGTATTAGTCAGTAAAACAATCTCATACTAAGATAAATAAAATCTTTGAATTTTTGTTTGACATACTACAAATCCTATATTTGTTTATAAAGTTTATATTGTTTCGCTGGACACTGCTAAAACAAGCCAATCTCTTAAAATAGCGGTTATGTATATAGAAACCATTATTTTATTGGTATAGTACAGTAGAATTATATAATGTTTTTGAATGGTAGGCAGTATTTCATACTTAAACATAGTATCAGAAGTTGACAGATTGGGTGCTGCAAGTCGTGCCGCGTGAGGAGGAAGTGTCAATAACTTGCGAGTTAGACGAGCCAGGGATGAAGCTTTCTCACGGAAACCCGGCGAAGACATACGCCAGCCGTGGAGACGTAAGGCTTCGGTCACGGCCCAAAGAAGTTTCTATATACAGGAAAAATAATAAACATTACTCATACAATATTATATATAGTTTAACATCCATTACTTAGTAATAAAAAGATGACAAGCTATCAAATGATAACCAAATTGGGATCAGATTTTTGAACCTTACGCCCAATGCAACTGCATATGCAAATATCAACACACACACACACACACAAAGAATGCTCTGAGAATCTTGTCAGAAGTCAGGAATGTTTACAGGAATACTGTTAACTCAGAATAGATATTCTTTCTCTAACATCGCATTAAGGTTTATGATAAACATGATCATCCCATCCCTTTCACACATCATCATATAATACTTGTATCAACCAACCTTCTTATGTGTTTCGTTGAGTTCAGCCATCGTCTTCGTCGTCAAACACTCCGATGCCCTTCGGTTTTCAACGCCGAATGTCAATCTATTTTCTGAACTGAACGACAGTCGACTATCACCACCGAATGACAGACTCTTTGCTATCTTGCTCCTACTAGTTTCAGGTTCATCATCAAGCGTATCTCTTTTCCGCTTCAGAAACTGATCACTGGCTGTTCCATCCATACTCTTGGTCTCAGCTTGCCTGACGGGTGATCCGAATAACGCTCGTTTGGATTTCAAAGCCTGGTTTGGGACGGAAGAACATGTTGCGACCGGCTTTTTGTTATCCGGACTGATGAATAAGGCGCGTTTCAGCGTATCTCTGGTTGGTTGGGTTTTAGATAGATCTGAATCCATTAGTAGTCGCCGCATCGCTTTCTTCTTACTGGAACCACCGCTCTTGGTCTTTGGTGTCTTTGCTGGTGTCTTCTTACCGGGGGTCTTCTTGCCTGGTGTGCGACGGGTTCTAGGACTTTTCCTCTCCGCAGAATTGATCAGCTTTCTATGTGGAAAGAAACTTAAACGAATCTTTGTTAGATTGTATATTAAATTATGGCTATGTTGATACAAGTAAAGACGTCAATATAGGACTATACTGTCAATTCGATAATCACTTAAAATTCCGAGCTATTACTTTTAATATGTACATGTTAATATTCTAGTCCTTACAGAACAAAATATCGATTGATAATATTGTCGAAATATCAAACAACATATTAAATAAAAATCAATTAAAAGACCTTAGTTATTGAAAAATATCACTTCCAAACAAATATGACTTACTTTTTATCAATTAACACCATTTTGGAAGACGTTTGTGCCTTCTCATTGATAGTGGCCGCGCTGCAAAAGGCTTGCCGACGTCGAGCCAAGTGAGAGAGCCTCCGACCGGGAGATTTGACTTGAGACATCCTGAATAGTTATATATTAGTTAAAATCCGAGTAATTATAATTGAGAACAATTATGAAGGTGTATACATGTTTGTTGCTCTATTTGATAAAAACTATTTAAAGGATGAAACTAATATTTTCGGATTTACTACGCGATTTTTTATTTTTGGCTATAAACTACATACTCCCGACGTTTCGGCTTCTTTACAGCACACGTGATCACGGGCAGAAGATAAAAAATCGCGTAGTAAATCTGAAAATATTAGTTTCATTTAAATGAGTACTCGCGAAAATCTTAGATCTCATTATTTAAGGGAATTTGATGAAACTTTACAGATATGTAGCTTGGACATCAGAATCGGACATGGATTATAAATAATGTCGATATTTATATCTGCGTAACATAGCTTTGCATAAATTCACATGACGAGGACCATAGATGTAACGTGACCAAGTATTTAGCCTGAGTCTCGGCTTAAAATACAAATATTATTTTACCAAAAAAACCTTTAATACATTTGCATAATACCACACAGATAACTATTAAATCGACAGTTTAAAAATAAAAATATTTATGAATTTTGATCCTAATATTAATACTTCTTAGATTTCTCCGTCTTCCTGGCAATTTTCCGGCTTTAGCCAGGGTCTGCCTTACATGTTGTGAATAGATTTGGCTAATTGGGTTTACGACCGGCCGCCTACCTGACATCAGCCCTCTTTGGGAATGGTATTAATCAGTGATGTCTAAATACTCTTAGAAAGTACATATGACTCGGAAAAATCTTATTGGTAGTTGCCCGGGCCAGGATCGAACCCGCGCCCTCATGCATAAGAGGCGGGCCTCTTAACCACTAGGCCACAACTGACTTAAATACTTTTCAGATTGTGTACAAATATTGTAAAATTAAGATACAAGGTAATTACTAACTTCAATCTCAGTGCTTTTCTTTTGCAAGCACTACTCGGTGACTGTAATCCTCCAGAGTATATATTGACACTCGTATCAGTTTCAGCACCAATGAATCTTTCAGCATACTTTTGCATGAGCAATTCGTATTTTTCCGAGTGGGAGGTTAGATTGTAACTGAAAATATTATCATAAGTTAGTCACTTACATCAATGAAGAACAAACACATAGTAAACTTTAGGGAAACATATAATAACTTACTAAACATCATAGTATTTGCATTTTAACACATCCGGCCATGACGCTTCTAGAACATCAATTTCAGAACACATTTTTATCTCTATGCTCTTATCGTTGATGCTTGTGTTAGCTTGAGATTTTTGCAAAACATCTGGCTGTATTAAACTTGTATTAGTCTTATCCAAATGTACAGTTTCTGAATAGGTGTGTACATTTGTTGTCTCTGGTATTTGTACAAATGAAACCTTTTTAGTTGGTGTCATAGAATTTGCTTCAATATTAATATTATCCTCTCCATTAAAAGCTGGCAGGAAACAGTAATATTTCTTCAACATTTGCGTTACATCAGTCTTAAGTGTTGTTACTGATGGAGGTGGTAGTACACCTTGTAATGTTTCCTGTAAAAATAATATTTTGCTATTATTAACCATGCCAAAACTGTTTTAATATTAGTGAATTTTGATATTATATTAAACAAATCTAAGAAAGATATTAGTGTATTATGCATTAAAATGATAATATCATCCATTTATTTGTCCAATTTACAAATAAAAACTAAAAAGAAAGATGAATATCTATTCTGTTTAATTATAACCCTGAGTTGGGAAATTGTTGTCTCATTAAAAACAAACCAGTATACCAGGATTAAAAACATTCCAAAATTTTATAACAGCAATAAGAATCTTTTAAAATCTATAAAAAAACCTTCATTTATTAATTAAATAAAGATGTTTTTCACCTTCAGAAGACTATTTTCTGTAATATTTTTGTTACAATCTATAAAATTATACTTTGGACTGTTTTTATGCAAAATTAATAACAAATGTCTGTATTCTTTTAGTATGATTAACACAATTTTTATTTGCATACTTTTGTAAGTGGATTCTAATTGTTTTAATTATAATTAGCTGCAAAATTATGTTGAACAACATTAAGATAAGTGAAATAAAATTCTTGGGATGTTTAAATTATGTATGAACATACCTCTATCTTTCTGACTTTTCTTTTATCATACTGCTCAAAGTCTTTTAAAAAGTTCCAAAATGGTTCAGGAGGTGGACTCGGTTCAGATTCATCTTCGTCTGAGAACATGTCAGGGGAACGCAACCCACTATCAAAGGATGCCTCCAGGGATGAATAACTCTGGTCCAAGTTCCACTTAGAATTCCCATCATTATTAATCTGTTCCTTCTTAGAGCTGTCTTCTCCGCATGAACTCTCACTACTCTCAGTGGGATTTAAATTTTTAAGTGACTCATTTGAGTTTTTTTCTTCCATATCACTCGATATTTGTGATTTTCTATCAACACTAGACTCATTTTTACAACAATTTGATATCACATCGGTGCATCGCTCGTAATTTAAATTAAGAACATTATTTGACATGCTTAAAGCAGTCAATGGATCAACTATAGGTTTAAGTTTCTGAACATGTTTAAGTATGGTACCATTAAATGATAATTCACAAATTGGTAATTTAAAAACACTTTCGGTTTGTTTTACGTCACGAAACAAAGGTACACTGTCCACCGCATTGTTACTGTTTTCCATCGTAGAGGTTATAAAAACTGATCTGAATCCCTCAAATTTTGACTCTTCAGAGGATACAGGAACGTCCGTATTGTCAGATTTATCATTCAAACAAGGATTTGTTGCTGAAGATGTTTCCGTCAGAGACGCGGCAAGTGAATTGCAAGGCGATCCTACTTTAGCTACGTCTGGGTCAGAGACCTTATCCACATCGTCCAAAATCGCCTGTATTGGACTATATTCTGGTTTAATTGAATTTACATCAATATGATTCGATAAATTTGATTGTATCACAGTCGAAAGATCTATATTACCACCACTATTAGAACTTTCACAGTTACTAGATGGTTCATTAATTTCTTTATTGTTATCGTTAAAGGTATTAACAACGTTAAAACTTCTCATATACCGCTCATACAAAGATAAACTATCGCTCAAAGAAGGACAATTTGAGTCTTCGAAGGATTCCATCACCACCATCAACACAACATTTTTTTGTTCGTTTAATTATATAAGTAATGTATACATCTTACGGAATAAGTTGTTTACTAAAGCCCGAGAATAAACACGGTCGCAATTTACGCAACTTAAATCATTGTAAGCACTAAGACAGATGTTAATATAAATTGAAACTAAAAAATGTATGGCGCGATGCGCCTAATGCTTTGACATTATTGCGTATAGGCCATAGCTCTTAGCGGACTGTAAAGCTCGATACTCTGTGATTAAAACAGCTGCCAATGCTTTCATTCCCCAGATAATATACAAAATTATTATTGCTATAACTTAAAATGTTTTGCTATTTGCAAGAAACTAATAAGAACGACCTAGAAAAATTTATATTTCAGAAAATTTTGGTATTTTTATTAGTAAGGATATTTAATTAATTATCTTTTTTATAAGAAATAGGTCAATAGGCTTATTGAAAAATTACGTAATTAAACAATAAAATTCAATCGTATAAATTAATTTCGGAAAAAAATTGTATCAACCTCCATGATTAAATAAATAACTAATTAAAATAAATAGCTCCTAAAACATTCACATGAGTGCCTACTCTACTTTATCGAACTCATTAAATTATTAACTACCTTTCGAATGTTTTATGATTGCTATAGAAATAAATAATAATACAAGCACAATTTATAGTATATTGGTATAATATACGATACGATACGATACGCTATAATATACGAATTCAACTAGGTGTTGTAGAAATTATGAAAAGGAATTTGTGTGATTCTATCTTACAATTAGTTATTCAACGTTATCCATATTGAGAGGATATTATGTAGTTAAAAGTATTAGTAATAATATTATGAGTTTTGTACGATCAGTTTTTCAGCCTATAAGATAAGACTTATTAACTTTTTGAGAAAAATAACTTCTAGTTCTATAGGTCGATCTCTTCCATAAAGAGAACAACATTATTTGGTAACATGCTATCTATCTACTCAATAACATAATAAAATAGATTATTTAATACAAGTTAATTTCTGTCATTATGAGTGAATAATATGAGGTTATAATAATAAGTATGTATGTATAAGGTTTTCCCGCAGAACAAGGAAACGATATGACCTCCGTAATCCATTGTTTTTATTTGCAAATTAATATGGTATTGTTTTTAAGTATCACAATACTCAATGATTCTTCGTCGACTTTTGACTATCTATTGCATGTACAATAATAATAATAGTATTACAGCAACGCAAAAATAAAAACTACCACAATATATGTAAGCATTTGTGAACACAAGAGCAGTTTCATTAAATAAATGATTGACCAAATAAATTTCGAGTATAATTTTCATAAATGAAATTAATGAATGTTGAAGTCCGCCTTAAAACAATAAATGAAGTTTAATAGAGGTGTGTAAGTATATATGGTAAGGAAGTATATATGGTAAGAACAAATGTTTAAATTAAATGAGATTCGGAACTTAAATTGAAGTTGGAATTAGCTGACGATAACATTTTCGTTCCGCTGTTTTGATTATTTCGATTCAGTGTCTAAAACATAAATACAATTTAAAAAATACAACTCCAAAATCGTTGTGCGTGAAAACCTTCCGCCCGGAAACAGTAAAACTTCGACTATTGAAATAAAAATAATTAATAAATTTTTAGTGAACTCTTATTGCTTCTTTAAGACAAACTTTATAAACATTATAAATCACAATTGAAACACCCATTAACCTCGCTGCGTATATTTTTATTTCTCTTCCCCAGGAGCGTTGAACGTTCAACGCAACCTTGTTGGAAGTCGCATTAGAAGTTTCATTTCAAAAATATAATTATGAACATCGTTCTTTAACGCACGGATCGAATATCGATAGTTCTTCTCATATAAACTTCCGACATGATGTACCTATGTAATGTACCTATCAGTAAAAAGAATGAAAAAAAACGTATAGTAGAGTAGATTTTCAAAACCTACTTTTATGAGGTATGGGATGTACAACAAATACGCGGTTTTAAGAACACTAAGTCATCTGATTCCCCTATTAAACCACTTGTTACGGTTATCATCCTCATATAAAGGTGGTACTTCACTTAGCGTTGCGTATTCGCCGCTTATATATTTGTCCAAATATTTGTACGTAGTCCAAATAGCGCAAACACGACATCCACACTTGGTATGCCAATACGTCTTTACGAGTTTTCTCTTATTTGTGTATGTGTCTTATTTGTGCAATTATGTCAAATGAAGACGAATAAATCCTCCACACATGGCTTTATTTGGCCGAACACAACAAATAAACGCCAAGTGAAGTGACACCTTAATCTATACTAATATTATAAAGCTGAAGAGTTTGTTTGTTTGTTTGAAAGCGCTAATCTCCGAAACTACTGGTACGAATTGAATAATTTTTTTTGTGTTGGATAGTCGAGTTATCGAGGAAGGCTGTGAGCTATATAACATTACGCTACGACCAATAGGAGCAAAGATATAGTGGTAAATGTGTAAAAAAAGGGAGAAATTATTTCATCTTTGAAGCCTTCCCTTGCGTGCGCCGTGAAAACAGTTCAAGACACACAAAAAATATGTATGAAAGAATAATAGCTCTTTTAATGATCTAAAAAACAGTCCGCGACAGTATATGTCTATCTTTTAAGATTAACTCACAAAAAGCGTTTTTATGGTACCTAATTTGGTCGAAATAATTTAAGTTGTATCAACATAATAATATTAATCTTTATTCAAATAAACAAATAAATATGTTGTTGGTTAAGAGTACTTCATTGTGAATTAAAAAAAACATAGGTTTTATCCTGAAAATTCTACGGGAAGGGAACTCGACCATTCCGAAAACCCCGCAAGAACGGGAACTATGTGGGAAGAACCAAAAATCTGCCGGAAGTCACTATTCCACGCGGACGAAGTCGCGGCAAAAGCTAGTATAATATATTGTATTACCTTTAACGTTTGATATTTGTATTAATTCTATCTATGTCTATTATCTGCGGAGTAATGCTACTATGTTGGGGATTAAAAAAAATTCAACATTTGATTAATAATTTTAATATTTATATATAACCACTGCTGACTCCAAGAGATAAATACATTCCATGATTGTATTCACTTTTAATACAGTCCATACGAATGACACACTACTAGACCTCTGACAGAAACACACAAGCATAGAATGAATGCTTCTGTCAGCGGTCACTTATACTGTACTAGATTGTAACAATATGCACTGGAATTGCGTGTACAATCTAAAGTGGTAATCCAAGTACTTATTGTGCTTGGAAGGTAGCGAGGAAGTCTGAGACGATCTTCTTCAATGAGGCGTCAGACTCGGGAGTGATCTGTCCGTCCTTGGCGATGGTGTTAAGAAGACCCTGGTGGCTGGTCTTGATGTGCTGGGTGAATTCCTTTTCAAAGGCAGTGATCTTGGTTGGGTCCAACTTGTCAAGATGTCCACGTACACCACAGTAGATAATGGCGACCTAAAACAAGTTATATATATGTAGCTGTGATGTATTTTATAAAGAACAACTGTAAATGTGAATGTAAATTAATATGTGAACTTTTTAATTGTGCACTGTTTATAGTTAGTAAATGTTATGTACACTTGTCATTGATGTACATATCTGATGTTTTAATATAATCACTTTAACTCTACATATACATTTATGTATGTTGTAAGTGTGCTTGTTGTAAATAAATAAGTAATATATGTTACCTGTTCTTCAATGGCCATTGGCACATACTGGCCCTGTTTGAGCAGCTCAGTAAGACGCATACCACGGTTCAACAACTGCTGGGTGGCGGCGTCCAAGTCTGAACCGAACTGGGCGAAAGCGGCTACCTCACGGTACTGAGCCAATTCCAGTTTCATGGAACCGGCCACCTTTATAAGTACCAATTTTACGTCATTTCTTTGTAAGGTATATAATTTATATTATAAAGGGAACCAAATATGTGGATATTTTCACCTGTTTCATAGCCTTGGTCTGAGCAGCGGATCCTACACGGGACACAGACAGACCAACGTTGATGGCTGGACGGATACCCTTGTAGAAGAGCTCAGTCTCCAAGAAGATTTGTCCGTCAGTGATAGAGATCACGTTGGTGGGAATGTAAGCTGATACATCACCAGCCTGGGTCTCGATGACGGGGAGAGCGGTCAGGGAACCACCACCCATTTTATCGGACCTAATAATACCAATATATTTAAATAGCTATAGACATAATATGTATATTTGTTAATCGTGTTTTATAAAATATCATTACGTACATCTTAGCTGCACGCTCGAGCAGACGAGAGTGGAGGTAGAATACGTCACCGGGGTAAGCCTCACGACCGGGGGGACGACGGAGCAGCAGAGACATCTATGTTTATAAAAAATCATTATAATAATGTTCCTAATGATTAAGTATCTACACAATTGTAAAATTTTTGTGCTGATGTTACATTATGACTAACAAATTTATCCAACTGTATTCTTTTTTAATATAGGAAGGAATGCGCCCAGTATTTCGTAATTTTTTGAGATTCAATGTCCAATAATAGATAGGACAAGAAAATGTTTATAATATGTTGGACAGTACGGAAAAAATACATTAAATATAATTCTTTTTTTAATTATATAACTGACATACCTGACGGTAGGCAACAGCCTGTTTGGACAGATCGTCGTAGATGATGAGGGCGTGCTTGCCGTTGTCACGGAAGAACTCTCCCATGGCGCAGCCGGAGTAGGGCGCCAGGTATTGCAGGGGAGCGGCGTCAGAGGCGGTAGCGGACACGATGATTGTGTAGTTGATAGCACCTTAGAATTATTAAATTAATCATCATTATCATCAGCCTATCAGAGACCACTGCTGAGCCTCTTCTCACATGGAGAAGGTTTGAGCATTAATCACCACACTTAAGAGGGGTTTGTGATTTCTAACTTATAATTATTATACATATACATCGTGAAACATGACCAGTGAACTTTATTATAAAACTTATACATAGTGTTGATTTACTTTTTAGTTTTAATAATATGATTTTATGTTTTGTTTCTTTAATTTGATTGTGTATTGTGAACCGTTATTTTTATTTATGTTTAAACAAAATGAGCGCGTCTCACCGTCAAGCATGATAGCTTGGTGAGAACAAAAAAAAATTGTAAACCATTATTAATACTAAGAAATAAATAAATATATATATAAGTCCAGGTTTAATAGCATATCTTACCGGCGTCAGTCAATCTCTTCACGATCTGTGCGACAGTGGATCTCTTCTGTCCGATGGCTACGTAGATGCAGTACAGCTTCTTCTTCTCATCCTCGCCTTTGTTGAACCGCTGTTGGTTGATGATGGTGTCGATGGCCAGGGCTGTCTTACCGGTCTGACGGTCGCCGATGATCAACTCACGCTGTCCACGACCGATTGGCACCAATGAGTCGACGGCCTTGATACCTATTGACATAAAACATTGCGTGTTACGTAATAATTAATATTAAGTTTGAGATTTTCTGTATAAATAAATTAAGACATTTCTTAATGTTTTTTTCTAGTTTCGTGTACTATAAAGCGTTTTATCAAATTCAATATGAAACCGAAAATATATTTTATGTAATAGTGTACTCAGACCTTCATCAAGTTCTTAATTGTTCGCTGCTGAAGAAATATGTATGTATACGAACATTCATGTAAGTCATACAATATAATATATTAAACTCACCAGTCTGCATGGGCTCTCGTACGGATACACGGGGAATGATACCAGGAGCTTTAATACCGACACGCATACGTGACTTGGTAGCGATGGGTCCCTTGCCATCAATGGCGTTACCAAGGGCATCGACTACACGACCCAGCAGTTGTTCACCGACGGGCACATCTACGATGGCACCAGTACGTTTGACGATGTCTCCTTCCTTGATCAGCTTGTCGTTACCGAATACTACCACACCCACATTGTCAGGCTCCAAGTTAAGAGCCATACCCTGTGTTTAAATAATATATAATGAATTAGCTTATAATGACAATAATAAAAGTAATTTTCTTTTTTTTTTTCAAATTGGTGCCTTGATTTTTTGAATTGAAATTTTCTCTGTATTTTCTTATACCTGTCATTATATATTGTATTATTATTTATAAACACATTTTTTAAGTATTTTTTAAATATTTTTTATAAAAAATACAAGTCCTGTTTTGGTATAAATCTATTCTAATAACTATCAAATTGCATAGGTTCTTATATAATTCATTGATTTATTTTAGTAATAAAATTTTATTAAAGTACATATGGGAATGACGTGAGAAAAAAACTATATATTATATATTTTTAAATATGTTACAAACCTTAAGACCGGAGGAGAATTCCACCATCTCCTCGGCCTGGATGTTCTTGAGACCATACACACGGGCGATACCGTCACCGATGCTCAATACACGACCAGTCTCTTCTAAGTCGGCCTATAAAGCATACATTGATTATAGAAAGAACCAATTAATAAAGACCATTTTTATGGTCTTCACAAATTAATGGATTATTACTGAATATTATGATATTTTTGTAATAAATTCTTATTGAATTATATTGGAACATTGAAGCAATGAATAAAATATGGTCAATAGTATGATATTATTAATTGTAGGTAAACAGAAAGCAGCTGATATCTTGTGTTAAAGTTTAATATAAAATTGTAATTATGTAACAATTCAAGTGAAAAATCTATATAAGATTGTAAGTTAAATTGGACGCGGATTATAAAGTCGAAATGATATCTTTAAACCTTGTATGGGCTTTTATGTAACAAAGTGTCGAAATCTTACCTTGGGTGCAGCACCGAGGATTCTCTCCTCCAAAATTTGGGAGATTTCGGCAGCCCGTTGTGTGCACGAGACGTGGATCTTGCGCGCAGCCACAGCCACCGCGGGCACGGCGACCTTCGAAGCCTACCAACATAACCAACTTTTTGAAGAAAATTTTCTCTTTACGTTAATTATAACGACTACAGGGCGTCGGTAATTAGATTCGTATCTAAAACACACTCTTGAGCCACAAAATGGACATGCTCTATGACAGAAAACCAATCGCCCTCTATTACATAACGAATTTTACTCGTGAGATAAATAACTTAATACGTTTCTTTCTCAAAGAAATTGAATAAATTTCATTTTAATCTGTATATATTAATGACTTTAAGGTGGTTAAGTGAATATTTTCAACTTAAAACTTTAGAATTTTAATGTGATATGGCCATGGTAGCCGGACGGATTACTGATTACGGTAACTGAATTAGACGAAAAATATATTGTAATTACCTGTGTAGCGGCATTAGGCAGGCGCCTGGCCACCGAGGAGGCCAAACGAGCGGAGATTAGAGACATTTTTCACAATTACTTCAATAAAATGGTAGATAAAAGACCGTGTTAACACTCCGCTCGCGACTCGTTGCGATATTACAGGAAATGACACCAATTGATTATTGTCTATGTTAAAACTCTACTGCAGTTTCGTTTTGAAACATGAGCTTTCTTGTTCTATTACTTCTAGTAAACAATAAAAAATATTTTTTTTTATGACACGAGTTGTAAAAAACTATATATTTTGAGAAAAAGAAATAATTTCAAAAACATTTACTTTCTGCAATATACAATAGCTTTATGAACAAAAACATTTGTCTTTTTAAATAGAAGCAGTAATATTATGTTTATAATGTTAAGTTAAACACATTTTTAAAATTCTTTTTAAGTTAATATAAAAATATTTTATTAAAGGTTTAAAAAATAACATATTTGTATTTGAAATGTCGTCAGCTGAGCGCGTTGACATCTGACAATCGACTTAGTATTTAAGTGATAACAAAAATGTTGATTGCATGCTATATAATTTCATTTAAAAACTTTAAGTTATATTTATTGTGATGGCGATTTTTGAAAAATCTTTGCAAAGCAAGGTTCGAATAGATGACACTGATACGCTAGTATGTCTCTTAGAAAATGCCCAGAGTATCAACAAACATACTGTAAGTATTTAAATTAATTAATAATCTTTAAAGATGATTCCCACTCATAAAAGTAATTCTAGGAATATATTTTACGAGTACAAAAAGGACCAAACAAGGAAAAAACCTGCGTCTCACGTAGATACAGGGATTTTGCGGTTTTGAATACAAATCTGCAGCAAGCAAACATAGATCTGCCCATTCCACCAAAGAAGCTTATTGGAAACATGCAGCCATCGTTTGTAGCAGAACGACAAATAGCTTTACAGGTGATCAAAATTCTAGACTATTTAAACATTATTAATTTAGTAAAGTAATAAGTAGTTTTTACACTAGTAAAGAGGCTGTTTTTGCAAAGATTATATCTTATAGATATGTTTAAGTGTGACTACTTAATAGCTCTTTTAATATGACGATTTTAGATTTTTGACTTCCTCAGAATAGAATATAATAATTAATAAACATCAGAGATTAATGTTTTGCTTATATTCTTTACATATCACCATTTTCCTATTGTATTCAAATAAGAAGATTATATATTTAATTTCTGGTACTGCATATTCTATGTAGGCTGTTTAACCTTGATTCAAATACCAGTAGTTAGGTTATATATATTTTTTCCAATATATCATTATAAGTGTATATTATTTTTATATGTAATAATATAAAACTTCAATCTAGATTCTAGATAGTGAGCTGTCTTAATAAAAAAATGTTTTATTCTAAATTAAATTCTCATGTATTACTTATACTTTGTTACAGAATTATATAAATGAAGTTTTAAAACATCAAATACTAGCTCTATCACTTCCAGTAAGAAGTTTTTTGGATCCAAATAATTACTCACTTTCAATAGCAGGTAAATATTTTTTTATGTTGATCTAATTTTCACACTATGAGCTCACAGATTTGCTACTTATATTTTGACTGTTATTATAACTACTTATTTGATACTTAATTTTTTACAGTAACATTACAGTATTTGAAGTTATAGAAGTTTAAATCAATGTTTTATTATATATTAAATTTACAGAGCAAGCTTTACAGACAGTGTCAATAGCTTTAAGGGGCAGTGGACAATTTGATCTTAAATCACCTCTACCAGATATTGGTTGGAGAATAAGAAAACAATACTTTTTAGTGAGTATTACAAAAATAATTATATTATAGGTATTGCCAGTAGAATGATAATGTGTTGCCATTTGAAGTGATAAATAAACCTATAACAAAAAATTAATCTTTTTTGAAGGAAAACATGCTTAAACAAAGTTATATATAATGCTTTTAGTCGTTTTTATTGTTATTAAAATCACCTTGAATGATATCTTAAGAGTGAAGTTAACAGTTTTATCAAACACATTAAGTATATGAGAAAAATAAAATATAATTTTATTTTTTAAGGTTATATCTTCTGTTATAAATGTTTGTCTTTTTCATACTATTTCTCACTCATAATTCTTAACGATTTGTGTAATAGTTACATACATATTATTTTTTGTCTATTTACGAAGTATTTCATCATATTAAAATTAAAATTTGACACAAGACTATCCAAGTACTATTAAGTATAACATTTATAATAACATTTAACAGTTATGTATTTCAAATGTAAAATACATATTTTTATTTTATTAGCATATTATAAATGGAATCCAATCTGTACTATAGTAAATAAGTTGTTTCTTTTCTCTTATCTCAGGTCAATGAATCTGAAAGTGGATCGAACTGTATATTATCATATCAGAGCTATGGACCCGATCACTGTCTTCATGTTAAAGACCTGCAGGCTGCCTTCAAAAGCTTGCAGAATATATCAGTAAGTTCTATGAACAGTTCATATTATACCTTATATAAAAAATTCTCGTGTCACGGTGTTAGACAAAGAGCTCCTCCGACACGGCTACACGATTAAGATGAAATTTTATGAGCATATTAAGTAGGTCTGAGAATCGGCCAACATCTATTTTTCATACCCCTAAGTCCTAAGCGTTGTTGACCCTTAATTTTTTTTGTCAGACAAAATTTTTTGTTTTTATTTTTTTATAGTAGTATTAAAAAGTACACAAAACCCAAAATTTTTGCTTTTTTATCACCAACCCCTTTTTTTATATGACAAAACATTTGCCGGGTCAGCTAGTATTAATATATAAATTAATAACACTTACTAGTACCTACATTTTGTTTGCTATGCACTGAAACCATATAAATTTTCTTGTCTATTTGTTGCGTACGTGCATATATTAATTATCGGTGGTTTTGTATGTAATACTTATATAGGTTTAAATGAAACTAATATTTTCGGATTATTTTGCGCATTCTACATATTATTATTTTAAACTACAAACGAGGTTTGGATTACTTTGTAACAACTGTAATCAGCAGACGAGATGATTTCAATTAAATGAATACTCGCGAAAGTCTTAGATCTTAGAATATAGATTTAATTTAAAATGTTAATAAGAAACATAAAAAAAAGGAATTTCGTACATAGGAAAGTGAATTTGAACATGTTATTTTATTTTAATTCGCACACTACTACATAATGTAATATATTTTTAATAAACATTTTTTAAGGATTCCTTAATTAACATATTACAGCTAAGTATATTCTGTTGAATTTATCATACTAATAGACGTAATTATATTCAATACAAAGTACCTACTGAATAAATATAGCGGATGTTACAAATTTCATTAAATTGATAACACATACTAAACTCGCGATTTTGACCCTCAACTCTGTATCCCACTGTTTAATCTAAACCATTACTGGCACGCGACTTCTTTTATTTATTACTAGCTCTTGCCCGCGACTCCGTCCGCGTGAACACCAGAGTTTCTATCAGTTAAATATTAAAGTGTTTGCGTAAATATGAAAACTGTATGGCGAGTGAAAGGACGACAATAGAGAATGTAATATAGAGGTTTAACTTTCTATTCGATTTAAGTGTTTAACCAAATATAAAAATAACGTTCAGTAAAAAAATAACTCTACGGTCACTGAATCTGAATAGCACTTCATGGTTTCACCCGTATAGTTTTGGGATTGGGATCGGGATCATGATATTTATTTATTTTTATTAGATCACCTACAAGTATACACAGTTAGAACATTTCAGATACATGGATAAAAAAATAAAACTAGTGGCATCTTAATTAAAGGTGATAACAGCATGCAAAAAAAAATAAAAGTTGAGCGACAACAAGCAGAAAAAAAATAAAAAAAAAACTAATTAACTAACAAACAACAATTTAAAATAAAAACAATAACATAAGTAAAACTATCTATCTAAACTAAATAATTTTGAGAGTAAATAAATAATATTTTATTTTTTAATACTACCGAAAATATCCAAATCATTATCCCCGCTCAATGAATTATAGGCACTCATAATTCTATTGAGAGGGGAGTAATGACCCAAATTAGACTTAGAAATATGCTTAGAAAAAACCGTGCGTTTGTTAGTGCGCACTGACTTGGAAATATATATCGGGATAGGGATAAATTATTTTAATTTTATTTGCATTATGGGTAGGTAGGTATCACGATATAAAAATGTGGGAGATAATTCAAACGGGATAATATCGGCATCGGGTTTGGGTTTCTGATATAAGATAGCCTATGTCCTACTCCAGGGTTTCTTCATCTTCATCTATCTCTATACCAAAGTCCATCAAAATCGGTTGAGTTAAGCCGACCGACACAGACCGACAGACAGAGAGAATTACTTCCCCATTTATAATATTAGTAGAGACTCGATAATACAAAATGTCTTTATAGTTTATTAATCATATGACTCCGAAATTGAAGATCTTGTTTTTTGACGACATGAAAATAATGGAAGAAACGATTCATGTGACCGATTTACGTAAAAAAAACACAAAAAGTCATAAAAATGTATATTTTACAGATTTATGTAAATATTTTTTCAGCATCCGTACATAGCGGACATATTAGCAATGAACACGTTAGAAACTGGCGCCTACGTTGTAAGACGGATATACAAGAATGGTAGCTTCAGAGATCTATTATATGGAACAGAGTATAATAAAAATCATCTGGCTAAATATGGCAACCCGAAGACGAGGAAGCCGTTCACCAACGGTCAGATATCACACTACGGATACCAAATATTACAGGCGTTGAAGTTTTTACACAGCAAGGGCTTACCACACGGTAATTATTGTATATGAGATTATAAAATTTGCATGTGTATGTTATAATACAAACACAAGGGGCCGTCCATAAAGTACGTCATATGATAAGTGCGAGGGTATCACCGAAGTGTGACATCGTGTAATAAAGGATATGGAAGTTAATAGTTTTGTAACGTCACATATAACAATTTAAAACAATAAAACATATGTAAGGTTTGTATGCGAATTGAAAAGTTAAAAATTTGATTCGTTTTATTGTAATGTTGGACTCTATGTTCATTTTATTAGATTATTATTTAAGAAAAATAATTAAAAAATGGATATAGCTGTTTTCTCCCGATTGCTTTACGAATGTGTGACGTCACAACTGGAGGGGGGGGGGGGTTATAATAATGTATCAACCTGTGACATGAACTGGAGAAGGGATTCAAAAGTATTACAATTCGTGTGGTGTACTCTATGGATGGTCCCTAATATTTTGACATTAATAAATAAGGTGTTCCTTGTTTTTATATTTTTTTACGAATATTAATCAATATAGCATTCTATTTTCAACTGTCAATACAGAATTCTATTTTCAAATATCAATATAGCATTATATTTTCAAATATCAATACAGCATTCTATTTTCAAATATCAATACAGCATTCCATTTTCAAATATTCCCAGGTCACGTACACCCCGGCAACATAACCGTTGACAACCAGAGCGCTCTGCTATTGGATATAGAGAACATGTTGCTGGGTGTACCAAGCTTGTACCGGCCGTACGTACTTGATGTGAGGAGAGCTAACACTATGGAGTCAGTGGACGTGTATTGTTTTGGGAGGACTTTATACGAGATGGCCTTCGCGACGCCGCTACAACAATACTACTGTGACGATTACCCTGATAATATACCGCAAGATTTGGGTAACGACATTTGAATATATTGAAACTTTAGTATATAAGCTTTCCAATTTGTTGTGGAGACATACGAGATAATTTTTATTTTTTTTATAAATGAAATAAAAAATAAAGTCGTGGTGTCCTAAGGGTTAAAGGGTCCGCCTCTCGTTCACGAGGATGAGGGTTCGATCCTGGCCCGGGCAAGTACCAATGTGATTTTTCCGAGTCTTATGTACTTTCTAAGAGTATTTAGACATCACTTACAGATGGAAAGACGACGGAAAACATCGTGAGGAAACCTGAACTTATAATTTCAAATTATAAGTTTGAAATCACCAACCCGTCTTGAGCAAGCGTTCAAATTATGAATAATATTGTAAAAGAGAAATAATAGAGTACAATATTAGAATGTTATAAATTCTTATTACGCTTTCATTTAATATCGACTTTTTATAATTTTAAGTAATGACAAAAGTAGCATCAGTTTTAAAGTTTATATATTATTTTACTACTTCTTTTTGAAGCAGAAAATAACATTTAATTATTATTACACACAGAATCGGTGTTAAGGTTGTGTTTGTCGAGCGGATCCTGCAAACAAGACCTCCCGACCTTGGACACCCTGTTACACCATCCACTGTTCACGCGAGCGACGCTCAACGGCCTTACACCACGGTGTGATAGGCGGCCGCATCTGAAGTTCCCTTTGAACATTAAAGAACAGATTAAAACAGCGGTCGGTGTTGTTGAAGACAGGATACAGGCGGATCAGAAGGCCGTACGTTGTATTTAGATTGTTAGTTTGATCTTCTTCCTCCTGGCAATCTCCCAGCTCAAGCCAGGGTCTGCCTTCCTACATAAACGCCTCCGCTTTGCACGGTCTTTGGCATCCTCGGTGGTTAATCTTAGTTTGATGTTAATATAAATTATTTAATATTATCATTCTGTAAAGTATTTTGGCAGTCACAGTAGTAATTTTCTCATATAAATAGTATATTTGTAGACTATAATTTTACTATATTTAACCAATATATAGAGCGTTTAACGTGCGTTAGATAGGGCCATAAACCTACACCTGGTTCGCAAGTCCCAGGCACTGTTATAGCTCCTCTCTCTACAACGATGGACCCTGCACCCGCACAGTGAATACATTGAATGATGAGAAGTTTCGTCTCAATATATTTTATAATTTCAGGTCCGCGCCGCTAGAAAAGAAGTGAGAATACAAGAAATACTCAACTCAGAAGAAGAAATGAAAAAACAGAAGAAGCGAGCGGTATGTTGTTGTATCTTTTATTGCATCCCAATGTTATTAATAGTTTTTTTCACTCATAGCACATGTAAAATTATAGTCAATGTTATATTAATATATATTCTGCATAATTGTAGTTTTGTTAAACTGTATCTTTAAATTTGTTGAAATTAAGAAAAAAATGTATGTTATATGGTAATAATTTCTTAATATCACTGCGGAAAGTGTGAAAATTTTAATTTAATTAATGAGGATCATTTTAAATTTCAGAAAAAGCGTTCGAGTGTGTGGAAGTCAAGTTCGTCGCTGGCGGAGGCTAGTCGTAGCGCCAGTGGAGCCTCCTCGCCCACACTCACACCCATACGTGAGTTATATCTAGTCTTTATACAGGGTGACTGGTGAATTACTATCAATATTTAAGGAGAATACTCGGTACATGATTCTCATTCGAATTATGTAAAAAAAATAGGTACTTAATTTTTGACCAAATTTCCGTATAAATAAGTAAAGTGTTGACACGTTCCAAATGTTCAAGTGTGGACGCGTGCGGCGGCGTGCTGATACAACACTACGTCACGACACGCGTATGTGTGAGTGTCAGTGTATACCTAATCTGTAGGGCGTGCACACGATGCGTAATTAATTACATAACTTTTGGTTAACTTTACTTAGAAGTTTATTAATATTTATGTTATATTAATTTTTATTTTGTCATATATGATCGTCAAATATCACGTCCTCAAATATTGATAGTAATTCACCAGTCACCCTGTATATATAATTCTTCTGTGCGTGTGTATGTCATTGAACTTCTCTCAAACGACTGGTCCGATTTTGATGGATTTTTTTGTGTTCAAGGGGATCTGGGAATGGTTTTTACTGACAATGATTTTTTAATTAATTTTTAATTTATTAGTAGCTGTTGATACAAACTTTTTTTTGACATTAGATTTGACTACTAACTAATATGTCAATCATTCTGTCACACTTCAAAACACGGAGATTTATGGCTTTAATCGGTAAACTCCAAAAATATAAATAAAAAAACGTAACAGATATTACTTGATTATAGGGCGATACAAAGTTGATCATTAGCAGCTCAGATCAGTGTCAAACGAGATTTTTTATTATTTTCATACATAAATAAAATCGATCAAATTAAATAATTACGTGTAATTATTTTATATATTTCAGCAATCGACACGAGTGCAAACAGCTCGTTCCGTGCAGATTCAAGTCTGAACACAGGCAACACCGCTGACAATACACCCAGTAATGGCGCGACTCTTCCCCCTGGCAGCTCTGCCAGCTCACGCGGAGCTCTTCTCAGTGACATTTGTTCGTTCGACCGGAGCCGACTGTCGCGAGTGACGTCATCGTTATCATAGACTATAAACAACATATACATATATATAATCTGTATGAACTCATACAGCTGTAACATTGAGGCCTTGATCTTATTTCGTTTTTATTAAAAATAATGCTACTTATTATGACTTATTTATATTATTTTTTTGGTTAAATAGATTTTTTATACTTATTTAATCAACTGGTATATACGGATTCCAGACTATAAATCCAGTGATCGGAATATATAGCCAGTCATAGACAAAGTTATAATTTTTGTAAAACATATTAAGCATTGTAGCGTTTCATGAATTGAGATGTATGTGATATGGAACTAAATATTTTTATAAATGAATATAATATTTTAAGAGAATCTGATTTAATAATACCAAATATAATAATTAACTTTAAAAAATAAATCAAAAAAGTATTGTACAAAAACTTTTAGTGAATAAAATTATATGCAAAAAATACATTTAGCTATTAGACGATTTTGATTTAAAAAATATCACATTCAATGCAAGTATTACTTCAATATATACGTAGATATATTAGGTATATACAATGTTTTATTTTTTAGTATTATAATATTAATTTAATAGTTCATGATGTACATAGACAATCATAATTTCGTTGTCTATGGTGAGCATATATATGCTGTATTATTTTCAATGTAACTTCTCATTACAGTAAGTCAACATGAACAAAAATTGTTTTATATTTTACTTCGAGATCTTTATAATGAAGTGATAAGTGGACTGGTCACCACGTATTGGTTTAAAGAATATTTAGAAGCTTTAATTATACATTAGTTTAAGAGCGTAAATTATTTTAATATAATCATTTGTTGTACTTTAAGAGAATATATAGTTGAAGTGAATCTGTTATTTTATTTGTTTAACTTGAAATCCGATTATGTTATGTTTATCTACTCGCAAATTCCCAGCTTTAGCCAGGGTCTGCCTTAAATGTTGTGAATAGTTTTAGCTAATTTTTTTTACGACCGGCCGCCTGCCTGACATCAACCATCTTTGTTTGATGTCTAAATACTCTTAGAAAGTACATATGACTCGGAAAAATCATATTGGTACTTCCCAGCATCGAACCCGCGCCCTCAAGCATGAGAGGCGGACCCTTTAACCACTAGGCCACCACTGACTTCTAAGCCAATGTACTGTTGTATTTTAGTATGTTTTGATTACAGTCAATTGCCATAAAAATTGCCTAAGACGGTTTTGAGTCTAAATATATTTTGTAGGACTGTTTGTAATAAAACAATCCGATAGTTTTTAATACATCTTTAATTAAATTTAAAGATTAAAATATTATTTTTTCATAAGATTCTATTCAATACAATCAAATGACGGCATTCGTCACGACAACTACAAGAGGATAAGTTTATAACCTACTATACCTTATATATATTATTAATTATAATTTTGATGTGAAAATTATAGAGGCAATAGCGTTATTCATTATCATATAAAGATGTACTTTAAATATTACACAAACATACATTATGTTTCGACTCAAGTTCTAAGACAATTAAGAGACCAATCAACCTTTGCTGATAGTCACATCTATCCTAATTAATAATTAATTTATATTTTAATTATGTTATTTTATCATGAACTAGAATATAATCACAATCTAACATCTATAGAAATTAAGAAGACAGCTATAACTAAAACTTCCCTAAAAAGCAATCAAAGAAAAGTCTGATAGCTCAACAATAAATCCTTTAGTATCACAATATAGGAAAAATAATACAATCGCTCTGGCTAATAAAACAAAAATAAACAAAATAATTCAATATACCAAACGATGATTAACAAACGTAAAATTATGTAATTCACAATTATCCTTATACTATGTAATCTAAGCTTCACGTTCACTCCAATTCAATTATATCATCAAAATCATCGAGATTGAAATCGCTGAGAGTCATTTGTTCTGAAATGAAAGGATTTTTGTTATAAATACATTCTATTTAACTGAAATTAATTTTAATATAATAAGACTTAAGCATTACAGTTAGAAGAAACTAATTTTTTCGGATTACTGACCGTATTTTATTATTTTTTAAAACTACATACTTGAAATTTCGGTTTACTTTGCAGCAACCGTGAACACGGGCAAACGAGATGTGAATGTCTGTCAGTTGTTCTTGTAAAAAATACGCGAAGTAATCCGAAAAGTGTTAGTTTAATTTTAATGCAATCACTTACTTTTGCTTTCGGCTTTTAATTTTTTCGAGGCGCCCTCTGTCCAGGACGAAGACCTTTTCGAGCTACTGGGTGACTGAATCGGTTTCGATGTAACTGTTTCTCTTTTTGATGCTTTGTCTAGTTTACTGTGAACAAAACAATAAAATAATAATAATTCTAATGATATATATTATAATAATTTTAATTAGACATTTAATATAAACATACGTGATTGTGGCAATTTTTTTTGTAACCGTGGCGTTAGAAGGTCCAGCTAGGTCAACCACAGTAGTTTTCGTGTAAGTTTTTATATTTCCGTAGTGGTGACTATTAACATCTGTTAAATCTATGACGTCTTTGTTCACATCTATCCAAGAGATCTTTGGCGCCTGACTGTAATTTCTTTCAGACGATTCTTGTGGTATCTTACTGGCTTGATTATCGTTACATTTGGTTTTCAGTGGTACTTTTGGTGGGTGGCGCGATGTATATTTACTTATATTGTCGATAGTCTGTTTAGTCTTCTCATCTGTAACAGCAGGTATGAAAACCGCATTCCTGATCACCGAGAGTGGGTCTGATTCATCCCTCCTCCTACCACCAGGCGGTTGGATTTTCAATAACCTTTCTTTAAACAAACTCTGTTTCGGATTATCTGATGTTTGGGGTTTGATCGATGAAGGTGTGCTTGTCAGCGATGTCTTGGTACCATTGTCGTTGTTTCTAGCGCTAGTTGCCGTCGGAACTTTGTTTTTTGCAGTAACAGCTGGTCTAACTCGTTTTAGAATTTCCACTTTACCGGATTCGTTGATGCGAATAATGTCACCCGCATCGCATTTCGTTTTGGTAACCACAGACGGGGTATTATTATTTACTTTCGATTGAGAGCTGGTCTTAACGGGTTTTTCGCTGCATACTGCTGTTGCAACTGTTGTAAGTGGCAGAGTTTTGTTACCCGATTTTTGTAACACTAAAATGTTTTTCGACTTGCTCTCACTGCCTGTCCGCTTCTTGTCTGTCGGTCTTATTATTAAGGTGCGAGAATTTGAAGATTTGAAAACCATTTTCTCTTGTGTTTTATCTTGATCGTCATCATCGCTGTCCAAACATATCGTTTCACTGGATGCCTGTGATGGCACATCTTTCTTATTATTCTGTTCCACTTCTGTCTGTATTCGATCTTTCGTGGTATTTTTCTTTGCTGGTGAATCATTTTTATTTTGGTCAGCTTCGATATTCGATGTAGTTGAAGGTGCCGTTGTTTTGACTTTCTGACTTTGTGTCTGGTCTGGTCGTGATTCTTCTAAAGATGTAGGTGTCATTTCTTGAACACGCGCCTCCTCTGAAGACACAGCTGTAACGATCAGTTCTTTGGAGTTCTTTCGAACGTATCTTTTAGGAGTAGAGATAGGAGACGATGATAGTATAACTTCATCTTCGTCCGGCAAAATGCTTTCCTCCTCAGATGGCACCTGGTTCGAAGCCGCTGCAGGACCTTTAAAACTGAAATATAGATATTAAATTTTGATTAATACATATTACAATGATTTTTTTATTTAAGGAAATATCGAACATGACATTAACTCACATTCCTACAGGAACAACTTTAGCCGATGTTTCCGACTGTTTGCTCGAAGCCACCTCTTCAGCAACGTCAGTCAATTCATTCGTATTTTTCTGCTCGTCTGTTATTTTTTTAGATAAAGTTTTATTTTTATCTTCATTATTTTTCTGTCCTTTATCATCTTTACCTTTCAAATGATCTTGTAATTGAGCTGTGTTTTGTAAAAAATTTTCTGCAGTATTAATTTTTGGATTGGCGTTATTTAATCTTTTAATAAGATCTTTTCCTAATATCTGTAAATAATAAGAAGGTTGGATTTGTCTATTGCAAGTTACTTTTAGATGACATTATTAGAGATGGGGAAAAATATTTAAGAATACATAATGATAGAGGAACAAGTATAGTTATATATATATCGAAGATGCCATTAAGTACATTTACTGTATATTTCTTAAATAATCACGTATTTTTTGGGTTGATACTTACTTGAAGAGCAATATCATATATGGGTCCGGAAGTCAAGCCGTTTCCGGAAGCTTGAACCTCCTTCAAAGCCTTCAGAGTGCTGTACTGTGCGGCGAGCGTGGCAGCGTCTTCGTCTAACATCGGGTTACCAGTGAGGTATGTACGCGCGACTAGTGTTATGAAATTTTTATTAGTCAATACGGATTCGTGTAACGGTATCGGTTGTTCGTCATCCAGTATCGACTTCGCCTTAGAACTTTTTTGTACATTTTGATTTCCTTCTGTCTGCCTCTCAGAACTTTTCAGTACATTTTGATTTCCTTGCGTCTGCATCTCAGAACTTTTCTGTACATTTTCATTTCCTTGCGTCTGCCTCTCAGAACTTTTCTGTACATTTTCATTTCCTTGCGTCTGCGTCTCAGAACTTTTCTGTACATTTTGATTTCCTTGCGTCTGCGTCTCAGAACTTTTCTGTACATTTTGATTTCCTTCTGTCTGCCTCTGAGAACTTTTCAGTACATTTTGATTTCCTAGCGTCTGCGTCTCAGAAGTTTTCTGTACCTTTTCATTTCCTTGCGTCTGCCTCTCAGAACTTTTATGTACATTTTTATTTCCTTGCGTCTGCCTCCCTGAACTTTTCTGTACATTTTGATTTCCTTGCGTCTGCCTCTCAGAACTTTTCTGTACATTTTGATTTCCTTGCGTCTGCTTCTCAGAAGTTTTCTTTACACTTTGATGTCCTTGCGATAGTTTCTGTGTTATCAGTTCTGTTATAACAGGTTCGTCATCATCACTTAGTATAATGCTCTCATTTGATATAGCGTCTTTATTTGCTAGAACTTTGTTTCGATATAATTTTATAGGCTGTTTATTTTTACTTTTCTTTTTCGGTTCTTCTTTATTTTTTGATTCCACGCTTGCGACTGACTCTTTAGTCGACGTTGGTTTTTTTGTTGTATCTTGTTGTTTTAAGAGTTTTTTCGATAATGTTTTTTCCTTATGTTGATTATTTATCAGCTTTTTTGTACTTTCTTTTTTAATTACTGTTGATTTTTCCGTCGATGGTTGCTTTTTTGTCTTTTGCTCATGGTTTTTCAATGATTTTTTTACTATTGATTCTTTGCTCTCAATCGGTTCTTTCTCGTTAATTGCCTCACTTGTACCTTCGGTGTTAACGTCATTATTATCACAGTCATCAATAACTTCTATACATTCGTTCGATGAGTCATCTTCTTCTATTTCATTTATCTCATTGTGCATCTCCTTTTCTTTATCAACCTGTGTATTTATTTTATTCCGTTCTGTGTTTTCTTCATAGTCATCAACTTGTATAAAAACTTTGTCTACATCGGAATCTTCCTTAGAAGGTTCAAATGTTTTGTGTGATATATCTGCTTCTTTTGAATTATCGTCCAAATAACCTTTTAATATCGGCATATCGCATCCAGTGTCACCTGTATTTTCGGTTACCGTATTTTCAGTAGAGTCGTTAGTTGTTTTTGTATTACATGAATCATTCTGTTTCTTTATCCTTATATATGTTTTTCGTTTTCTCGTGTCGGGCGTGTATTCTTCATCTGAGTCTCGTCGTTTCTTCCGTCGTTTTCTTTCTGTGAGCGTAATGTCTGTATCATCGGAACTTTTATCACCATTGTCATCAACATGTTCATTTTTCACGTTATCTTGTAAGGGTTTATTATCAGCCTCTATCAATACTCGTGCAATACTCGCGATTAAGGGGTCTACATGTTGGAGACCGTTCTTCGGAGAATTTGCTACAACATCGCGCACATTTTTTACTAATTCAGATATTTCTTGGAGTGTTTTCATAGTATGAAAATTGTGTTGAATCAAGATGTTCATAATTTTCTTTATCATAGCTCCTTCTAGTTCCGGATTCAATTCCTGTTGACTGGTGGACGGCTGCGGTTCCTGTTTTTTAGTTTTTGTTTTCTTTTTATTTGTCTTCTTGTTAGTGTCGTTGTGAGCGGGTATTGGTTCACCATCCTTTTCATTCCCTTCCTCTTCTATCGGTTGGTTTGTTAAGTCCTCTTCGTTTTTTATGGGAACATTTATTTCAACATTTTGAATGTCTGAAATACAAAAATATCAAGCTAATATAATCTCTTTTACTTAATAATATTTTTGGTTAAATTATTTTTTCAATGTAAATCTTATGTAATTTAATGAACCTAGAAAGTTGACTATATTATATGAATAAAACCTTACATGAAAGTTTTAATTTTGGATTTATAATTTCACTACCATTTATGAGTTTACAACCAGTGTATGTTATATACAGGGTGACTGGTGAATTACTATCAATATTTAAGGAGCATACTCGGTACATGATTCTCATTCGAATTATGTAAAAAAAATAGGTACTTAATTTTTGACCAAATTTCCGTATAAATAAATAAAGTGTTGACACGTTCCAAGTGTTCCAAGTGTGGACGCGTGCGGCGGCGTGCTGATACAAAACCACGCCCCCGCCGCGTGTGTGTGAGTGTGTGTGTATACCTAATCTGTAGGGTGTTCACACGATGCGTCATTAATTACATAACTTTTGGTTGACTTTACTTAGAAGTTTATTAATATTTATGTTATATTAATTTTTATTTTGTCATATATGATCGTCAAATATCACGTCCTCAAATATCGATAGTAATTCACCAGTCACCCTGTATATACATGTATTTGTAGAATGTTTGCATTATTAAAAATAACTAATGGTTTAGTCAGTGGTGGCCTAGATTAATATTCAAACCTTCTCCATGTGAGAAAGAGGCCTTGCTCAGCAGTGGGCGCTGATAGGGTGATGATGAATATCAATTATATTCATATAATTATCTATACTCATATCGTACGTGTGGTCCCGTGCTCCTGTTGGAACTGCATCCACGCAGCGTTCCTCTCGTGTTCGGGCAGCACGCTGTCACTGGAGCCCCGCAGCAGTGAGTCGTGTTCGTGCACCGCGTGCAGTGCGGCCCCGCCCTGCGCCGCCACACGCAGAAGGGCTGCGTCCCTCACACCCGCCGCCAGCCCCGCGCACACTCCCGACCCATCCTCGTCCAGTCTGATCATAATAATTTTTACTTTTATTTTATTTTAATTTAGGGAAACAAACAATAAGATAAACTTATGGGATATGAATATACAAAATTACATATATCAGCTAAGTTTCCACTGGTAATTAGACACATATTATTAAAATTAAAAAAAGACTAACATACATAAAATCAAACATTAAAAACGTATACTGACGAATTTCTTCGGCAGTTATGAAAAAATAACATAATAAATAATAATTAACTTCGGCCATTAATACATTGATGAGCTCGAGTTATATTGGTTAGTATTTAAAGTAATTAGTTCGATATATTAATGATTGGTATCTCAAATGAAACGCGTTCAATAAAATGGTTCTATTCTTATTTACGTCTTCAAAAAGTCGCAGATTGATTTTTAAATTTAATTTAAATAGGATGTTACTGAATTTCTTTGCCCATACTTTTAGTTGACACTGTATTTTTTGAAGAATTTTATTACATTTATATTTAAATAACCACCAGCTTCTAGTAGGTTAGATAATAGACATTTCACTAAAGCGTCAGAGAGTAGTTATTACGCGACATTAAGCCTCTATTATATTAATGTCAATAAGTGTATTATTATTATTAATTTAATGAGTATTCTATCACCTCACCTGTACAACTCCGACAACTCCGCCATATTATAATGTCTCTCTATCTGCTGTTCGTCTACTACCCGACAGGCGACCGCTTGTTTCGTCACTGATCTTTCATATATCTTCTGTTCCATTGTTCCCTGTACATTTGATATTTCATTATTTACTTATAAAAAAAGTATATATATTTAATGTGAATATATTTAATTATCGCTTTATTATTGTATTAATTTAAACCATTGTAAAGTTTCTCAAGGCATTTTCTGTATATTTGTGGTATACACATTTACTCTACCTTTCCTACCTTCAAGCAAAGTCAACTATAACTATTCTTTTATTTATAATATTTTACGCAATCATCTTTATATTTGTCAATCAACGATGTAATTAACATACATATGTATAAATCAGTTTGATAAGCTTTTTTGTTAAACATTTCTGGTTACAATTCATTACACACTTAGGGGTTGTCCATTAATCACGTGGTCTTTTTTTATCATTTTTTAACCCCCCCGCCCCCATTGGTGATACGTAGTGAGGTTTAAGACCCCCCCCCTCGCCCTTCTCAACATCACGTGTATTTTTAGTACCTACAACGAATCTTAAAATTTTCTGAATATTATCTTAATTTAAATACAGGTATAAACTATAATCTTATTTTATTCTGAAATTAAGGACCATAATAAAAATGTCTACACCATGACGGCGAGTCGAGGTCACTACACGCCACGCTGTGCCGCTTAATATTTGTTTAAAAATCGCGCGTTAGACGAAAAAATAAATACACGAGATATCTTACTACACCCCCCCTCCCCCTTGTGTTATTTTCGTGATTTTTATCAAACCCCTCCCCCCCCTTTCAAGCCTCACGTGATTAATGGACAGCCCCTTATTAAATAAGTGGCAGTTTATCTCACCATAGCCACCAGCCTGTATATATAGCAGTCCTTCTTCTGTCCGAAGCGGTAGACCCTGAAGATGCTCTGCATGTCGTGTGCGGGGTTCCACGACGTGTCCATGATGATGACTCGGTTGGCCGCCGTCATGTTGAGGCCCAGGCTCCCGGCTCGTGTAGACATCAGGAACAATCTGACGAAATACGACAATATTATTAAAACTTTTATTTTTTTATGTCAATGAAAACAAACGAGCAAACATGGTATTAGGGGGACGTTGCAACCTTTGATTGGGCAAAAAGGAGAGGAAAGGGTGCGAAAACGGAAAAAGGCAACCGTCTCTCTCACTTGTGATGAAACGTTTAAGACTACTTCACGCTGATTGTTTACACAATACACATCTTCTTCCATGAAATCCCTTTCTTCGTATGATTTATGCAAAAAAGAAACTTTGAAGAATTTAACTGATTGATAGATAGTTAATTGTTTTAAATGATAGTTGAAACCGTCTTCTTCCTCTTCGTTATATTTTATTTAATATGATTGAAAAACTAAATACTTCATAATTTCAACGCCAAACCCAGTTTAGTCTATAGTAACGAACGTTATAATAAAAAAATAATTCGTACACTTTGTATTATTAAAAATAAAACTAATATTTATCAGATTTACTACGCTTTCATAATAATTTTTAACTACATAATCCCGACGTTTCGGTTACTTTACAGCAACCATGATCACGGGCAGACGAGATGTGTATAATTATATCGTCGGAGATATTGCAAATTCGCGTAACTACCATTGGATAATTCCGCGTATCTACATTGGAAGCAGATTAACGGGAGAAAGTTTAAGCTGAAATGTTTTCTAAATAAACGACTTTTAAGGTATTTTATTTTACTATCAGCAATTATTGTTTAATTTATTAATAATTATGAATACATGTGACGATTTATAATCCTACTAATATTATAATTGCGAAAGTTTGTGTGTGTGTGTGTGTGTGTGTATGTTTATTACTTCTTCACGCTCAAACGGCTGAAGGGATAAAATTTTGTATACAGGAAGCTGACGTCCAGGAATAACATATAGGGTACTTTACATCCCGGAAATCGCGGGTAACACCGCGGGGCGCAGCTAGTATATAATAACTCACTTGGTGTGTGTGTTATGAGGCGCGTTGAACTCCCGGCACCACTTCTGCCTGACCTCCGCCGGTACGGAACCATCCAACCTGTAGTAGTCGCGACCTAACGACCACTTGTTGTCACGTCGGAGGAAGAACTCCAGCGCGTCCATAGTGTACAGAGACGTTGAAAATATTAACCTACATACAGATATAAACATTTATTTATATTTATTAAAGTAACAAAAATAGTTAAAATAACAGTACTACATAAAAAAGTAATGGAAATGATGACTCATCGATTAATAATGACTACCAGAAACTTTTGATACATGAAATAAGAGCGAAATTGTGGTGTGTGCGAAATTCAGATTATATAAATGGTAAAGGCGTGTTCAGACAAATTAAATAAAGGGATGTTCACACTCATTAAATAAGAGCACATTCGCACTCATTAAATAAGAGCACGTTCACACTCATTAAAAATAAGGACTCTCAGAATTAGTAAATAAGGCCAGGTTCATACTCATTAAATAACGGCACGTTCACACTAATAAAATTAAGCGTCGTTCAGACTCATTACATAAGGGGAAGTTCTCACTCAATACATAAGGGGTAGTTCACACTCACACTTTATCCCCGAGCTGTACACACTCGTGCAGCAGTCTGAACACCACCAGGAATTTGTTGGAGGAGTCCAGTTCGTTCAGCTCGTGGCTGTGCTGCGTGCGAGCAAACCACTCGGCCGCCGCCGCCACGTGCTCGGGAGACTCTTCAAGGTCATCCTCCAACTTCTCCACTGGGGACCAACACATATTATATTTACAATCTTATTTCCTAATAAATAAAATCCATTTTTGACTGGATAATTATATTACGGAACATCAGACGTTAGTTCAGAGAAAAATTCATAATTTAGATATGTTTACTAACTGGTAGTGCCATCTGTAGTGTGTGACATAATATAACTTTGTATAAAATCACAACCTTACAAGAAATTTCGTGGATAAATGTCAACATACTTTTTTTCTTTACTGAAATTTCCAATAAAAATCCGTTAGTTGTTTTTGTGTGAGATAATCTCCACAAACTTTGACATGAAGAACCAATAATGTTAATGTTTGATTTTACTTGATAATAACCTTTAACTTTTGTTTCCTTGTCGTCGGCGCGCGTCTTCGTCAAGAAGTTATGCAGCACCTGAGGATGCGTCCATACTTTCTGTAGCACGTGGAAATCCTTAAGCACACTTTGCTTCGTGTCCTTCGCGCAATTCGTCAGATAATGTTTGTAAAGTTCCCACTGGCACTTCGTCAGTGATATGAACACGGTGTACTCATATTTCTTCGGCAAGTACGGATAAAGTACGGACGCCTCTTGACGCTGCAGACACCCTTCTAAAACTTTGTGAAGAATATGTGTGCGAGCCTTCATCAATTTTATATCTTCCTCACTCGAATCCCTGTGCTGCCCGTTCATAATTGGATTCTCAAATCTAGAAAAATATTTTTATGCGTATTTGAAGTCTAAATTGTATTTCAATAGAGTTTAATTTCATTTAAATCCTTACCTGTTTGAGTATTCCGAGTAAGATCCTAATAGATTCGGTTTAACGAAATTCACCATGCAGTAATATTCTCTGAGATTATTCTGCATCGGCGTGCCCGTGAGTACAATACGTCTCTTAGTGACCACTCTACTCATGGCTACGGCCAGTATAGAGCAGTCGTTCTTCAACAAATGTCCTTCATCGCAAACTATGATGTCTGGACCAGGATCCAACAGCGCTGTGCGAATTTTGTTCAGGATTTTGGGTCTTACGCCGTCAAGAACATGGTCCAAAGTACTCAGACTCCTAAATAGTTCGTATCCAATGATAAAAATACCACCTCCATTATACCAGTCCTCCAATTGATATGCCCGTTCGTAAGTCTTTTTCAGTTTAGACAATTCAAATACCTGTGACAAAAGATCTTGTGAGTTAGTAAAAAATAAATAAACAAAAAATAAAAATTTATTGTTTAAATCAGTTTGTACAGCAATAGTTAGGAACAGGAATTTTGAAGTAGGTTTAACCTGTATTTCAAAATACCCGTTCCTCCTCCTGGATATATACATTATACATATATCGAAACAAATAATTATATATCCTATGGATCAATATTTACTAGAGAGTAATAAATATATTATTGGATGTTTCAATAAGATATCCAGTGCATGCCATCTAATTCTACATACATGTGGCAGTTAAAATATATCCATTACCTAATTTAACGATTCGTTTACTGTTATTGAAGGTTGTTATAATAAAGCAAATGTGATGATTTTTCTAGTCCCAGGTTACTTTCCTATGTCGACGTACTTTTCTTTCATCTAAGTCAGTTTTTCCCAAAGTGAGCGATAACACCCTCTTATGGGAGCAGACTAAAGATGGGCTTTAAAAGACTCAGAAAATTTTTTTTGGCGTTTGGTAGAGGCCTGGTGCGTGACTTATAATTTTATTTAGCTTGGATAAGTTATAGTTGCTTTTAGGTAGGTGAAAATATTGGGGCGCTGTAAAAATTTATTCTCAAAGTGGTCAAGAGACAAAATAAGTTTGGAAATCCCTATTCTAAGCTCTACTCTACTCATATGTTGAAAAATGTAAGTGTAGTAAAAATATAAAAACTGCATTGTACCTGTAGTTTCCTTTTAACATTCTGTTGCTTGAAAAGTTAATTTTAATACGATTAATAGTTATCAACAATTCTAAAAGTATATTATTTGTTGCTTGTATATGTATAATACTTAACCAAAAGTAGTGTGAATACCTTGATCTGATTGGTGACCGGTCCGATCCACTTGTGTATTTCGTCCACCCAGTTGAGGACAGTGGATAAGGGACAACAGACCAACACACGCCGCATGCCCAGCTGTGGGTGAGTCAACACCTGGGAATATATATACGGAACACATTATTATATATATCGGCGCTACCAGCTTTAATAACGGATGCGACATGACTTGAGCCGTCAACAATTATTATTAAAACTCATTAGTATTCATGATTATTGTTAAAAGTAAAACGAAATCAAAGATTGTTTAAAAGGAGAATAGAACTATGTTTAAATCTTGGTATTAATATGACGTCTGAACGCACGAAGGCAGAGTTCAGTGTTCAGTGAGTGCGGACTATTGAAGTATGTGATTATGAAGAACCTTCGAGAAATACCGCATTAAGAACTTCAAATTGAAGTTTCATTTTAAAGTATCATGGAACGCACTAGAAGAAGTGACATTTATTACGTCAGCGAGGCTGGCGTCTCTCTCTTTAAAAATAACGAATGTGTAATAAAATCGATATATATTACTCCAAGTTAACGTTTGTGTTAGTTCGTGTGTGTGTGTGTGTGTGTGTGTGTGTGTGTGTGTGTGTGTGTGTGTGTGTGTGTGTGTGTGTGTGTGTGTGTGTGTGTGTGTGCGTGTGTGTGTGTGCGTGTGCATGTGTGTGCGTGTGCATGTGTGTGCGTGTGATGTGTGTGCGTGTGTTGTGTGTGCGTGTGATGTGTGTGCGTGTGCATGTGTGTGCGTGTGCATGTGTGCGCGTGTGCATGTGTGTGTGTTGGTCATATATGTTACATATATACCGTGTGTAACAACGCCAACACTTGCAGCGTCTTCCCGAGCCCCATACAGTGAGCCAGTATGCAGCCCCCTCCTCCAACGCCCGATGACGTCATCGCTACGGTCTCGAAGCACGCGTCCCACATGAACTTTACACCTTCATACTGAAATATATAAAATACATCATCAATAAAATTTTCTAACCTATATTTTCAATATTTTTTATAGAATTGATAACTCATCTACATAAGTTAGGAGACGATAGACGACTTAAATGGTGAAGTTATTAAAACAACATATACCAGAATTAGCAGGTTGGTTTCCTGCTCGTGTTGATGAATAATTCAATATATATTCTCTATCAACACTTTATTCAAATTCATTTACAATGTTTAAAGTTACTGAAATCGTTTTAATAATCCTTACAAAATATTATGTGAGGTGGTAGAGCCTATCTGTGGTCAATTACTACAGCTCGAACATGGGCTGGCTCGACCGGGGAAGTACTACCCCTCATAGAAGATCGACGTGAAGTAGTCTTTAATGGCTGCATTTCGTCCGATGAGTGAAAGAGCAGGTTGCCCTTTATACACCCTTTCCTTTCTATCCCTTTCCCACCTTTTCCTCTCCCTTTTCCCAAGGGCAGCAACACATCCGCAAATCTAGGTTGCGGATGTCTATGGGCGACGGTACTAACTGCATCAGGTAGGCCGTCTGGTCGGTTGCCCCCTTTAACCATAAAAAAATTGGTGTCTGTATGTTTATATATACCTGATGTGCCTTCATGACTTTAGTGAAGAATGGATGCACGCTGACAACAGGCCTCTTGGCGTAGAAGTCATACTCCAGACACAGCTCGTCATTGATCACAACGACACGAACGTCTTCCTCACAACCCAACACCTCTCGCTGAACATAATAATGACAAAACTTATGTATTAAACAATACTTTTACCTAAGTTTTTATTACCTATTATATAATAGATAGTGATATGACTTATTACACTCAAAATTAAAACATTTTGGTTATTTAAAAAATATACATGTATTGGAAAAAAATAAAAAATTTAATGGAACCGTACAATGAAGTATGTACAATTAATTATTATTAGATTTATAGTCCAATAATAATTGATGGTTTGACTATTCCATAGTTTTTCCTAATTTCAAATAATTAATAACATTATAATCTTAATTTGAAAGATTCAACAGATATGGAATAATTCTATTGTTATGATAATAAAAAATAAAAAATACATAAATCATATCTATATTATGGATATCTACTAATATTTGATGTACTTCACATTTGTATTCGCCGAAATAAAGCTATTAACACACTGGCAAATACAATTATATCATGTTGGTGAGTAACCATATATCCTCACTTCATCCATGTGACTGGTAGCCTTATATAAAACCAATACTAACTAGTTGTGCCTGACGTATGCTCAGCCTTCGTTTACGCTCGAACTCCGCCATGTTTGCTACAACAGTGCTACGTGCTAACAATTTCTTGTCTTTCACCTGGAATAACAATAATTAATTTAGTTATTTTTCATCTATAACTTATTCTAAGTATACAGGGTGACTGGTGAATTACTATCGATACTTGAGGACGTGATATTTGACGATCATATATGACAAAATAAAAATTAATATAACATAAATATTAATAAACTTCTAAGTAAAGTTAACCAAAAGTTATGTAATTAATTACGCATCGTGTGAGCACCCCACAGATTAGGTATACACACACACTCACACATACGCGTGCGGTGGCGTGGTGTTGTATCAGCACGCCGCCGCACGCGTCCACACTTGGAACACTTGGAACGTGTCAACACTTTATTTATTTATACGGAAATTTTGTCAAAAATTAAGTGCCTATTTTTTTTACATAATTCGAATGAGAATCATGTACCGAGTATTCTCCTTAAATATTGATAGTAATTCACCAGTCACCCTGTATATGTTTAGAATTAATCACCTTTCTAATATTCCGGCGCCCTTTGCTTGTATTTGCTTGTGAATATTTTTTTGTATACCCCGAGTCAACACCGAAAAGCTCTCTAGACAGTACTCTAAAAAGAAAAATATATATTTGTTTATTATGATGGTCAGAACTAGTTTGAAGTCTATTGTATGAAGTCTGATCTTAGAATATATTTCCTCGAATTGCTTATTTTAATATATATCTACTGTATAAAATAATTAACAAATTGTGTATATATACAGATATATCGAAATATTAATGGGCGTGATTGTAAACTTAAGTTATAAATATATTAAAATTCATTGTATTACATACTTCAGTTGTTTTCGCCTCTCATTGATTTTGTTTTTGTTGCTTCTTCTTTTGTTCCGTATCCGTGGTCTTGTTTCGGGCATCTCTCCTCGCTTCTCGATGAACTCGTTAACGATCTTAGCACGTTTGGCATCATCGATACTAAAATATAAAAAATAATAATATGTGGAATTAGGAAGATTTAAGTTGTACTTACGATGACATAATATGCCTTCGTGTCTCTATAACATTATTAATTATTTTTAAGGTTTAAATTTCTTATAGTTTAAATTTATATGGAACTATTTGAACCTTCAAGGTCAAAGTTAACATTATAGTCCAGTTGTTGACAAACAGTTATTCTTAAACATTCAAAAGTCTATTAGAATTCTTATTTCTAACATTCTTTATATTTTTTTTTTGAAAAACTAAGAATTACACTGATGTTACAATTACTTAATAAATACTAACTCAGTGTCGTCGTTCTTTTTAGACAGTCTTTTAAGGAGTTTCTCTTTAGTCGTGAACCACTGCTTCTGTTCTTCTGAAGATGAATCGTCTTCGGATTCGATTCTATGTCGGGTGAGCTGAGCTTTGGAGGTGTTCTTCTTAAAAGTTGATAAAAAAACTGTTTAGAAACTAATATTTTTCGGATTATACTACGCGACTTTATTTTTGAAAAAAAAAAACTACATACTCCCGATGTTTCGGCTACTTTTCAGCAACCGTGATCACGGGCAGACGAGATGTCAAAAAACTTGACTGTTTTGTAACTTTTTTTAAAAAATTAAATTGATTTACCTGAGATTTATTATGACATTTTTCTTTAAACTCTTTAGAATCTTCTTGACAGTCCTCGTGTTTGAGTGTGACGGGCGCGTGTAGTAAGGCTAGTTCTTTATTCATCATCTTGTCAGCTGTGAGCATCAATTCATCTTTCTGCCTCAGTTCATCTGTTTCAATCTTACATTTGACTGTTCTGCCGGATCTCGTTGTGTATGTTTGTTCTTCTGTCTTCAATTCCTCCTTAATATCTTTCGTTTCAAGTGGTTTTTCATTATCACTATTACTGCCATCGTCCATGAGCAGATCCTTAGCAAAATTATTTTCAGAGCTCTGTGTTGGAACCTGTATGGAAAATTTTATTCGTATTTATAAATTGGCTGATAATTTATATCATTTAATATGATGTCTAAGACTTACGGATGAAAATTGCTGTCTTAATGTTTCGGACTCATCTTCGGATGGAATCAGTTCATTACAAGGTTCATGTTTTATAGTACTTTCAATAGACTCGTTATCCTGGGACAAATTTGATTTCTTAATCAATTTACTATTTAACTTCGTTCGTGTAACGTTCGTTGTAGGCGGACGACCAACATCTTCTTTATTTCCAATTTTCCGAACTCTTTGAAGCGTCTTCAGATTGGTTAATCTGGAACAGTCAGAGAATATGAGACTTGTTTATTTAAAAATAAAAATAAAAATTTTATAGCTTACCTGTCAAAGTCTAGGTCTTCCGCTCTTCTGTCCTGATCCGGGAGATCTTGATATTGGAAAGATGTTTTTACAAAGGATTCCGGTAGTTTATCTAGTATTACATACGTTTGTTCGTAAATTTTTTCATCTTTACTATCAATGGAGTAACATTTCCATCCATGCCGTTCCAGATATGGTTTTATCTCCGATATTTCTGATGTATTAGTATCGTTTTTAATATTTTTAGTAGCAGACTCTGTAGATGCCGAACGAAACGATTCACCTTTCAAATTCTTATTAGGTTGGTTGGAATCACTGTGCGGGGACAACGGCCTAGTATCGGCTAAGTCTTGGCCGTTTTCTTCATACGGGTCTTCATATTGTGTTTCGCTACATTTCTTTTCGCTTATAAATTCAGTGGAGTCGACATCATTACACTGAATTTCTTTTTCCTCTTGCTTCTCATTTTCACTTCCTGAAATTCTTGGTTTTGGCTTCTCCTGCTTTGTTTTAAAATCAAAATCATCAGATTCCGAGTCGGAAGATTCATTTCTATTTAGTCCTTGTCTTATATTATCTCTTAATTGTTTTGTTATAACGGCTACATCGTCATTTAATGCTGTTTTAGTTTTACATTGAAGATCTTTACTTGACTTTTTCAACTTACACTTTCGTTTTTCATTTTTCTTCTTGTCATTTTTTCTAGAATCTTCTTCATCTTTTTCTTCGGAACTACTTTCCAACAGTCTTACTTTAGATTTAGCGACATTTTGAGGAACAAGTAAATTTAAAGAATCGTTGAAAGCGTCAATGTCACCATCCGAGTCCGGTTCGTGTTGTCTACGGATCCGTTGGGAACTTTGACTAAAAATTTCACTGCTCGTACTGCCATAGCTGTTTAAATTAGCCATCATTTTATTTGAACTCACAAACGCTTCAAAAACATCTTCATCGTAACTGGTTCTTCTATGAAATGTGTGTTCATTTCTAATTTCTGGTTTAACCACATTTTCTACTTTTGGCATTATATTGGAGTTACAGAAATTTTCGCCTTCATCCATACATTCTTGATCACATGTTGGTTCTGTTTTTATGTTTGTTGAATCAACAATATTCTCTGACACATCGTCTAAAGGCTCAACTTTAATTCTTACTGGTAATGGATTCTGATCTTGGTTTCCGCTTTCGTTATAACTCGTAGAATCTAAACATGAACGCAATTCCATCTTAACTTGCGACTCCCAATTATTAACATCTTCTATATCTTCATAATGTTCTTCACGTTCAACCCCTGGGCATTCTTCATTTTCGATTGGGTATCTAGCTTCTGGAAAATTGTCATCATAAAAATCATCATCTAACTCATCCTCATTAGCCATCGAAAATATATCTTCTGATACTGTATTCACATTGTTTATTGTTATATTTAAATTTGTCTCACACTGTTTACTATTATCTTCAAGACATTCGTTACCGGATTCTAATATTTTATCATAGCACAATGATTTCAAACTTTTGACAATATTTATTCGCGTTTCTTCGTCATTTTCTGTTTTGTTATTTTTTTCTAATGTGTTATTACTAGATTCGTTGAATAATAAAAGGGAACTTTGGTTAAGATTGCATTTGGTTTTCAATTTTTCATCCTCATTTTTCATTGAAGAAATAAACTGAGTTTTGGATACATAATTTCTTTCTTCTGAGCTTTCTTTACATGGTTCGGACGATGTTTTGACTTTAATTTTTAATTCGCAACAGTTATTTTCTAATTTGAAATTTTTATTTTGTTCTCGTAAATTATTAATGGTTTCTGCCATGTCACAGTTTTTCTCTTCCGGGCACAATTTCAAGAATGTTTTAACTTTAATATGTTTGTTTAAAAGATCGTTCAATATTTGTATCGATAATTGAGACAAAGTTTTGACTTTAGAAGAGCTTTTTTCTAATTTGAAATTGTCACATTCTTTAGGTATGAGATCAGTTTTTTCTTTGTTGGTGCTTTTATCTAAAACAATATCCAATTTTTCTTTGCACAGTTGTAATAGAGATTTTACTTGGTACTTTGGTTCTTCGATATTTATATCTTGAATTTGTTTGGATGATTCATTAAAAGGTTTTTTGTTGTAATTGCTGTATGTCAGATAAGGATCTATGACTTCTAGGCACATCTGAAGTAAAGTTTTTATCTTGTAACAATTTCTCTCCATAAAAAGGGGTTTGGTTTCATGGCATATGTTCTTAACTAAATGTTGGTCAATAGTTTTACTACTTTCATTTAGTAACCTTTGTATTGCTGATAGGGTTATAGTTTTTAAAGCTTCTGGCTTATAAGTAATATTTGGAAACATGCAATTTTTATGCATTTCTTCTACTTTTTTAAAACACAGCGAGAACAAAGGCTTCAATTGCTCTTCAATTTGAGTTTTTTTTACTATATTAGATGACTTTTCACTTTCATATTCACCGAGGGACTGCTTTGATTGAGCACCATTCATGTTGTCCTTGCTCATGAGCTTCAAAACTCTTTTAAAACAAAGAGTTTTAAGAGGCTGTACACTTACTGATTCAAAACAATTATTTTTCAATACTAAGACATTTCTGTTAATATCATTTACTATAGCTATTCCTTCAAAATTATGAAAGTTTAAGTTATTTGAATTTTCCCTTACATTTTTATGTCGGTTGAGATCTTTTTGTCTGCCATCAATAGAATTGTAATTTTGCTTTGAATGAAGACAATTTTGTAAAACTTTAGTGCAAAGTGACGTCAATGTCTCTGGACATAAATAAGTATGTTTTGGTAGATATCTAGAACTAGCCGTCAAATGGTTGGATTCGTTTGTCTCTATCAAAGCTATTTCCGGCGGTATATTCTCGTTTTGTATGATGACTGTCTTCTCTGGGAAGTCTATTGTACTGTCAACAAAATAATTACATATGTATTTTTTCTCCCTACCGAACCATTCAGTTTTTATATAAGGAGCACAAAGAAGCAATGCCTGTTGACGTTCATAATTCCTAAAAAAATTATTTACCATTTCTAATGTGATCTTACAATCAGGAGGTTTTTTATTTCGGCTGTCCTGGGCTAAAAAAGACTGATTAGGTTTAATTTTTTTCACCACAACAGAATCATTTATCCAAACACTGCTCCTTCCCTTTATATTAAGTTTCTTTTTAGGTGGGGGCTCTTCACTGGGTTTTTTCGCAATTTTTATGGACAATTCTTTATTTAAGAAAACAGTTTTCAGATTAAAAGCAGCTTTTACGGGAGCTTTCGTCGCAATTGGTTCTTCAACTATTTCACAATCACTGTCACTAGCTTTAGATGTGGATGTAATAATTTTAGGCTCCTCTCGGTGTTGTATTAAATTATTTTCTTTTAAAAATACCTCATATTGCTTAGATAAATCCTCTTCCATTTGAACCAAATTATGTTTGGCAAGCTTAAACAAAAGAAATGATTTCTTAACACAATAATCCATTTTGAATGTATCTGTCACATATCTGGTATTAATTTTTTTGTTAATAAAATCATTTGATTTCTGTGTCATTAATTGTCCTAATTCTGCTGTTGTTTGCACTATGCTTGATAAAAAGTCACAAGCTTTTTCTGACTGTTCCGCGGTAAGTGGCACTTGTTCCTTCATTGGTATTTCATATAAGGTGTCAGTTTGAGCACTCTCAGACTTAGTTTTGGTAATTCTTGTTTGTGAACATTTGTCTACACTTTTATTTACATCATTTGCGTCAAGTACTGGAATTTGTAACGGAGTTTTTACGTCGTCTACTGACTTCTTGCTTATTTTAATGTCTGTTCCTTGTACGATTTTTGCAATAAAATTCGCGAATTCACTTGTTTCACCCTGCGACTTGTTTTTTCTTTTAGGTTTTGTTGCTGCACTTAAATCGCCATTGTCTTGAATGGTTAAACTATCTGAACAATTTTCAAAGTCCACATCCCTTGAATCTGTGTTGGTGGTAGTTTTTTCTGTAGGGCAAGTACTTTCAGCGTCACTTTTCCTAACTCTCTTTCTGGGGCTTTTATTGCTTGTATCTAGCTTTTTATTTTTCTTCTTTTTTTGTTTCCTAGGCTCTTCTAGACCGAGTTCATCTTCATCCATAGCATTGTCACTCTCAGTTTCAGTTAATTGTCGCTTGTCTCCAGGAAAATATTCATCATCAGAATAATATCTGCCCCCCTTTTTCCTTCTTCGTGGTTCATCATCAGATGATTCCATGTTAGCATAAGGATCTTCATCCGACCCCTCGTCGTAGTTCCAAGTCTTTAACACTCTTCTTCGTACCGGTCTTCTAGATGAATCCTCAGTAATATTCTCATTAGTTTCAGTAGGTTCTGTGATTGAATTGTCTTCAGGTGTGTCTTTCTCCATACCATTATCCTGAGAATCTGATGAATTAAGTTTCATTGAACTAAGCTGAGGTTCAGAGATTTCAGTGTTTGTGTTGACAATGTCATCATTATTAATTTCTTTTATATTTTCATCACTGTTTTGGGGAAGGTCACTTTCTATCTCACAATTTGCTTTAGAACCATCATAATTGTTTTGGTTTTGCTGAAGGTTGACATTATTTTTATCACATTTCATATTTTCATCATCTGGTATCCTTTTTTCCTCTAATAACATTTTTGTAGGTGATCTGTTTATAACTTTTCTAGGTCTGCCTCGCTTTTTAACCGGTGTTACCGTGTTTTGAGTGTTTGCAACTTTAGAGTCCATACCCAAATCTTTTGAATTCTTTGGTTTAGTCACTGTTTTTGATTGAACATTTTTGTTTGAATTATTTTCTGAATTTCTGCTTAAATTGCTCAAAGGTATTTCTTCCATATCTTCCTCTGTAATATCATTTTTGTCTGTATGTTCATTTTGATTATTGATAATGGTGTCATCTTTCCTATTATTAGTATCACCAGAATTTTTGGTTACATCACATTCTGAAGACATGTTAGAAGTGAAACTATCTGGTGGATCAGACTCTTTATTTTCATTGGATTCTTTGGATATGCTTATTTTCGTTGATAGCTTATCTTCACATTGTGGTGTGTCGATATCCGGCGATACAATACTTTTATTGTTCAGCCTATATTGTTTTCTGCCCTTCTTTTGCTTATTTTTCATTGCAATTAGGGAGATTTTTGTCCCAATGTCTTTATTTTCAATGGTTATATTACATATTGTGCTATTTTTTTCCTCATTTAACTCTTCCTCTTCTTTGTTATGCTTTGGCTTTCTTCCCCGTTTACCTTTTTTATACATTTTTTTGTAGGTATTCGTTTCTTCTTTTTCAGCAAGAGAATACTGAGATTTTCTTTTAGCACTATTTGCAGGAACTTTTGTAGAAACATGTTTTGTTTCTTTAATGTCATCACTGTTACACTCAGTATACTGTTTGTCACTAATTAGGTCTTCACTTAAAGCACTTTCTTTTGGACTCTGCTGCTTTCTGCTTCGTCTTTTAGTTTTGGTCTTATTTAATTCACTTGGAGTCAGGATTGGTTGTGTGTTACTATTTTCAACAGGCACTCGTTTTTTTCGTCCTCTTCTTTTTGGAGCACTAATTTTAGTTGTATCCTCTGAGTTATTGGTTTGAAGAGCAGCATGGGGCGCCTGATTTGATGCAAGTGGTACTTTACTGTTGTTTTCTGTTTTCTCATCTTGTATTGACATAGGAACTTCATCAATTTGAACATCATTTAGTATTTCAGACACATCTTGATCAGGATTTGTATGCGGAGGTGATATTATATCTGAGAGTGTAATAAATTCATCTTCCTCGTACATTGTTACAGCCTGAAACTTCTCAAATGCGTCCTCTGTTGTACAAAGATTACTACTTTGAAAATCAGGATCTTCCATTGTCGCAACGAAAACTATCCTGGTTAAAATTAGAATACATCATTGTATTGTGATATTATGATCCGTTTTAAAAGCTGTTTATTATAACAAAATCATAAACTTACAGTGGATATGCTTATTTTTGTTATTAGTTTATTAGAAACCAGCTTCGCCAATAATTTTTGTTATTTTTTTTGGCATTTAGTGGCTTCTATGCTATGGGTTCCAGCATTTTTGAAACTATACTTACATAGTATAGAATTCAAAATTAATAAAATATATATATAAGTTTCGAAGTAACATTTTTTTAAGTATGTGATAACTACAAAAAAAAATTCATGGATATTTTTCATTACTTTACATTTGAAATAGACTGTAGTCAAACTACTGCCCATTCAAAAATAAAAACATGTAACAATGACAGTTGACATTTTAATGTTCACAATTCTGTTCAGTGTTGACTATATTGACATTGTTGACGAAGTATAGAGAGTCATGATTTAATTTAATTATTGGATTAAACATGATCTTAAAATTTCAATAAATAAATTAAATAATAAGGAAGAAATAACTTTGTAAATATGTATTTTCCCATAGGATGGCCCAAAGTTCTGAAGAACTTAGGAACAGAATCAATTATGCAAATAGTGTCCAATAGAGACAAAATTTTGTTTGCATCACTTAGCGAAGAATGTTTTGGTGTTTGGTTTTGTAAGGTATATTTGGTTTATTAAGTACTAAATTTATGTCATATATATTTGTTGGTTTACTATATATTTACTGGCTAAGTAACTAAGTACTTCTAAATTTATAAATTAAAATTATCAAAAACTAAAGAACCATTTCCCATATTATTAAGTCTATAAAATATAGTAAATGGTGTTTACGACCACAAGAGCAAAAGGACATCTCATTATTTAATTGTAAAAGATATGTATGTGACACTATGCAGAAGAAATGTATTACAAGATGTGAATGTAGAAGAAATATGAAATCTTCATATGTAGATTAATATTCTATATCTTTCAGCCTAGTGTTCCAATAGTATACCACAGACGAACATCGGAATCTATACAAAGACTTGGAGTGAATGTTGGCATTGAATGGAAACCAGATTCATCCATGATATGTATATCGGTATGTTTTCTATATTAATACATTGTTTTACTAATGTTTTTATATGTGTAGTATGTAATAAAACTATATTAAATTTGTAATCTATATATTTCGCTAATAAACTGATCTACCAACATTACTCTTGACATCATTATATTATTTAACAATACCAAGCAAGTATAACTAATATAAAAATGTAGTATTGCACTTAATTAGGGCTTACATTATCTCATGTGCTAAAAATAAAGAGTTACTAAGTACAAATTCATTTATTTTTGTAATAATTAATACTGGCTACAATCATCAAAATATCTTAAGTTATGGTCAATTTCAATTATTTTATTTCAAAAGTATTTTTATCTATAAATAAATTATTTAAATTTATGTTATCATAGTTAAATGGTAACAATATATGCCTTATCTGTACAAATTATGTCTAAAATATAGTAAATTGTTTTATAAATTTCTTTTTATAATTACAGACATCAGAGGGCCATTTGATATTATATAATGTGGAATCTCAAAATGAACAATCGGCATATCAACAGTGTGATCCACCAACGGCCAGCCTTAGAAGAGATTCAGCTGAACTGTTTGTTAAAGAAGTTATAACATCACTGAAAATAACTTTGGTATTATTGAATATCTTAACTTATCTTTTTTATTATTTTTTCCTTCAAATTTTAACATAAGTTGCACATGAAATAGTTAAAGTGTGTTAAAAAGAAAGTGCACACTCTGTATAATTTAAAAATTCAAAGAAAATGCAAAACATGTCTTAAAATTTGAGGATTATTTTTATTGTCATAAAATTATAATAATTTTTGTTACTGAACATGTATTGATCTACATTCCCATATTAAAATTAAGTATTCTATCATAAAAGGATGTTTGTACAATTGATTTTTCAAACATCTATTATATATTAAATATAATTGATGATTAGCAATATTAATTCCATTTTGTTTGTAGTGGGTTTGCAGATAATTAAAACTAATTGACTCTTTATTTAATATTCTTAATATAATTTACAGTTCAAAGAGATCCTTGTATGGGATGGTCATATAACAAGAATGTGTTGTATATCAGGCACAGAAATACTTGTGTGCACTACAAGAGCCCACCTACTGAGATATCGTTGGGACGGCAGTCAAAATAGGGACTACTGCCTTGATCTTGGAAGGATCCCCTTTTCTATCAATCAACAAGTCTCGAAAGGTACATAAATAGTTTATAATATATTATTAACAACTAACAGTGGAAGTATATGATATATATACATACCTATTTATACAGATTATATGGAATAAAATTCTGTTTAAAAAATAGGGAACTAATTTCACATTAAATTAACTAACTAACCAATTAAAACCTAATTAAAAACTAACCAATGACGTAGCTTAAATCAAATAAATTATAATAAATCATATTATTTTTTTCTCTCAAATTAATTCTGTAACCTCAATTTAAAGACAGGACATTCCAACATTTGGAATAATTTAATAAAACAATGTCTAATAGTTTTGAATGTACAGATAGTCTTACATAAATGTTATATACATATATATATAAAATATTATATATAACTAGGTGCTCCCCGCGGTGTTACCCGCGGATTTCCGGGATGTAAAGTAGCCTATGTGTTATTCCTGGACGTCAGCTTCCTGTATACAAAATTTTATCAAAATCGGTTCAGTCGTTTGAGCGTGAAAAACAAACACACTCACAAACTTTCGCAATTATAATATTAGTAGGATGAGATCTAAGACTTTGGCGAATATTCATTTAAATGAAACTAATGTTTTTTGGGTTACTACACGTATTTTATTATTTTAAACACTTGTCATCTTGGTCCACCAGCGATCACGGTCGCTGTAAAGTAACCGAAACGTTGGGAGTATGTAGTTTTTTTTAAATAATAAAACACGCGTAGTAATCAGAATATAAATTCATTTGAATATTATTTATATGTGATTATGTAATTATATGTGAAAATTTTATATATATTTTCTTATCATTCCAGCTGAACCAATTCTAGAAGATAACACGCATGTCAATGACATAGAATATTCTCCTCTAGTGTGTGGTTTTGGCATTACTTTAAACGATGGCAGAGCGGCTTATCTCACAGCACCCAATCTTAAGTTTGATCCCAACGTGAGTTATATTTATTAATTTTTATTTAAGGAATATTTATTTTATTTATAATATATTACTTTAATTAAATAGTTATTGTTTGTTAGATAAAAATATCAACGGATTTGAGGGTAAGATACTGTCTATGGTTACAGTAGGAAGAGTGTCCCTTTGAAAGTTGAATTAAAATTAGTAATTCAATGTAATTAATATAATTTATTTATTTATTTTCCCTTTCAATTAATACATCCAACATGTATGACAAAATGTACAACTTATGTATAATATTAAAATTATAGAACTAAAATCATATAAAATCTGACAGACAGTGAAGGAAAACATATTGAGGAAACCTGGACTTACAGTTTCACAATTATAAGTTTGAAATCACCAACCCGTTTTGAGCGAGTGTGGCGATTAGTGCTCAAATCTTCTCCATGTGAGAAAGATGCCATTGCTCAACAGTGGGCTCTGATAGGCTGATGATGATGACGATGAAAATGTATTTTCCATTAATAAGTAATAATTGTCAAATATTTCGTACACTACTTTTTGGTAGATTTGTATAAAGATGAAAAAGATTTGAAAATTTAAAAAAGATATTTAAATTTTCTTTCATATTTGATTTTGAAAATATATATTTTTTTTAACTGAATTCAGATTAGAGATTTCATATTTGTTATTTTTATTGGAATATAATTTGACTTAACTGAAATTGTAAGATATCGATTTTTACAAATTAAACATAAGACATCATATTTCTTTGAAATCTATACAGATTTTGATTATATCACATAATACATATTTTTTGTTAATGCTGTATATGAATGCATAGTAACTCTATATAGATTTCAGTTCAGTCTTTGTGTTGGATGTATTAACTTGTAGGCTATAAAAATACACTGTGTACCTTATATAATAACATTACCATTAAAAAACAAAAGAATCCCTACATAATTCTTTTGAATAAGAATAAATATTGAATAGGCTAAGAAAGTACTGACGCTAAAACAAATTATTGCTTGTGTGGTACAATTATTGATATAACTTAATTAATGCTTCTTTATTTTGTAGGCAGTACAGGGTATATGGGCACAAGGCATCGATGACGCTACCTGTGTAAGGGTGAACCACAAGTTCCGTCTTATAGCTATTGGTAGAAGAAAGTAAGTTTCTATATATAAGTTTTGATCTAACTTAGCATTTAATGCATCAAAAATATAATTTTCTTAAATTTAAATATTAATTCTATTTTATATTTGATTATACTGGCTCTCGAAGCACTCTATTATCTATTCATAGGCCAAAAATCATATATTATTTAGGAAAATTTCTTATGTTCTTACACTACTGAACATAAACATAGTTGAAGTCGCCGGAAGGGAAAGGGTTTTCAAATGAAAGAAAACTTAACTAAATCGGTCGTGTTTGAAAGATATCAACAAACACACACTGTCACGAGTAAATATTCATTTAAATAATACTAAAATTTTGGATTACTAAGCGTTATTTTATTGTTTTAAAACGACATACTCCCTACGTTTCGGTTACATTGCACCAACCATGATTAGGGGCAAACGAGATGAATCTCAATCCACAGAGACATTAACTTAGAGCATGCTTTTTTTGGCGAGAGCTAAACACTATTTAATGTGTATATACCTTGAAGTATTTAATGTATTTTCCGTTTCAGTTCACAAATAGATGTCTTTACCATCGACGAGTTGACCGGTGGGTTGGAACTCTCTCACACTATGCTACTCAGCTCAAAGGATTTTCCTGGTGACCCTGGACCTGTTAAATGTATGAGGTCAGCTATTAATAGATATTTTGTAATTTGTTGACATTTTTAAACTTATTTATATATTTTAGGACATTTAGTATATAATAATCAATATTCTACTGACATTATGAGTTCGAAATTCGAATGTTTATACAATGTTAATGATAGTGAATCTATTTTAAACATCTGTAAAAAAATATACAATAATTTATCACAAAATTCCTCATAGTTGAAACAGGGTCAGGCATAATAGTTATATAGTGTATAAGTCACGTGATAATTGCTATAGATTTTTTGATTATTGTTTGATTACCATATCTTTCTTTAATATAATTTAAACAATTGTCTCTGAGAATCATATGAAACATTCCGATTGGATGAAGTCGCAGACAAAAACTATGTTTTAATATGTACTTTCATTACTTACATCTTGTTATTGTAACGAGACGTTTAAATAAACAGTTTGTTGTATTTTTATAATAAAAAAATTTAAGCTACGGAAGGCAATCAAACGCGTTATTTTGGACCTTGCAAGTTCCATTCCTATATATGATTTTTTTGTTTCTATGTTATATGTATATAAGATGAGAGGTATGTGTTTTTGGCAGGTGGTCGGGCGACGGTCGCGCGGTGGCCGCTTGTTGGGAACGAGGCGGAGTGTCTGTCTGGAGCACCTTCGGAGCCCTACTCGCGTGTTCCCTGGCGTGGGACTACGGCCTAAGTCGAGATCTCGCCAAAGACAACCCTCTCGTCGTATGCAGTATGGTAATACAGTTATCCCTACTAATATTATAAATGCGAAAGTAACTCTGTCTGTCTGTATGTTACGCTTTCACGTCTAAAACACTGAACTGATTTTAATGAAATTTGATACAGACATAGAGTCGACCTTGAAAAAGAACATAGGATAGTTTTTATCCCAGACTTTTGAAAAGTTTTTTTGGAAACGCGTTATAACCGAACTCCACGCGGGTTATTATATAATGGTTGTACATAATTAATATCTATATTTGAGTGTGTGAAATATATGGTAGTTGTACTCTTTAAGACGGTTTAAAATCTTTTGTAAAAAATGGAGTCTATTAATATTAAGGGCATGACTTCAGAAAATTTTTACTACAATACTTTATCGATCAAATTAATTGATTCAAATTTAGACTAAAGCTCCTAATGTGTGATGTAATACACAAAACTATTGATGAACATGTAATACTCTATATATTTTTTTAAACTAAAATATGTTTGATACAAATTGATTACATTTGACACAACCACAGTTTTTGTGCTGTTCAAGCAATATCTTATTCGATTAATTAAATAATAGTATTATAACAATAAATATTCTGATAAAGAAATAATTTTCAACTGAATTTGAATCTTTGTTCCAGGAGTGGGCGACGGAGGGTTATCAGCTGTGGATGGTAAAAGTCGAGGATGAAACAAAGTCCAATTTAATACAAATGGATTTCGTTAAGAGTCCCCTCACTGTAAATCCTTGTATGGTGAGTTATAATATAAGCATAATATGTATATTTATTACTTGCTTCAAGTATTCATTAAATACAAGTCTATAATAAATAATTATACAATTACAATAAATAAAGTTAAAGCGAAAGATTTTAACATTCTCAAAAATGTAATACCCTGTTTATTAGACATGAATTTTAAGAACGTAAATTAAAAATAATATAAAGGTGATATGTATAAAAAATTTCCATTATAATTTTGATTATTTCAATATAATGTCATTTGTATGACACCAAAACAAAATTTTCAGAGCAACCAAAGACATTTGTATTTGCAAGCTGATGACAAGCTATACATCAATTTAGAGGATAATCTGACGCGGCGTACTAAGATATCAATGGATGATTACTCCGATATGTATCAAGAGAATGGCAACGACCAGTCCTTGGAGTATGAGAGTGCGGCCAAGTACAAGGAGTTTGTTGATGATAATGAGTGTAGGAAGCAGTGGACAGTGCTACAACTACCTGCCACTTATATAGCTAGCAATTGGCCCCTGAGAGTAAGCAAATTCTTACTTATATTATTATATTTTTTTATTATTATTATTATTTATTGCACAAATAAAACATGTACAAAGGGCGGACTTAACGCTATAACAGCATGTTCTGACATATTATATGTAATATAAAAATAATTCCGGTTTTCCTTCCTGACGAAACGAAGTCTTCTGGTAGCGAAACGGAGTTCGGAGATTACTAGTATGTAATATATATTAGAATGGTTTTGGTTTAATCGACGATGGTAGTTAAAAATGTTTTTGGATGTATTTAAATCCTGAACGACAGTTATAAGTCTGTTACGGGCCGATTTGACTGTTTTAAGACACTGTCCGTTTTACCATTTATTTGGAAGTTGTCCAAGAATAGAAGTAACTAGATTTCATATATGTCTTTTTTGTTGTACATAACTTATGAATCTGATTACAATTATAAAGCAACTTTACAACATAACTATCCTAATATCTAATTTAAAATTAAAAATAAATACAATTTCTATATCTACTAATAATATACAGACAAAATCATCCAAATGTTATATGTAGAAATATACTATAATGTCAAAGTATGGCACATGATGACGTAATCACTAATTCCCCCCTCTTCACTTCTCAGTACAGCGCGGTGGACACGAGCGGGGCCCACGTGTGTGTGGCGGGCCGGGCGGGCCTCGCGCACTACAGCAGTGTATCGAGAAGATGGAAACTGTTCGGTAATGAGGCCCAGGAGAGAGATTTTGTAGTGACCGCGGGCCTGCTGTGGTGGAGGGACTATATTATAGCAGGTGAGATATAGATAGATAGATAGATAGAATATACTTTATTGTACACCACAAACAGTAAATTTTACACGAAAAAAAAAAATATTGGATGTTAATGATGATATTGAGGGTACGAAATTGTTAAGAAATAATTCCTTTTTCGATACTCTGAATAGTTCTTGGCTTAGATGGAATGTCCTACCTATACTCTACTAAACTTATATACTAAACTGTACCCTACTAAAACTACACTGCAGAAAGTAATTAACCTAAGGTTTCAGTAGTTAGCTATTTAGAATTGCTCTGCAGTCCTAACGTTGTAAATAAAAAGTATCCCAAGTCGTTTTCTTTCTCAATCTTCAAGCTGTACAAAATTAATATCAAAGGAATCAATAGACAAAACAATAGGAATAAATTGACATCATATCCAATTTAATAAATCTACAAAAAAAAAACTGTATTCTTTTAGAAATTTCTCAACAATTGATTAAGTTAATACAATATTATTAAAAATTGCCTTCTTTCTATATATGTACTTTGAATTTTATTAGGCAGGCTCGACACTCAAACTCAACTGAATTCAAAACTATTATGGTAAAAATACAACTAATATTTTCGGATTACTACACGTATTTTATTATTCGTCGTCTCTTATCGTATCTCATCTGCCCGAGTATGTAGTTTGTTGACGCAGAATGTAGTTTTAAAAATAATAAAACCCGCCAATATTAGTTTCATTTAAATGAACACTAGCAAAAATTTTGGATCATACTGCATAATGGTCAATATAATTAATAAACTTTGTCTTATAACGAGACGATAATGAATATAAACTATCTCCCCACCAGGTTGCTACAGTATGACGTCATCGCACGACGAGCTCCGCCTGTACCCGCGGGACTCCAAGCTAGACTCCCGCCTGGCGCGCCTCGTGCGTGCGCACGCGCAGGTCCTCACTATGGACGTATTGGCCGACCAGCTCGTCGTATTCGGAGCCGACGCGCTCGTCTCCATATACGAACTCACCAGGATAGATAACAGTATGACGTTATAATAAGTAATAAAACAAAGTTCGAAAGAAAAAACTTATAATATAGTAATTATAATTATCTTAGGTTTCAGGTGTTGAGATTGTTGAAAAGACTTCTTAGACAAAAATTTAAACTGTTAATTAAACATGCTGTATAATCATTCATGCAATCAAATTAAGTATACTCTTAAAAAAATTAACTGATAAGTCTATGACAATCTTTATACTTTCTGTGGAAGCACTTACATAAGTGGCCGATTTGAATGACATTCTTGTCAACGAATATTTTACCCTATTCCCCTCTCACTCTATCTATCTCTGTCTCTCTCTCTTCCTCTATGTATATTCATTATTATAATATAACGTGTGTATTCAGTGGGGAACGTGGAGGTCCGTTGTGTGCAGGCGGTGGACGTGTCAGCTTTGTCACACCCGGCCTGCGTGTTACAGGCGTCCCTGTGTCGGCTACAAGACGCTCCTGACTCATTGGTACCGTGACCACCCTGTATAATGTTATATAGACTTCACTTTTATATTGTTTAATGTCATATAAAGGACTCATACGTTCTTTAATACTTATATAACAATATATTTGATATTGCTACAGTATGAAAAGAATTTGTTTTTGCTTAAATATTGTTTTTAAGTATTAACAGTGGAATTTTCAATAGTACATGTATGTAAAAAGCACGATATCTATTTAATGAAGCATTTGTAGTTATTTTCATAACTGTCTAATTCCATTTCCTTCATTACTATTTCTTTTGTACAGATAATAAATGCTAGTGGAAAATTGATGATGGTCCAAAGAGAAGAATATGATGTTGACGAAGACAATAATCCGGTAAGTTACTTTAATTAGTTCTCTTTATATGTAAATTAATGTACATTGCGAGAAAGGACTTCCTTTATATAAAAAACCAGTTGTATACATGTACAAACTATGTAAAAACTTTCAGTGTCCCATGATGCAAATTTTCGTTTGCTGAACCTAATTTGATAAACATTTGATTATCGAATAGGATTTGACGCAACATTTAATGGTATAACTCAAAAAGGAATACAATTATATGCTGTAATAAATTATACAGACATGACTTATATGTAAATAACTCTATGGTTATGTTCCAATAAATAAGTAAAATAAAGCCAAAAATATCTGTCAGTCAGTTGAACTGATGCACTTCCAAGCATTGCCTAATTGGGTTTTTGATTTATTTTTTTTTTGTGATAAATGGAAAGATCATATATAAGTTTAATAACAAAACTATTTTTATTTTATTTTTTTTTGCAATATTTAAAAAGTTATTTCAAAATAAAAATTAAATTTTAAATTCAGTACCGAAGACAAGTCGACAGCTCGTGAATAAACCCGAGCGCGTGTGACGTCACAATGTTAGTTTTTGCTCATTGTAGCATACAGAGATATAATAATTAGTACAGTGTTTTGAGTTTTTATCTAGTAAATTCTGTTGGCATTGTTAAATAATCAAAAGTTTTGTACCATTATGTACAAAGACTACAAAAACAACTCCTGAAAAAATGTTTTTAAATGTTCCACAAGACGAAAAACGTCGAAAGAAATGGTTTCAAGCAGTGCATCGAGATTATTCAAAAACAAAATCATTTTTTTTGTTGTGAAGATCATTTCGTTGTAAGTTTTCATAATAGTATTGTTATTAATTATTATTTATCTAAGTGTATAAATCGAATAAGTATAGTTCAATAATTAATTTTTTTACCTGGGCTCCAAATCATAACCTTTAGAATCGTAGCATTAAAAAATTTTAATTGATAATTCAAAGCGATTAAATAGTAAATCTATATATATGTTTGTCTAATAATTGGACTTCAATTAATAGATATTTTCATAATTTTATAACATTCTAGGTTCTGTATCAGACTACATTTAAATTTTTAAAGTACATATATGTTATTTTGGTTTTTTTATAATGTTATAATAACATTTTATTAATAATGATTTAATGAAATAATTATTAATTATATTTAATAGAGAATAAATACTAATTTTCATTTAGAATAGTATTTTTTGACAGACTTACCTTGATGTCTTAGCACCTCGAACTTCAGCAAAATTAAACCGCACTTTTTAAAAAATTAGTTATCATAAAAATATATTAACATCAGGAATATTATCCGATTTTGCTTTTATAAATCCTTTATCACACATAGTCGAAATAAACTTTTCAAATCGTTTTTCACTAATAAATTTGAGATATTTTTATCAAGTTAAAGATAATAGCCATAAACACTGTACTATTATGAAATTGCTTTAACATTATGACGTCACAAGTATGCTGACCAATCATGGCGCGTTTACAGTCACGTGATATATTTTTGAATTTTATCAATTTTTAATTGTTTATAATTAATTTAAAAAATATATTTCAAGTTTTTTGCATTAAAAATCCAATATAATTAATAATAAAGTTTTAAAATACATAAAAAAAATCAATACTTTTTTTTTTTTCAAAAACCCAATTAGTGCGAGATATTTAACATGAATAATAAATATTGTTATTTGAGATCAGTGGTAGCCTCGTGGTTAAAAAGGCCCGCCTCTCATGCATGGTTCGATCCTGGCCCGGGCAAGTATCAATGTGATTTTTCCGAGTCATATGTAGTACATACGACGAGTCTTAGAAAGTACATATTATGTACTTTCTAGGAGTATTTAGACATCACTGATTAATGAATTCCCATAGAGGGTTGATGTCAGGCAGGCGGCCGGTCGTAAAAACAAATAGCCAAAACTATTCACAACATGTAAGGCAGACTCTGGCTAAAGCTGGGAAATTGCCAGGTAGAAGAAGAAGAATAAATATTGTTACACTAACTTATGCCCCCGACTTCGTTTACGCGTTCTTCTGCATCTGAATTTCTAAATTGGATTTAGAAAAGAATTTTTGATCTTTAATTTTTTTTAATAAATGTGGTAACCCTTTGGCCGCCCGTCCATATACGGTGCCACTTCGATATAACAAATCGGAGGGGAACAAGAAAATAGGTATTTGTTATATCAAGTAATACGTTGAACTGAGGTTTGTAGAGGTTAGGTTGGTCTAAAATTTACTATAAAGAGGTCAAGAATAGTTTTTTTTTAAGTGAAGGGTGGCAAACGAGTAGACGGCCTTCTTGATGTAAGGTAGAGCAGAAGTGTTTACATTACTTTCTATCAAACAACAACCATTATTTTACCAACAAAAGCGTGTTGAAACATTTCGCCACATGAATCACATACTATAAGATTAAGAGTTATATATTGGTAGGCACTTTATATAAAGGTTTTGGGCTGACAGAATTCGTTAATTAGAAGTATGTATACTTTTTGATGGGTGAAAATTCTTTATAAAGAGGTAGTTCGCAAAAAATGTTCGCAATGTAAAGGTATATTTTATATTGAGTCTTATGGACACTTCAAGGGTATTACGAAGAATTTTTTAAATCAAGGTAGTCGTTATATTAAGGTTGCACTGTATTTGTATCATGTGACTCCATACAGAAATTTTTTTTAATGTCGTATTTCTGAGGGGATTACGTACATTTTGAAATTGATTTTTAACGGATATAATTATTGTTTTGATACCTACACTATAAGAATAGATATTTTCATCCAAATCTGTTTATTCGTAACTGCGGAAATGGAAAATAGACATCCTCATCAACTTATATATTTATAATATAATTGGGATTCTTTTAAAACATTATAGTTTCATAACAACGAACCAATTGTATGTATATATTTTCACGTAACACTTCCTCCTAAAATTAGCTGAACCGGTCAATTCTGTAATTACATAACTATTCAGTAATAACACAAATACAGAGGCCATTGGGTTGTATTTTAAAGTATTAACTAGTTCAAATTAATAGAAGTTTTGTTTACTTTAAAATATTTATTAAGTACAAGAGTTCAGGTACAGTTCATTGCTCTGGATATACATACAGTCAACTTAACTTCTACAGACTTATGTGTATTCTTACAACTAGTTTATGCAAAAAAACACAACAGCCGTGAGTAACTTAATGGTTACCTATACACAGAAGTTATATATTGTGACTTACATTTAATAAGACTCATGATTATTCAGTTTCTTGTTTTGATGGTCACTTTCTCACCATGATTTATGGGACCAATTGCCCACCTCCGGGCAATATTTCCATTGTGGCCGTAACTTTTACCGCTTATTGTTATTCCTGGGTTCGAAAAAGAGTTTAGGTATTTCAAATATGCTGGCTCTGGTTCAATCGGAGCGATTACAGGGCCGTAGTTCAGAATTGGTTCGTAAATAGGCTGTGGTAGGGCAATTTGCTCGTAGATGGGAGAGTAAGATTGGATGGGGACCACCGGTTCAATGACCTCCTGTTTTGCAATTGCTACTGGCGCCACTTGAGCTACTTCCGCTACCTCTGCGACTGCTACTGGAGCGGCAGCAACCCTAACAGTGGGTGGATGTGCTTTCGCTCCTATTCTCCTCAACTTTGCGTTGAAGCCGCGGATGGGGTCAGCAGTGTACTCAACAATCCTGATGCTGCCCCCGGGCTCTACTAAGGAGTACGCTCCTCTTACCACATCACCTTCGCGAACCTCCCACTGCGCTTTGTTATCACCGGTCGATGGATCATTCACCGAGTAATCGAAATCATAATTTTTTTGCGACTAAAAAAATAAAATAAATTAATATATCTCGGATTATAATACAGATATATGATGATAAATCTCAAGATAAAACTCACGGTCCCTTCTAATACATCGTATGATAATATACTGGGCTGATTAGCGACCGCAGCGGCTATCAGGCAGGATACCTTAAATTAATTAAAACCATTACAATCTATATGAGTTATAAATAAATATTATTAATGTTTATATAGCTCGTCATTTACCACCAGAATAGTTTTCATTTTGACGATGTATACCAGTGAGCAAGACGTCGTGAACTGTGTGCTTGTCAACACCTTTGCTGTTATTTATACAGCATTAATTATATTCGAGCTGGTCGCGCTCCGGTTCCTTAGTCCTCCAGTTTTATATCGATTTGCATGATAAATTTTTTTCGCCTGTAACATTTTCGCCTGTTAAATTAACCCGTTCCGTAGTATTATTGATAACATTACATCATTTCACCGGTTTTCATGAATTTGGTATCGACATTAACGACATGTAAATTATCCGTTTTTTGGAATGTTGCATTGATTTTATATTGAATTGAATTACCGTATAGGATAAGACGCAACTCGATTTGCGATCGTGATCGTACGTGCTCGTGATCACGGTTGCTGAAAATTAACCAAAACGTCGGGACTATAATAATAAAATACGGTTAGTATAATTCGAAAAATAAGAGTTTCATTTAGAAATTATAAAATGAAAAATTTCTGGACAAGGATTGGAACTTGTAACCTCTGGAATTTCGCGTTTCATTTGCTTTACCAATTAAGCTAACACGTCCAGATATACGCAAAGGACTGACGGATAACTAAGGCCTTATTTAAACATAGAATTAATTTTGTTCCGGGGACACGTGTTAAACGTTAATTATATAACTTAAAATGTTTTTTCCCCGTTAATTACGGCAATGATTTTATTCAACAAATTTCAGGGTCATTGACCATTATTGGTACTATCTTGTCATATTTAATTGTTTTACTAAGCAATTTATGTTCTTGTCTAGCTGAAATTAGATTATTGAGCTTTTACACGCCAGCTTCGCGTCCCATAAAGGAAAGAAATTTAAAATTTTCATATGTAGTTAAAACACTTAACACTCACCCCCACTATCATTACTTGGAAGAGTTATTATAAAATTCGCTCATAAATACTTTCTACATCACATAAATAAGATTTATAGTGGTTAACGGCGTTAGATAAACCTCTTTGACCTACACCTGGGTCGCAAGTCCCAGGTACTGTTGAATTCATTGAATGATGAGAAGTTTCGTCTCTTATATCTTCGCAAGTTATACTGTTAATGTAGGTTATTCAATGTGAAATCGAAAACGTTTCAGATGTGATGATCGAATGATCGGAAGTTTTTAAAGTTAACTCACGGAATAGATTTGTATTAAGAAAAATGTTCTATACGCAGGGCAGAGTTTTTATCGTGAAAACATTAAGAATGAACTCATTAATATATTTGACTAGATTTGCTCGCGACTTCGCCTGCCTTAGTTTCACAATTAGAAATTTATATCTGACTGAGTGAACTCTATTCCTCCTTAAAGACTTCTCATAGATGCACTATATGATTGACCTATTAGTTAGCTGTCAAATCTAATGTCAAAAAAAACGTTTGTATGGAAAATAGAAAAGGGCTGTTTTTAGGGTTTTCCCAGAAATGATTAAATTTTTTTCAGCTTTTAAACCTTCCCTGAACCTCCACAAACATTTCAAGACTAAGATAAGATAAATCCGTTCAGCCGTTCTCGAGTTTTAGTGAGACTAACGAACAGCAATTAATTTTTATATATAAATTCAGAAAACTCTTCTCTTCTGAGGATTTAACTACACTTTAGTATTGAAATAAATTTATTTTGATACAAATCTTATATTTTTAATTAACATTATAATCAAACCTGATGTTAACATTTTAATCAAACTCTCAATACGAAATTCGTATAAAGACAATTTTTCATAGTATGTATGTATTTAAAATATTACAATTTCTTTTATACGAACTCATTTTCGGGACATTTAACGCCTTTTTAAAAACATCAGCGCTGATTAAACATCCTTAACAAATAATAATTTACACAAAACCATAAAAATACTTAAACCAATTAGTTATATAAACAAAAACACATTTAATTATAACTAATTTATTTATATATAAACTGAAGGAAATAATTAATAATATATTTTCTTTTGGCGATTTCTTAATACATAAAATAATTGCCTGCATGATAGTAATTACTCGTTATATGGCGAAATTTAGAAATATTTACAATTAATCCACATTCTATTAGTGAAATCATTGCTGTACGAAAAATTTTATTTCTTGTAAAAATATTTTTATAATTAAGTTTTTTATAATTTTTTTGTTGTTCAAGTTTTTTACAATTATAATATATTTTTTTAAGATCCCTCTGTAAACCTCTCGGTTGTTTCTGTGAATTTATTTGACGCAATCAAATTATTAGTTGTTCTCTATCATTACGGCCATTGAACCCGAAATACACTTCATGCTTACACCCGTCGAATTTAAGGGTCAGGGTCGAAATCGGGATAAGCTATAAATTTAAATCTTAAATGCGTTTTTAAGAATATAAGTGTCATTATATGGGGGGTTCCCTAATATCAGTTACATTTCGAAGAATTTTGTGTTTCAATCAGGAAACATTACGACCGGTCTAGTAAGGCGGCAGACTCGAAGTTCACGGATTTTCGCAACCCGTAACAAGTTCAAGTGTGGTATGGCTGCTCAAATTAGTCCAAAGACCATCTTGACTCTAATTTTTATATCCGGGACAACAATGGAAAACGACTAACGAGCATAAAAGTGTATTTCAAATAGTAAATTCTTGATACCGAGACAGGCGACTATGATACGATGTCATTGAAGGGAAGGGTTCAGTAACTATTACATGGAGACAAAGGACTCCCCTTATTTGTACTGTCCAAAAACAAAGAATCATGAAAAAGACTAGATAAGCTCGAAAGTAGAAGTGACATAGTTATAAATTACTTAGTTATTATATATGAGAATCTTAACGGAATATTTAAGTATATTGTATTAATAATACAAAATATTGTTAAACTGACTGTTTGTTGGATAGTTCTGCCCATGATCACGGTAACAAAATACATAGAAATATGAGGATATTCACATATTCAACAATTAAATTCTTAACCCTTGAAAGTTTGACAAATTTTAAGAGTGGAGCAATGAAAAATGTTTGAAAATGTAAACAATTTAATATTAATAAAATTGTAGGATTTTTTTTAAATCCTTCGCTCAACATTTATCTCGAAATGTATTTATTAAAATATAAATAATCACATTTTTACAATAGTTCAGTCATTGGATACATTTCTCTTCCTAATGACAATCGATTGACCAGATAACGAGATTGGTCCAATTATTAATTTGTATAATTTACCATTAATATATTTCTTTCGTACAATCGTAGCGTAGGGTCCGTTATCGAGAGGGACCCAGCCACCGTAAGAACCGGTAGCAGAATCCCAAGGGAGGCTTGTTCCACCTAAATTAACATTAGGTACCTCCTCTGGCAAATTAATAGCACCAAGACCATAGTTTATATATAATGGTACTATGTCATTTATTTGCGGAATATCTAAAGGTACAGGTTCTTGTATTGGAGTTGGATGTAAACTATGTCCAATTTTACTGACAACAGCATTGAATCCATTCAAATCATTAGCAGTATAGTCTACAACTCGTATGCTACCATCTGGCTCGGTCAATGAATATGCTCCTTTAACTTGATCGCCGTCTCTAACTTCCCATTGTGCTTTATTATCTTTACTCACTGGATCTTTAACAGCGTAATTGAAAACATAACGGGGGTGATCCTGAAAATAAATTATTTCTTATATATTATGTAATGATTGAGTAATGGCATTTAAAAGTACGAGTGAATTTTTTTACTCACATCATCTTCAATTGCATTATATGGTTTTCCGCTGACTGCAATTATAAATGTCAGTTTTATCGTTATCTAGAAATAAAAATTAAAAATATTTGGTCATTTTGGTTTTATGAGATCGTACATGTTTTTAGTGAATGTATTTTTGTATGTATATATTTACCGTCAAAACGCTGTTCATATTTGAGTTTTACGGCTACGCTAAAGTGAACAAATGATGAAACATTTAACACCTATGTTCTTATATGCGTTAAAATTCTACAGCCCATTGAAGTTACACTAGATTTACCAGTGAAACCTGTCTTTTTAGCACAAGGAAGTATTTTATATTTATTTGTTATAAAATACTACAATGTATTTGGAATAATTTTAATACTATGTATTAATAAATGGTTAATTTTTATTTACCAAAATTAGTTGGATTATGAATAAATAAAACTACTTTATGAAAATTATTTATTCAAATAAATACAAACTTATTTCTCTTAAAATAAATTTCTATCTGGATAGCGGCATATTTTAGTCACTGTTTATAAAGAGTCGTCATTTTTCATATGTCATATTATGTCATGTCATTTAATGGCCATATCCTAGTCCACCTTTATATATCAAGGGTATTTTGTCTAAAAGTCCTTTGTAATCTAGAGATCCTTTGTAATTTAATAGACCTTTACCTAGCAGAGCATAATCGTTGTTATCATAGGGAACATTTTCCAGATTTCTAAGAACTGGAGAGTATATAGGTTCAGATTTTATTAGTGGAGATGGAAGGATGGGTGATTTGTATATAGATTCTTGGAGGAAAGGTAGCTTGTAGATGGATTCCGGGATAATCTGATCTTTATAGATGGGTGCTGATATTATTGGTTCCTTATATAGGGGATATGGAATAATTGGGTCTTTATATATGGGTCTTTGAATTATCGGCTCTTTATAGATGGGTTCGGATAAAATTTCTGAACTATAGATAGGAGCAGGGATAATTTTTCCGAGCGGTGCCACTGCTTTAACTACAGCTGGTCCAGCAGTTTTGTAAACATTGGCGGACGAAGTCGCACTCCCACTGTACTTGTTTAATAGTGGAGCATCGCCTAGATTTAAAAGTCCTGTCACAGGTCCGATTGAAAGTGGCAGCTCTGATTTATATCCAATGATTGGTAATGGTGCTTTGTATATTGGCGTCGCTGGGTGAACATTGGGTCCGATTCTCTTAACCACAGCGTTAAAACCGCTCTTGTCATCGGCGCGATACTCCACAACACGCACACTACCGTCGGGTTCCACAAGAGAATAAGCCCCTATTTAGAAATAGAAATATATATGTATTATGATTCTTTTATATATATTTTCTCATATCTTTATATTTACCTATTACTACATCGCCATCACGTTTCTCCCATTGTGCTTTATTATCACCAGTGTGGGGGTCTCGTACGGCATACTCAAAGGCGTATCGAGGGTAGGCCTACAAATTTGTTATGAAAAATCAAACCTTTCTAATTTATATATGAAATTTATGTTTAAATTCATACGTAATAGTCCACAGAAGCATGTCCAGGCGCGTATACGAGTTCAGCTAATGAGCCGTCAGCTGTTGTTGACGTCGTTAGAGCTAGCAGGCATGCTATCTGTAATTGATGTTCTATAAAAATAAAATCCACCAACCAACCGAACAATCACCAAGAAACACTAACCGCAATAAAGTAATCCATGTTACAAGACACCCTGAACGCTGTATGTTAATAACGCATTGGTTATCATCAAACAATGTATTCAATTTATAGTCTTACATGGACCTTCGTTGCCTGTGAGCGGATGTGGAATGTTTCACGCCTGTACGGCCACCGCAACCTATAATATCGAATACCAGTGCTTGCATCAGGCTTCCTCGTTTTCCTAGAACCTTCAACTGGTGAAAACGTATTAATGATTTGTTCAATACAATAGTTTATTGTTGATTAATATAGCATAATATAATTATAATTATGATATCAAGTATCAAACTTGAGGAATTGTTGATGCGTGCGAAATGATGCAACAAAATTAATATTGTGGGATTTGCTCCAATAACTATTAATAGCGTCCAGTGTGTAAACGGCCTGTTGGTTTGTATGTCGGTCAGCGGACTTGAAGTCAAACAGGTGACTGATACATATTATTCTGTTATTACATATGTTAAGGTTAAATCGATTTATGTAATCAAGTTCATGTTATACATTCCTCTAAGTTTGAAATAATTTGAAATAAATCCTATATTAAAATTTAAATCATATTTGTATTTGTTATTTGGTTTGAAATAATTCGGCAATTCAGTGGTTATAATTCGTCTTGAGCAAGCGTAGTGATTAATGCTCAAACCTTCTTTAGGGAGAAAGAGGCCTTTGCTCAGCAGTAGTCTCTGATAGGCTAAAAAAAAATTAGGTTTGGGTCTGGGCATATGTCCTGACTCGTGTCTCGAATGTCGAGAATTTTGTTCTCTTAAGATTAATTCGGGTTCCGAAATTACGTCATTGAAATTCCTGACAACGTTTCGTAATAGTATTTATTTTCAATTAAATTATTACAATCGATTCCCATCTTTCATTTTTGTGTAATTACTTGGTACTACTAAGTTAATAGATGCAATTAATGTGATTGTTATTTATTATTAACACTGAATTTTTAATGAAGTTCATCCGTGATTTTAACTCTTTATAACTCCTCATTTAATACAGCGATCTGTGTTTATATTATCAGAATATAATATTATTTACAATAAATGTTGCTTTTGACTAAAAGTTATGTACGTACCTATTTGGTTAAAAATTACTCGAAATTATTAAAAAAATCCTGCGATCTAAGTCTTGGAATTTATTTCATATACTGTCTAGGCCTTGGACCCATTATAATATTCTTCTGAAATCTTCTCAATCTATATTATTTACATTACTGCACTAGCCAATTATGTGATATATAAATATGAAAAATGTAACTCTATATTTTTTTCTGTGGTAACTAATTGTTTTCATTTAATATTAACTCTACCAGCCAACGCCTCTTTAAGTCATGTTCAGTGATGGTAACGATAATGTCATAATAGTTGAGTAATAGACCATTCAACTTTGTATACAAGTTTTAATAGTATATCAATAGCGATAAGTCAGTGGTGGCCTAATGGTTGATTAATGATGCTGATTCCCAAAAGAAGGTTGATGTCAGGCAGGCGGCCTGTCGTAAAAAACAATTAGCTAAAAACTATTCACAACGTGTAAGGCAGACCCTGGCTATAGCCGGGAAATTGCCAGGTAGAAGACGATCAATAGCGATAAAATCTTACCATCCTTACAGGCTTATAGCTGCCTTCCAGCGACAGTACTGGCGTCATGCGTGGAGAGCGTTTGGTCTGGCAGTGGCACGGGCACGCAGACTCAGCTGTCTAGAGCTTTGTGGCTATGGTGTGGCTCGCTAGGGGCGCGAGTGTGGCTACCACTTATACCACGCGAAGCAACACGTCGCACCGACTCTTCACGCCACACATTCATGGCTAAGAGGATCATGCTGCCGTTTCATCTTGACATATACCCACTGAGTATGTTCTGATCTTAACTTTGATTACCTATTCGATGCTTACTCTTTCTAGTGTAATGACATCTATGGAAAGTATAATTCATTGATTAAACTTTACTTATTTGTAAAACTAACAGAATTAAATTCTCACAGTATAGCAATTTTTGTTTGTTACATATACTAAGTGCTATATAATTATTTGGAAGTATATAAATTGTATTTCAGCGTTTTATTTATTTTTGCAGCAATTCTATTTGATGATGCTATTCTTCTGGGAGCCGAAAACGACACTACTCTGTACTCATCGGATTCCAACTTGGTGTTTTCGCTGCCGTTCTGTGTGATCAATAGGACGGTAGGTAAAAAATCGTAGTTTTATATTTATGTTTTATAAGATTATATTAATAAAGTTTTTCTTCCAGAGTCAAGTCTACTTGCACCAGATCCTTCGTCAGTTACTTCGTCGTAATCTTGGTTATCACGCGTGGGAGATAGCTCGTTCTTGCGCGCAGCTTCCTTATTTCCCCCATTCCTTGGAACTTCTTCTCCACGAGGTTCTAGAAGAAGAGGCCACCAGTAAAGAACCTATTCCCGATGCTCAACTACCAAGCGTCATAGAATTCGTACATGAATTTCCCGTTTACTTACAGGTAAGTTGTTTCACAAGAGCATAATAATTAATATTTTTTTGTTACGTATAAATGCTTGTGTTTTTCGTTAGCTATATGTTATATAATCATATTTGTTGTACCATTATGCGTTGTTTTAGACAGTCGTACAATGTGCAAGAAAGACTGAAATAGCTTTGTGGCCATATTTATTCTCTGCTGCCGGAAAACCAAAGGAGCTGTTCCAAGAATGTTTGCAGAAGAATATGCTCGATACCGCAGCGACTTATTTAATTATATTACAGGTATTAAATAATATTTATATTTAAGTTTTTTATACCAAAAATTTCGATGTATTCAATATAATACTGATTATATCAAATATGGGTAACTTACAGATAACTAAGGTAAGCATTAATAACTTGATTTAATTATTTGATATATCTGTACAGATCTTATGTATTCACAATGAGCATAATTTTTCAGCAGTTCAGAATCAGATAAATTCTCCTTTATAAAAGTTATGCAGTGATATTCAATTTGAATATATCCCTACTAACATAAATTCGAGCGTAACTCTGTCTCTTTGCTTGCTACCTTTTCACGTCTAGACCACTGAACGGAATTTGATGAATATTGGCGTAGAGATAAATTAAACTCTGGAGAAGGACAAAGGGTAACTTATACCCCGACCCCGAATCCCGATCATGACCCCGATCCCAATTACACAACAGGAATCACGAAGTGCATTTCGGGTTGAGTAGCTGTAATTTCAGAGAACAACTCTGATACCCAAATTAATGGAGTCGCGGGCAAAAGCTTGTATATATATTTCTTAGCCTGAAAAATATCTTATATTATATGATTCAGAACTTGGAGAGTTCATCCGTAAGTCGTCAGCTGGCGACGCAACTACTAGATACAGCACTACAGCATCAGCGGTGGGACCTGGCCAGGGACCTCGTGAGGTTCCTTAAAGCCATTGGTATTGTATAATACTTTTAAAACCCTCCTGTATTATCTTACTTCTTGTCATATAATACAATGAATCTGCGTATGAGATGCTAAGCGATAATAGAGTTTGAATATATTGTTGTCACAATCATGTTCCAGAAAAAAATATACAAAATCAATAATCATTTTAAAATGTTCAAACAAAGTTAATCTTAACAAAAAAAAACAATTCTTTAAAAATGTCCATAGAATGTTTTTCCTAATCTTTTTTCATAGGATACGGTAAGGTTTATAAAAATAATTATTGCTATTTTCCTTTGTATGTCAGATCCCAATGACGTGGACTCACCGAGGAGTTCGATGAACGTTCAGACGAAGTACGGTCAGGTGGTGCAGTCACAGACAGTCAGCCCTAACGCTGAGGATCTATCCGTCATATTAGGCAGCATGCAGGTGAGGAACGATCAACGAATGTTTTATTTGAACCATCTCTTACTAAACAATATCTTGTTCGGACGGCCAATAAGTACGTCAGAAGAAATATTGTGAATCGTTAAAAATTATCCTCAACAGTTATACATTACGTTACGTAAAAAATACCTAGACGCCAAACATAACGAACTATGGAATATGAAATTTGAATTATTATAGAACATTTCCTTTCAATGTACTATTTCCATTCTATACAATTTAGTTAGGAAGTCATCCATTCAGTATTTCATTTTTTCCCATCAGTTGGCGGGTGGTCGCGGCCGTAGTTTCAGTACTACAGTAGCGCCCCGGGAGCCTTCGCCCCCCGCGGGTGCTTCTCAGCCGGCCGCTCGACGCTCAACGGCCGCCACACCCGCGCCCGCCGCCGTCAAGAGAAAGAAGTCCGTACCAGCCACCAGTGAAAAGTCAGTTATCAGCAAAATGTTCTAAATATACTTTTAACCTTAAATTTAATTAGTACTCAAAATTGGAAACACCAAAACTATATCCGATGCTATGCTGGCATCGATTCAACTATAAACAGCATATACAGTTTACTTGCAAACTAAAACATGCTATCTACATTTTGTTCCACCAAAATAGGAATTTATACTACAGCATACAATCAAAATTACAGGTTGATATTAATTAAGCAAATTTTTTATCTTCAGAGAGGCCTATACTGGAACAGCGGAAGAATTCTTCATCGATATGATGATACAAAGACACGCTCGTTTATTACTATCAACTGCCCGGCTTGTGTCCCTGGGACGACTGGCCGCGGCCTTGGACTTGCAGCTAGTGGGCTGGCTGGCCGGGGAGAAGGAGAGGGCGGCCAGGGTCGACAACGCTGTGCTATGTCTCAAGAGGCTGCATGAAGACTTCAACTGGCCCTACCCGACACTCACGGACGAACAGGTCGCAGAAATAGAGAGCAGTATCGGCCCCAGTTAGTACTTAGTAACTAAATATGTAGAGACGTAGTAGTACTGGACAATGTTTTTTTTATGAAGAACTAGCTGCACCCCGTGGTGTTACCCGCGGATTTCCGGGTTGTAAAGTAGCCTATATGTTATTCCTGGACGTCAGCTTCCTGTATACAAAATTTTATCAAAATCGGTTCAACCGTTTGAGCGTGAAGAAGTAACAAACATACACACACACTCACAAACTTTCGCAATTATAATATTAGTAGGATAATACTCAAGTGAAATCTGACGTCTGACTCACAGACGATATCGACGCATAAACTCCATACTAGCTATAATCTTGTTTTTCAGTGTTTCCTGCTCGCGGTGACAGTCAGTGTGGTGACAGTGGCTACCTGTCGCTGTCCCTACGAGCTCCCGACCACGCCGCAGCGCCACCTGCGCCGCTCAGGTAACAAATATTGACACTTTGAATTTTACACGACTGAGAATTCCGTCCAAGTCTATGTAAATACATATATGTGGATGTAAAAATAACGAATAAAACGTGCTTTTGTTTTAATTTGCTGGAGTCCGTGCTTAGTATCTTTTATGAAACCGTTTACAACAGTTTTAACATTAAATCAATACAATGTTCTCTGGTGGCTAATTTATGTGACACTTATATTTTGTAGGAAAACTGACAACATCGTTAGGAGAAATAAATAAATTTTTTGGCCATATAGCTTACCCATACGATGTACCAAACTAAACTAGTAGTTCGCATAGAAGATAAAAACTACTGCTTTAGATTTTTTTAAATCGATAAAACGACTATAAATTCCAATAACATAATTTATTCGCTACACTATATTTATTCAGTACTCTATTGTATATTCCTACGTATAACACATTCCAGTTCCGTCGGTGAGTGCAGCGTCGCAGAGGGCGGGGCTGCAGCTTGGGGGGAGGAATTAGCGGAGGAGGGGAGGGACGGTCTGGGCTGTGGAGGGGCGGGAGGAGTGGGGGGAGACCCTCACGAGGAGCGGCGGTACGTGGCGCTCATGGAGAAACTACACCATCACCAGGCAGAGAGGGGGGACCACACGGCGCGAGTACAACTAGGGTATACAATATACATACTATGACTTACAACTGATCAGATATAACCTAATGGAGGTCTAATATACATTAATATGTGAGGCAGACCCTGGCTATAGCTGGCAATTTGCTAGGTAGAAGAAGAAGGTATAATATACATTCCGCTTATTGTGGTATTGATTAGGTGAAGTCAGAAGAGTTTATTAGAAAAACAGACTTATGATAGTGAACTCGGATATCAGCTGGATTATATTAAATGAAATATTTGATAGGCCATCTTTTTTGATGTAAATGTGTCAATTAACAAGGAGAAGTATCCTTGAACACACAGCACTTCTGCCGTTTTTGTAGTTTTCATAACATTTTAGCTGTATTTTTATATGCAAATGTTTCCGATCTATACAATGTTAAATACTATTGATAATATCAATAAATTTTAAGTTAAAACCGCTTTAAATCGAGATATATCTCTAGAAATTTCTGCGTATTTATTTCTACTAGTAATAAATAATAATTTCCTTCCAGTTATTTCCTGCAGCTAATGATGGAAGCTAGTTGTGTGGAGTGGGCGCTTGTATTATCTGTGGCGCTCCGTGACGCGCTGGCCGTTCTCCGCTGTACAAACGCAGCCCGCGGCGCGGACGTGTCGCCGGCCGCCGCCGCGCGCCTCCGGGACGCACACGTGCAGCTCAGGATGTGGGCCGACTCTGACTGGTTGGTGTTGATATATATATGATACCTCATTTTGAGATTTGCATAGAATAAAAAACATGAGACGGCAGTTTTTGAATTTGGAACATAAACTGCGCTATCAGATAAAAAGACATTATTATATATTTATATACATGATGGTAGTGGCAGTTTTTGAATTTGGAACATCAAGTGCTCTAACTGTCAGACACATCTTTCATATCGAACTAGTATAATATGACAGTATATGATGATTTTGTATTACATTATAAATATTTTTATACTATACTTAAATATTACTTTTTCAATAATATACGAGTAACATTCCTTAGCGTTTTCCACGTTTATTTTCAAACGAGACTCAGTTTAAGCAGTTCATATATTTAATAATAACAAGTCTTATTTATCTTATATTTCAGTGTCGGCTATAGACCGTTCATGTTGGCTATAAGTAACCAAATCCCGGTTCTAACGTCCATCGTCAACGCAGGCAATCCGGCTACATTTGTGACCAACGAGAAGAGAGGTAGGTCGTCCAGAACTAGTTCGACGTCTGAACTCAAGCAACAAGAAACAAAACATCCCGCGCCCAAGAAAGCACAGGAAATAACTAAGCAAGTCAGAAAAGACTCTCCCGTCACTATGCCGGAACCTGAAGACACTATGAATATGACGCGACCGACGGTACAACATACAGAAGAAGCGTCTAACTGTGCCATTATGTAAATTGACGATTTAAAATGAAGTTCATATAAGTTGACTCCATAAAAAATAGACACAAGAGACGTATTATACAGATTAGCGTTTTTTTAAACGCTCGTTTACACATCTTAAACTTAATCCTCTTGAAAAGGATCTTGAAATTAATGCTAATAAATAAAGTATTTGTGGTGCCTGTTTTAATGTTAATGATTTTTTTGTACCGGACTCACAATCATAAAATTTATAAATAATTAGTATTATACATACATATCAGCAGTGAAAATTTGGAATAAAAATTGAGGTATGCTATAATATAAATTTTAAATCGCCTATAAATATCCCTTGTTACATTTTGCTGTTAAAATTCAGTTTAATTAGAAGTCCTTGTTAATGAACTAGAAATAGCTTCTCGTTAGAGTGTAAATGTTTAATTTTTTGACAATTTTAATTTTTTAAGTGATGGTTTCAAAATAATTTATTTCTCAATTTGTTCCTCTTAAGATCCTGTGAAATTATGAAAACATTTAAATACATGCCAACCAGGATAATTTATATTTATTAACCCACTATTTCTTATAAATTTAAAGCAACTATACAATTAACTAATTAAAGAATGATTCGAATGTGTTCCTTGTATGTGTAATTGTTTTGTTACATCTTCATACTCTTATAACCACTCTCATACAAGTAATAACGCATCTTATTTTCAACCATAATGCTAATGGAATAAGAATCAATAAAAAGCAATAACATCATATCAGGAGGATTTTCTTCAATAAAGTTAGTGTAAGTTCTAAACTAATGTTTTACTTACTTTTATAATCGTGAGGGCGTTAGGTCAAATTAATAAATTATTTTTGTACACAATCATTATAGAATTATTTTAAAATGTTCTTTCAATTTAAATTTATTCTAGTCTTATTTAATTGTAACATTTCAACTATAAATCATTATAATAATGTTCATTCAATTTATAATATTAAAAAATAATTATCGGTATATCAAATGGACTTTTAATATCAAGCATGGATAAGTATATACTCTTGATAATTGAAATTTAACTATCAGAAATAACAATGTTCCTACAATAAAATGTAGAAAAAAAACTATTAGGTAGATTGTGAATTTTATATGTATGTATATATATGTAGATCTATCGCTAGTGTTGTGAGCCCATTTGTAATACAAAAATATTAAAAAAGAAATTGTCTTCCCGGCTGATATTAAAATGAATAATAAATATTAGTGATTATTAAAAATAATAAAAAATAGGCAATATGTAGTTTAGTTGATAGATTTAATACATTTTCATGTGTTAAATAAATGTCTCGATAAATTATGTATTATCAATATTGTGTAACTTAAAAAGGTTTAAAAAATCTTTAGATTTCATAACATTTATGATATGGTCAATAAAAAGAGATATTTATTTTAATCATTATTAAATTTATGTAAAAAAAATATTGAAAAAGGATTATATAATTTTCTAATGTTTTTAAGCCAATTCTACCATTTCATACATTCTGAAATATTTTGATCTCCTTTTATTGACCTTATTATGATAAATGAAACTATTATAATTTCAAAATAATATTATTTTTATATTTACATGAGTTTCATAATTTAATCATGTAACAATGTTCCAGTGACTAAAAAATGAATAATAATATTCGATTTTATCAAAGAAAAATATGAACACATATTATGATTAAAGTTACAAAATATGTGAATGGTTTATATTAAAGTTATGTTATGTTGCTCAAGATAATAATCTCCTATATAAAGATATTTTCGACTCAATAACTCACCGAATTGTTTTTCCCGCCATCAAGGTGCCAAACTCGAACGAAACGCTTGTAATTTTTTTTGTTATTGACATCATATAGTACAAACACTTTTAACATTATATCATTATTAAGTAATTATTATTTATTAACATTCTAATTTTAGGGAATCAATGCTAATTTTCTATAAATCAACAGGGAATGCCGAAGTATAAATGTTAGTTGTGTTTTTAATACTTTTCATTAGATTTATGTAGTTTTAGAATAGGTTTAGATAAAATAAAAATTGGTGAAAATAATTAGAAAATTTTTAAGTCACTGTGCGTGATTCGACATAATCTCACATTCCAATATGTAGTTTTTGCTAATATTACATATATAAAATTAAGGATACATTGTTGTAAGGAATGTCAATTGTGTAAATAACCAACCGTCGACAACAGAACAGGTGCTAATACTAATGGTATGTTAATTAAATTCTTATCTTATGTTTTCGATAATTGATAATTATATTTGTAACAATGATTATAGTGAACTTTCATACAATTTCCTAATTATTATATATAACACATGTCAGATATTATTATTAAACAATTTTATAGTAATGATCTATGTCTTTTCATTTATACCTTTAATATTATTGATATGTTGAGTCTAGATATGTTTCCGGTTTTTTATAGAGATCAAAATTAAAGGATTCTAGAGGTTGTTAAGAGGTCCTTTTGTTTATTTTTTTAATCATCGCCAACGACTTCATTAATTTGAACATATTGCAAAAAACTCTCAAGTTTCCTACTTTTCGAAATGTGGCCGTTGTTATAGCTAAAACAAACGATATTATAAAGTTAAGGCCGTTTTATTCGGAAAAGTACTATGTTACATAATTGCAAGATATTTGAAGATCGTTTGAAATCTAAAAAGTTTTTGATGAACAACCTATTATTAGACCATGCGTCCATATTTTCATGTAAAAAGTTATTCAAACCCCAATAATTTTGTTTTATTATGCTATGATAGAGACCCGTAAATGTTTCTTTAACAAAAGATTTTCAATTTAATTAATTCACTTAGAAAAGCAATTTATACAAATAAATCCCAACTTTTGTCTTTAGATTTTTTTCAGTCTTATTTTAATAATTATTAGTATAAAAATGTCATATTATACGTAAATCTTTTAAATAAATCAGAACAAATGACAAAATTAAAATAAAATGTTGTACGCCAAAAGACTAGAATGTATCACAAAGAAAGTAACTACAACAGTCATGAGTTTAGAAAAAGTCACAGAACCGAGCGAACTGTCAAGACGTTATACTTTTGTTGAGAGAATGTAGAAACATTGAATTTACACGTTTTAAAGTTGTTTTTCTAAGATTATTTACTTTGTTTATGAAGTTTTAGAGTATAAGCCGTAAATCTGTCACAAGATGGCAGGGACGGCAGATAGTGATTTATCGATCTCCGAGCTGAAGGCGGAGATCGAGAGGCTTAGTCGAGAACTTGACCAAGCCAGCAGCGAAAAGATTCAATCGGCACAGCTGGGTCTGGTGCTGTTGGAAGAGAAAAGTGCCTTGCAGCTGCGATGCGATGAGCTTGAGAGTCTCTACGAAAACACGAAGCACGAACTGGACATCACACAAGAGGTTAGATGGCCTACATACCGTAAATTTTCACTTCATGCCTAAATGGCTACATTAACTTGCAAACGGTAACTTCAAATTGTAAGTTTTAACTCATCCTAATTAGCAGTTATGCTACTTAAAGAATTTCCTTTTTCTTTGTTTCTTTAAGTGATGAGATTAAAACAGACTGTTGCTTCACCATAGAAGTTGTTTGAGGATATTCGTTTTACTATCATACGAGCAAATGACTGAATTAAGGCTCTATTACGAGAATTATCTCTACATACAGAATATAAATAATGTAAAACTACTTTCAGGCTTTAATGAAACTAGATACAACACAAAAAGTAACCACACAGAGTGGTATAGAACAAGAAAATGCCCTTCTTAACGAATCTGCGGCTATGGAAAGTTCTCTTACATTACAAATTATTGAATTGGAAGGAGAAACAAAACAGGTGAGTTTATTATTTTATATGAAATGTTTGTATCGTGACATACATTCTAAATTCAATTAGCATCTTATTTAAATGTATGAAATCCACATTAAGTCTGTTATTATACCTCATACATTTCAAGACGGCTTTTGGTACTCTGAATATTATATGTATATATATATATTTAAAATTAACCATTCAATAATATGTTTTTTTTGCATAAAGTCATATATAAAAATTTTAATCATAATCAATTAAAGAAGCATTAAATATTTACAATGTAAAATCCAATTAGAAAATGAAATAAATTCTTGTGGCGTTTTAAATCACTTTGTTTATGTGCTACAGATATACTTAATATTTTATTCATGAAATACAAAAGGAGGTTTTAATGAGATTTCATTTCATAGAAGATAATTGAAAAAAGTTATTTTTAGTTTATTTTGTACAGTGATTATTAAAAATCTTTAGCAAAATTATTAAATAAAATTAAATCTAAATTATTAATATACATATGTTATTATAAGAATATTGAATTTGTTTTAAAATAATATACGACTATATTTTCATGTAAATTTATTTTATAATTTCATTTAATTTTTAAGTATTTTTAATTGGTAGTTGTAATAATTAGACTGTTGTCAGTTAATTGAAGCTATCCAGTTCCACCTCTTTAATGGAATAATTGTCCTTATAAAATATGAGTGTAGAAACATTTAAAAGTTTATATAAATTATTATTTATTTATTGTCACTGAATGTATTTTATTTTTCTATTGCAATTTAAATTGCTTTGTTATTTATTTGTTTTTTTTTCCACACTAAACTGTCAAGACTGGCACAAAATAAATTTGACCTTATTTTTTTATACATAAAAATAATTACATATGTTTTAACACATTAATTTACTAAGATTTCTTACTGTCTTTTGCTGACTATACTTCCTGACTTCATACAATATGCTATGTATATATTTTATAAAACATATATACACTTAATTTTTTAATATGTTAAACACCTATTAAATATAGAATTGATAAGATTTTATGGTGTTAAAGCAATTATATACGAAAATAAATTTTCGTCACGATTACATGATTTTTTTTTTTACCTATTATGAGTACGTGAACATTACTTTAACTAAAGTATAAAATTTTGTAATAGATCGAATGAAAACATCGTTTGAATTATTCAAAAGAAACAATTCTTAGACATCGCGAAGTAATATATTTAATCATTTTAAGCACATTTCAAATTATAGTCTAATATATACTACATTTTATGAATATATATAATCATACATAAATAACCGAAAAAGAAAATACTATATATAAGCGTATATCAAAATTTAAGCACAGGAAGTCAATTGTCTTAGTCACACGAATGCGGTACGAATGTATAGTTAATTTAAAAAATGACCAATGAGATTATATAGAGAGAGTCATTATCATATTAGTGCACTCTAACCCAGACACATATGACGGAATGCTCGCCCCATCAAGAGCAATTGATGTGAATCATCGCCAGAAAGCCAATCAGTACATGCGGGACTTCGTTAACAGGCACACTGTAAAATATCAACTGAAAAAATCCCCATACTTATATTATAATATAACAAAATCGACTTCAGTTGTATATAACGTTGTGGTATAATTCAGTGGATGGCGTAAGCGCAGACGTCCTTAATCTATAACACTGATCCAGAAATATACTTTTATTTTTCCCGTACCGTGTTCACGATACGCTGTAGCGTTAAGTTTTTAACTGTGAATGTATTGGTATTGATTTGAAACAATTATGTTATGTTATTGTGTTTGATTCAAGTGTTATAATGGACAGTACATCGGATATGACCGACTGCGGAGAGGTGTGTAATGTTATACCTTTCCTTAAAGCTAATGGTCTGTCAAATTTATGTAGGTCTCGTGTTCCATTGTCGTTGTTTGTATAAATAATGGACTTTTGTTTATATTTGTATTGGAAATACTCCAAGAACGGTATCCTTATATTTAATATTAATATTTCATATTATATTTATAATAATAACCCTATTGTGAATACATTCGTGCTGCCTATTACCCCTTTGTTAACTCATATTCATAATGAAATTCCCTTGTGTTTAATTTATATGAACGAGCTTTTTAGATTGATATTACCAAAACTTTGTTAATTACTTTGTTACCTCGCTCCGCATTTATGACGGCTGGTGTTGGAACTTTGAATTGATACTTAAACCAACGTGTGACACACAACTGAATTAATACGTTTGTATTATAATTAAAACACACACACACACATTTAAATCAATAGTTTGAAAAGAAATTTGTAACACAATTAATAATTATAATGAATTAATATTCAATATACGTTAATTCAACGTCCAGGTCATTTCTGTTATCATCGTTTATTATGGATTGTTTACTTGTGAGTCACAGTACATATTCATCTAAGGTCATATAGCAGCCGTCTTATCTTATATACACAGTATGTATATAAGAACACTCCTACATGTTTCCCAGTTTGAAAACAGATATTCAATTTCACAATCAAACTATACTAAAGGAAGCTTACATTAAGATATTAATGAAGCATGTTCTAAATGATTTTATTTAAATTATATAATATATCTTTATATCGGGATAAATCGTAAAAACTTTTTAACGAAAAATAAGACGTCTACGATTTTTCTGAAGTTACATTAGTAACGCAACAGTAAACAAAACTTTTTGTAAACCTCACTCGTTTTTTTAATGCCTTAAAATCCTATTTTTATTCTTTTCTTTATTGTATTATTTATTTATGTAATTGAAATTCTCTATTCGAATATTATTTATGTATATAGAATTTACAATTAATATTATGTATTAAATGTATGAAAACGGTATTAAATTTCTGTCTTGTGTGATTTTTGAAGTGTATCGAATAAGTACAAAGCATGTGATAAAATTGTAAACATTAATAAGAATTTATCGTAATACTACATATAGGTTTTAATACACAAGTTTTTTCATTTTAGTAATGGTATTATAATGTAACAGACATTGTTTAGACAGATAATGTAATTTTTAATTAAGGAGTTGAACACACTCGCCCGTCAGATTTTCCTGTCTGTCTGTGTTAATGCACTAATTTGAAGCTTGACGCTCCCAGAGGCGTTAGGCTGTCTGTTTTAGAGACGATTTACACAGACAATCATATCTAATATGTAGTATATATGCCTAATGGAAATACCAATTACAAACTCTAGCTCTTGTATTGTTTAACAGTTTTCCCATTCGATAACTCCAAGTTATAAACTTATGTAATGGTACCTTTTAATATATCATCAAAGTCGTATTTGCTTTTAGTCATCGGGGGTTTGTACTTTGTATTCCCCACCCTTGACCTTATTCTACTGAATCGTAACAGAAGTCAATAAAGATGTCGTTGCACCACGCCTAGCCACACCTAGACACGTTTAGACAGCAATCAACTAAGTGCTAGGCGAAATAATGTAACCTAGATAGAAATAGTCGTACTATTTGCCGTCTGCGACGATTTTAATTTCACTAATGCGATTTGCTTCCCTCTTCATTGTTTGAAAGTCGACACGTAACTTTATTTATTTGAAAAAGAAATATTCGGTATTTCGTGTTATTATAGTAAATGCGTTCAATTTCTATTGATAATTCTTTTTTCAGTTACGACACGAATTAGAAAGAGTTGTGAGCGAACGAGATAGATTGTTGGCGGAAAGTTCTGAACTAGGAGCTGATAAAGCCACGAGGGAATCTGAGAGGGCGGCGTTGAGAGCTGAACTGAGAGAAGCGAGGCAGCGGGAACAGCGCTTGATAGTTGATATAGGAGACTTAGAAGATGAGAATATATCGCTGCAAAAACAAGTCTCAGCGCTACGGTCGTCACAGGTGAGTTGACAGAATTAAACAAAATTGATACTTATTGAAATAGCTGCTAAGTCGTTAATTACTCTTACAGGTAGAATTCGAGGGTCTGAAACATGAGGTTCGTCAATTGCGTGAAGAAGCGGAGAATGCACGCGCAGCAGCTGATGAAACAGCAGCGCTGCGGCGCATCGCGGAGAGGCAGCTGGCGGAAGCGCTTGAAGCGCTGCAAGCGGAACGTGAAGCCAAATTCGCGGCCAAGAAGGAATTAGACGCGCATCTCAGCCGAGAGGCTCAGTTCAATATAACGAATCTGGCTTACAGTATACGAGGTTAGTTGTTTGAGTATTATTATCATAGTGACATTTATATGGCTTCATATTTTGATGATAAAACTCATAATGAAACTAAGGTTTTCAGATAATCCCGATGTTTCGGTTACTTTACAGCAACCGTGATCACAAGCAGACGAGATGAAACTGACTTTCATTTAGTATTCGCGGAAATCTTAGATATCTTTAAACTCATGATATTCATTCTTCTTGAGATTTAATGTAGTAAAAGTAAACACATAAGCTTTATAAGTATTTAAGTACATATATATAATGTTAATATTACACGACAGGTATGCCAGAAGAAGGTGCTGATGATGAAGTTGAGGCGGGCGCGTCCGGCGGGGAGCTGGCCGCGGACCATCACGCGGACCTGTTCTCAGAGGTCCACCTGCACGAGATATCAAGACTCGAGAAACAACTGGAACAGGCGCATAACGAAAACGTACGATTATATACTTTATTAAGTAAATAAGGCTCAAATTAGAAGTAACAGTGGCAACAGTCAAACCATCTTGATAGATAATTCTATACACCATTGATGCAAATAAATTATAATGTATGAAAGAAATTTTATAGTTGGTTAGTTTCAGTGATAGTTATTGTTTACATTAAATGATTCATACAATAATAAATATAATTGTATCTGTTGTTCACAGTCACAGTTGTCGTCAGCATTACGGGCTGCGCAGACGAGCGCGGAGACAGAGAGCGCGGCCGCCGGCGTACTACGGGCGGGACTCGCCCGGCTACTGTCCAGGGTCGCGGCGCTACACACGCTACACGGAGACTGCGCTCCTCTGGTACATACGAGAATATATTAGAAAGAAAGAAAGGACATTTATTGACATTCACACAAAGGAAAAAACCAAAATTATACAAAAAATGACATAAAAACAACATTACAAAAATAAAGAAAATGAATAAAAAACTTGTGTGCAGTCAAAAGGAGACAGCTCAGGCTATGAGGGTTTTTTTTATCCCTCTGCAGATTTTCAGCGGTCTCCCTTGTGGCCACGCAATGACAGTATCAACCAAAGGTATCATTAGTATGTAGGGGAGTTGATATGAAACTAAATCTAATGATAAACCTAAACCTTATACAGGAGGACGATAAGGTCGAAGGTGGCGTGGCAGCTCGAGCGGCCAAATGGTTGACGTGGTGGCGCGTGTCGGGCGGGGAGCTAGTGGCGCTATTAGCGGCGCTCAAGGAACTTGACTCGCCGCTCGCGGACGGGTCGCCGGCCGCCTTACAACGAGCACAGCTCGCACAGCTCAGCGATAGAATGGCGGACGCTGAGATAAGATGCGCCGCGCTACAAGCTGACGCTGACCTGCTGAGGACACTCGCTGGAGGTCACTATAGTTTTCTATTTATTATATTAAAGTGTTTCACCATCATCAGCCTATCAGACGCCCACTGCTGAGCAAAGGCCTCTGTCTCACATGGAGAAGGTTTGAAAATTAATCACCACGCTTGCTCAAGACGGGTTGGTGATTTCAAACTTATAATTGTGAAACTATAAGTCCAGGTTTCCTCACGATGTTTTCCTTCACCGTATGTCAGTGAAGTCTAAATACTCTCAGAAAGTACATATGACTCCGAAAAATCGCATAGGTACTTGCCAGGTTTGATTTATATTAAAGTGTTTAATTAAGTCTATAATGCGTATTAATGTTATATTCCAGGCGCCGGCCGCGCGTTGTCCTCCGCCGCGCCCGCGCTCGCGTCAGCCGCGGACACGCTGGCTCAGCTGTACCACCACGTGTGCGCGGTCAACGGCACTCAGCCCGAGCGACTGCTGTTGGAGCACGCCGGACAAAACGACGGTGATAAACGATAATCAACCTTTACTATTAATAAATATGGTGTATTTTTGTACTAATTTGTTCTGTACAGGCACAGACGGGTCCGGTCGTGTGGATGAGGAGGCGTTGGCGCTGGCTGCGGGCGAGCTGGAGGGTCTGCGTGCGGCCGGGCTTGTGGCCAGACATGCTGACACCTTGCTCGACCAGCTGACACACCTGAGAGCGGCTCTGGACACCGCGCTGGACTCCAGACATAGACACCAACCAGGTACGACACACACACACATACACACTATAACGCTTAGTTGCAGCTACCACCATACATTTATGCTATTAGCAGTTTGTTATATTAAATCTTATATTTATAGAAACCCCGTCCTATCCCTTCTTGAGAGCTACGAATTTACTATACCACCAAATGAAGAAATTTAAATTGATAAATATTGATCATATTAACATTAAGAGAATGGAGAGTAAAAGGTTTTATGAATACCAGCCAGAAGCAAATCGTCATTCACAATTAGTTTGCAACGAGCGTTCAGTTAAAGGGATCACTAATTTCTTTGAAAATATAGCGAAAGTCAATAGAAAACAATCAGATATTAAAGATGAATGTAACAATATTACAAGAATAACTCCGTTTCTTTGCAAACGCACACCTTTCAATATGGAAAATAAATCCACCTCCCTACCATGTGATTTCAACTTGCATGTGGCGTGGAAACATTCAGTGTTACACGGGAAGAATTTCTATTTTAAGAAAGCAAATTTAGCACAGAATATGAAAAATACTAAAAACGTTTTCAATGTAATGGAGTCCTTACGAGCAAGCGTGGTAGCGGGCATTACTATATTGCAATATATTATGTGAACAGTTGAGTACGTTTTAAACCGATCGAATTTTTGTAAAACTTAGATAATTATAGTAAATAATACAAACAAAGAGTCTTATAGTACAATGTTAAATACTAAATTTTACTAGACTTGTAAAATAATGCAGTAGTACCAGTCGTAGTAGGAAATAAATATATGTACTGTTGTAATTATAAATCATTAACATAAGTTACATACAAAAACGTACGTACTTTATGTATTTATATGTAGATTATGATTATATATAGATTATATTAAAAAACTTTATAATTTATAAATAATTTATAGCTTATTTCAGTGTAGTTGTATTATAAAATATATTAAATCATGTAATATTTAGCTCAACATTGGTTTGTTATTCTATTATAGAAGCCACATGTCAAAGTTTGAATTTAATACAGTCATATTATCGAAAGTATTAAGTAGTTATATACATATATGATATATGTATTGTTAAATTTTCTCTATTTTCTATATGCTTATTTTATCTTTCTTCGCGGATAACCTATTCATTTATGACCCGATTTTGACGATTATTTTTTCTGTATAGTTATGGAGAGCAGCGACCGCGGGGCGGAGCTAGGCGAGCTACAAGAACAAGTTATCAAATTGAAGTCTCTCCTGTCTACTAAGAGGGAGCAAATCGCGACGCTAAGGACCGTTCTCAAGTCCAATAAAAACACAGCAGAGGTCGCTCTCGCTAACCTCAAGTCGAAGTATGAAACGGAGAAGACCATCGTCACGGAAACCATGTTGAAGCTGAGGAACGAACTACGGCTGCTCAAGGAAGACGCTGCTACGTTCTCCAGTAAATATATATATAATATAGTTATATACATTTAAATGAAACTAATATTTTATTATTTCTAACTTAGCAACAACCGTAATCAGCAATCGAGAAGAAATCTTGAGATAGGTTAAAAGTAATAAAATAACACGCAGTAATCAGAAAATATTAGTTTCATTTAAATTACTACTCGCGAAACTTATACTTATACAGATTCAGAACTGGACAATAATTGTGTGAGATTTTCTTAACACCTATCTATTTTGACCTCTACTTGAAGTAGGAGTTACTGTTGTTGAATTTAAAATAATGTGCATTTAATATGCGAAAATATATTGATATTTTAAAGTATATATATAGTTAATGTCTAATGATAATCAATTCCAGGTCTCCGCGCCATGTTCGCGGCCCGCTGTGAGGAGTACGTGACCCAAGTGGACGAGCTGACGCAGGCGCTGGCCGGCGCCGAAGACGAGAAAAAGACACTCAACCAACTATTGAGACTCGCCGTGCAGCAGAAACTGTCGCTCACACAACGACTTGAAGAACTTGAGGTTAGAACATACTTGGAAATATTTATTTACTTATGAACACCAACAGTACATATATGCAACATTTACACAAAAATATAGTCAAAAGTATAGGTCTTCATATGTACACCTATTACAGGTATTCACAGCACCATCTAAAAAGTTTTTAACAACAACAACAACTTAATCTATTTAAATTAAATTACTTCTACAAAAAAAAACAACACTAATTAATAAAAACAACACATAAATTAAAAGTGAAACAGTTACAATTTTAGAGATATATAAGTGTATAATTGTTACACTATGTCACTAGATGGCGCTGTGCGTCATTTGGATCACGCTATCGTTTGGTTTTTTTGTTTTATAAGTTGTGTTTCTGTTTTGAGTTTAATGTACTCGATTCGTAATGGATTGTACAATAAGGGCTAGCTAACGTTAATGGTTGCTTAAGGGGAAACTATATCTCTAAAAATATTAATTTGCTTTGGATTTATATTTTAGAGTTCATACAACAGAAGACTTCAGGTCAAATTGATCTGGATGTAAAGCTTTCTCTTTTGTGATAAATTTCAACAATCTATGTGTCTAGTTTCATTATAAAAACTGCATGTTTAAAACTTATTATATACACCAAAGCTAACATATTTGCTGGTGTTAGGTTGGATGACAGCACATTGTTTGTGTTGTATGTTACTTCATTTATACAACAGTGCTGTTCATGTTCGTTAAATTTAAAAAGTTAAAGAGTTTTGTAACTTAATAATCGTCTTCGTTTGTCGAATTTCTAATATTAAGCACGGTCTCTAGAAAAAAAATATGTTAAAACATCAAGCAGACTATAATGAGTAACGATATATAACTATTTCCAGGTGTACTCTAATAGTTTTATTTTAATATGATATATTTGTCCGCAGGTGGACCGCGAGATGCGCACGCGCCGCGTCCCCAAGGCGGGCGGCGCAGCGCGCGCACGGCCGCGGGACTTCTAGCGACTGGTGCGCGCGCTGAAGGCGGCCGCCGCGGCCCTGCGCGCACTGCTCGCCCCTCGCGGACACACACACTACTAGGGAAATACATTTATACGTTTATATGAACTGATGCGACTCTGTGTGAGAGTGTACACTTTCCGAATTCTTTGATATTTGATACTCTATTAATGTTAGTCGAACCTCGCCCGCCCCCCGCGCGGGTGACGTACCTTACCCGTGGTCCCAGCCGATCCTATATTTTGGTATCGTATTGCCCCCTATATATTTTGCTCTTCCGATGTTTGAGTGTATTTTTGTAATGGCGTTGATGTATTTATCGCAGATGAATTTATCTTGTTGCGGCGTCCCCGTCGGAGCCAGATTTTAATATTTATCTTATCGACGCTCGGACGGACGGAGAGACCGTTCGACGTTATTTTTTATTATATACATATTTAATATGGAATCTGGAGATTCGCTTATGTGTAAATATTATAGAATCCTTACTCGGTACGAATGTTTAGAACGTCCAAGGATAAAAAAAGTAATTCATCGTCCATCCATGTGTGCGCCAAGACTATGTAATCTGTTCTGTAGTTGATACGTTCGTTGTGTTGTCGCGGCCCTCCGCCTCTCTTTCGTCCATCTTGTTCTAGTTGTATGTAGTGTTTCCGTCTTTGTTTGTTGACGTATCGTTGGCCGCAGGATGTGATCCGCGCCCGCCGGCCGCCCGTCACACCGTCCAGCCCTGTCCAAGCCGGTCGCGCCCGAGCTCCCCTCAGACCGTCGACGTTCCTAAGTTGCTCAAAATTTTGCTCACGCGGCGCGGCCGGTACTATTGATAAGACAAAATTTACAAGAGATTATTGAATTTTTACGATATCGTTTCGTTTCGTTTGTTATCGGATGTGATGTTGCTTCCCGTGATCGTGCGTGAATCCGGTCGATGACGTAGTCGTTTCTGTCGTAGTGTCTCGGCTCCTAGACTAGTTGAACCGTTCCAGGTAGCGGGCGCTCGCCCTAATAGTTGTTATACCGGGTTAGCTGTAGACTGTACGGATCATTAATCTTTGTATTAACTAGTAGTTTCATAAAGGTACTCTGTTAACGTAGTGAATCGTTTGCAATATTAACTCATGTAGCGTAATTATTGAATTGTTTCGCTCCGGGAGATTAGAGAATCCAGAGCGCGTTCCGCGAGGCCCTGAGCCCTTGCATTTATTGTTTTTAGATTAATGATTGGCTAGCTTGTATCGTAGAAGTCTTCTTGTACTTAACCGTGAACTTACCGATATATAGATGTAGAGCATAATATTTCATTTCGAGTATTATTTTTGTTAGCTTAAGCAGCAGGCATCTTTATGTATTCGTTTGTATCTAGTCACGCGCCGAACGCATTAAATGCCATGGGTTGTAGAAGCACCATATCCTGTATTGTCTATGGTATTCGCAATATATTCCCAATATTTCTTCGACGTTGTTATATATTTGCCTTATATTTCTTTGTATACTCTTGACATATTGTATTTATACCGTTATTTATTTGTTGATTGTTAGTGAGACGTATTGTAAGTAGCGCTCGATGTCTGCTGCCGTTAGCCGGTGGTGGTGTTAATGAGCGTTTAACCAAATATTATTAATTTCTTTTTTACTGTTCGTGTAACACTTTAGACGGCTCATTTTGCCTAGTAATAGATATTATTTTATATCATACAGAGAGAATTAACTTACTTTTTTTTATAATAATTTAATTATGGAAAGTATATGGAATGCCTGCCACTATGTATTGCCGGGTCAGATGATTGTTCCCACTGCTACTGTCATCGATTGATTTATCACATCACAGCTCCACATCTGCGTGTTTGTTGTAATCGAGTATCAGGTTACATGTCTTAGTGTTATCTCGCGAGGTCTCACGAGCTTCATCTCATATATTGTTAGACGTTACTTGTAAATCGATCGAACAGCCCAGCCGGGAACATATCATGACAGATTTATTTTGAAGGCACGCCGTGTTGTCGCAATGACTGATTGAATCAAGTATGAGAATATTAAATGATATATTTAAAAAAATTATATAACTTGGTTTTATTCTACCTCTCAAATGTACGACTACCCACCTCTGTTATGTAGGAATTATATATAAAAAGGTAAGTAATGATGAAATAAAAATAAACTTATAATAGTGCATTTAATTACATGAAATGCTTTAAAACCGTAAACTAAAACGAAGCCGCTGACTCGATGACTATATCATAGGTATCACAGTTTGTAGACATGAAATGGGACTCCTTACAATATATTTACATGATTACAAAATGCACCGCTTACACTATTACAGTAAATTTAACATTAAAACATTCATTACAATAAAAATATTTACAAAGTTAGACGAACAGCTTTCAAACATACAAGTTGTATGATTAAAACAATTACAATCTTTTTATTACTGTAGTAATTTGAGTTGTACTACTTGTCAAGTGTGACAATATGTAAAGATAGCTAGAACATTATATAGGAAAATAGTCTAAATACATTACAAACATTAATTTATTTTTAAACAATCACTAACAAAACTGAATCGAGTATGATATTATGTATAAATTGAATAACATTATAGCTTAGTATGTACAGCTAGTTTGGATTTAAAAAGTCAGTCATAATAAGCATGTGAAGAATAGAAAATAATTCTAAATATTTAATTTAGAACATACAAAGTTGTAAAGATATATATATATATATATATGTAGTTGTCATGAACACAACCAAGCTTTGATAGACCAAACACTACATAAAGGATACAGGTGGCAGTGCGAGTGTAAATTAATATAGATTTGAGATTTACTGATAAGCAACACTCAATCGATTTCTTACGCATAATTTGTTTAAAATAATATAATGTGTTATTATTAGTTATTTAAATCTGAATTACAAGAGGGTTTTCACCTCAAACGTGTCCAGAACTTAAAAACTCCATATTAGATAATTTTACCTTAACATTCTTTTATATGCTAACAAATATCTAGATTTTCATGTATATAAAAAAGTTTCATATGATAAATTTCATGGCGGGTATAAATTAAACGTATTATCCCTATAAAATACGAGAAATTGTCTTCGTTACGTATCTACATATGTACAAATACGTAGTGTGTAATAGTTAAGTGTATTTACATTCTACGTTCACACAGGATTTACGAGATATAATATCAAATGGAAAAGTCACCAGTACCTATCGTTTTAAAACTTGAAGATTATATGGAGATAATAATTACAAGTTGACGAGGTTTTGTATGTCGTTAGCCGGCGGCACCGCAGACGGGCGGAAGTAGCGACACAGACGGTCGTACAGACGGATGCGGGCGGAGCGAGCCTGCCACGCCTCGTTGGAGCGGGAGTCCCGGGGCTCCTCTGACGGCTCGGGGGGCGGAGACTCGTCTTCAAACGGACTAGGCTCCACTAGCGGCTCGTCCGTGCCAAGCACCTATAAAGAAATTAAATCTGTTATCAAACAATATTATTATATTGGTTGGTTGTTACAAATATGGCCTGTGCAATATTACCTTTAAACGAGCACTTTCTGTGTATAAACTGAATACCATGACATTAATGCAACGAATTTCATAAACATTTTCAAGTACAGCTTTACTGGCACAGCAACACTTAAGCTATCTAACGATAGATGGCGTTGTTATAAACTCTAAGCTAATAATATTTGTCAACATGATTTACTGAAAACAAATATCAAACAGAGCTCGGTTTCCGGATGATTGTTGTTAACGCGTGTGCAACACTAAAGCTATCTGACGATAGATGGCGTTGTTACAAACACTAATCCACATATTTGTCAACATGATTAACTGAAAACAAATATCAAACAGAGTTCGGTCTCGCCATGATTGTTGTTAACGCGTCGGCTAGTAGTAGTAGTAGTACTCACTGAGAGCAGTGCTCGCGGCAGATCGTCGTGGTAAGCGTCCCTCCTGGCGGCCGCCCTCCTCCTCCTCAGCGTCCTCACTCGCCCAGCGTCAAGAGGTCTCCCGTCAGTTCCCGCGCTCGTCGCTTCCGATCCGTTCTGGAGCTCATCTTCGTCTGGACTCATCCTTCCTGAGAATAACACCGTGGCTAGCTTCTGGAAGTGCGCCACCTGAGAGATTAACCAATAGTTTTAGACCACGTATAACGAATTCCCTTTATGAAAAGTAATTCTATGTTACAAGATTATAAAATTGTTAATTTTATAATCCTAGTTATCTATAGTAGACCAGTGCCAATAGCTTTTAAAACATAATTAAATTATAGTAGAATAAAACTCATTAGAAAAAGAATATTATAAAAATTAAAGGAAAAATAATTTACGGGCGATCTGAGGTCGGGAAGGGTATAGGGTTGGGTATTTAAGGGTAAAAAGTGGGTTTTCTCGATTTCCGGCAAAACTAAAAGTCCTACGGAAAAATTTATATGGCAAAGTTATAGGTAATAAAAAGATCTAAAACTTTTGTATTTACATTTTTTTCACATCACCTCAAAATTTATGTGAAAAATTCGAAAAACCAAGTTTTTGGTTTTTTATTTTTATCTCTCACAAAAAACGATATTTTGTCATTCCTGACATTCCCTTTTAGGTATAATTTACAAAAAAATTACATTAAGCTGAAAAAAATATTAAAAATAAATTGAAAGAGCATTTTCCAAACGATTTAAACGAACAGAAAACACTTCAAATTTAAAAAAAAAATTGATATTTTGACGTGTGATTTTTCGATTGAAAATGAGACTGGTTTTTCGGTATTTATTCAAAATAAGCTGAAAAAATATATATTTCTTATCAAATAAATTACAGTGTATTTGAGACATCAAAAGGTAAGTTTTCACCAAATTTCGTGACAAAATATTATTTTTTGTGAGAGATAAAAATAAAAAACCAAAAACTTGGTTTTTCGAATGATTCACATAAAATTTGAGGTTATGTGAAAAAAGTTTTGGATCTTTTTATTACCTACAACTTTGCCATATAACTTTTTTCTGTTGCCGGAAGTCGAGAAAACCCATTTTTTACTCCTAAATACCCATCCGCCTACCCTTCCCGACCTCAGATCGCCCGTAAATTATTTTTCCTTTAATTTTTATAATATTTCCCTCCTCTTCTAATGAGTTTCATTCTACTTAATTTATTTTCATTTTTCATTAATTTTAAAGGCTTCTGCACTGGCCTATAGCGAGACAGAATGTCAAACCAATAGTTATAGATCATGATAAGGTATATTTTGTTATGTTATATCATCGATTTCATTGTAAACCTGAACCGAGCTGCTATGGTCGACGGCCTCACTGAGCGCGTGTCTCAAGTAGTGTAGGGCTGCGGGCGCTCGTTCAGGGGCGGCGGCCAGCTCCCTGTAGCGAGCCTCCCGGAGCGCCGCGCGGGCCTTCGCCCTCACGCCGCCGGAGCCCGCGCGGTGAAGCTTTAGAGACCACAGATCGTCGAGGCGAAGGCGTGGACTCGACGTTAGGCCAGGGTTACCACCGAACAGATAATGCACCTGATAACAAACAGATATATTGAACGAATTAATAAAATACTTTAATATTTTGATAACCCTTCTATACCCCAGTCAAATTCGATGTGGAATGTTAAATAACAAAGCGTTGCTTAGCAACCAACGTCAGGCAGATGGTCAAAACATTTTTAGAAATATGTACAATTATTTTTGATGTTAATAAAAATTAAAATTTATGATTAATAATAAAATATTTAAGACAAAGGACTAAGAACATTCTTGGTTAGATTTATAATACTTATGATCATCTGGAATAATGTAGATCTCAAAAATAATACCTCCAATTTTAAAATCATTTCAGAAATTACCTCGTAGTTATATAATTCGCTTTATTAACATTATCTGTCGCCTCTCAAACGACAGGACTCATTTAGATTAAATTTTGTGTATATTTGCCAATTGCTTAAAAAACACTCCAAATGTTACAAAACCTGCGATTTCTTTACTTTAGTATTAAAATATAGGGTTGTTTGTTTTATAGTAATATTATAGTGGTAATTAAAGATCTTTAAACTTTTATTTTAAGCTAATTTTTATACAAATTATGTATTGACCGGCTAAATAAAAATTTTGGATTCTATATTAAATTAAAATTTTTATGTTTAAACAGGAAATTGTATTATAATAAATATATTTGTAATTATAATAATTATTATTTTTTATTGAGAGTGTATCAACCCTAATTATGATGACTCATGGTTTGTTTACTAAAATTCCAGATCGAATATGGCTGGAGTATAGTGTTTGTCCTTTCAAAGTTAAGATGTGGAAGTGAAATTTTGTAACTATTAAATAATATACATCTAAATTATTCTTATAACAAAAACGTTACTTTTTAAAAGATTTAAAAGCAAGAAACGTCCATTATTACTATGAAGGTTAGAAGACAATACAATATTGTGAACTTGATTATAATAATATTAATATTTAACATAATATCACCTTCCTAACTGGATCGTACACGAACTGGTGCGCGAACCTCGGGCGTGGTTCCGAAGGCTCCACTGAATCATTTCTGTACAGACAGCTCCACGTCATACGTCGCAGAGAGAACACCCACAGAGTGTTGTACACACACTTGTCTTTCTCCTTGCTCATACCCTGGCGACATTTAACACCGTATATTAGATGTGATTAAAACTTTAACAATACTATAGAACAGATTAAAACGACAAATTAGTGATGTATTTTTTTAATTATAGTCGTGAAAATAACTCAATGTTATTGTTCAGCAAAAAAAAAATTAGAAACAATTCTCTATATTTTTGACGTGATAACGTCTTTAAAATCGTTTTAGTCGGGTGACATGTTCAGAAACTTGTGTCACACCAAAACTTCACGAGCGCGATCGCAGGTATAACGAGAGAGAGACGGACCGATCTCCCGTCTCATCTCGAGCGCTGCCAGTCATTCCGTGAAACTTGTCACGCGGAATTCTCACCAGCGGAGGCAGGCATAGCGTTCGAGTAAGTGGACCGATCTTCCGTCTCTCTCACTCTAGCGGCATAAAAACGAATGGAGATTTTAACTGATTGTAACTGATCGTATTGTATGTTATGTATGTATGCATAAATGTTTGTATAAATGTATAAAAGTATGTTTGTATGAATGTATGTATGAAGAAAAATGTATATCGTAGTCGAATAAGTAAACTTGTCATTTTACACCCGAAATTTATCATCTAAAGTGTGAATAAAACGATAGATGTAATTTAAAATTTGAAAAAAATGTTATCTTCATTAATTCCTTACTTCCCAAAAACTTATATCACCAATAAGACGTTATCACGTAAACATCTCGATCGTAAACCTACTTTACAAACAACCAATTATTTGTTTAAATCTAAATAGACGGGTTTGGGGATCTGACTATCGATGCTCATAGTTGATTGTTTTTAATGCTCCGAACACTAGTTACGTGTCATATTAATGTATGGATTACTTTTATTTCTTTATCATTCCTACTATAACCTTTTGGTTTCCAACTTTACTTAAGGATAAATGATTTGATATACTGTCCATACATACCGACAGTACATGTATCTCGTCCGTGTGTGGGTCGATGGTCGCCCTCTGTGTGAAGCCCTGCGGGGGCGGAGCCCGAGGTGGCGCGGTGCACAGAGCGTGCGGCCGCGGCGGAGTCTCCTCACAGTCCCACCACCACATGTCAACTAGCTGTTCCTTGTTACGCTGACCAGCGAACATGTACAGACGTCGTTGGACCTGTTATAATAAAACATACTTATAATATACCTATTTATATAATAATATAAATCCTTCAAATCAATGTTTATAATATTTTATCTCACAATAAAGAATAATGTGCTCTCTCCAGCAGCTTTTCTTATCAAAAACACTCCAACACATTTCACACTAAAACTTATTACGTATAACATGCGAGTATGGTTGAGAATATTTTACAGCTTGTTACAGAATTCATGAGATCACATTCGCGAGTATTCATTTAAATGAAACTAATATTTTCAGATTACTACCAATTATTTTATTATTTTAAAACTTCATACTCCCGACGTTTCAGTTAATTTTCAGCAACCGTGATCACGGGCAGATGAAATGAAAATGTCCGTCAGTAGTCTGAGTAAATAGTAATCCGAAAATATTAGTTTAATTTTATCAAGTTATTTACGAAAATCTCTATTAAAATCTAGTTGTATAATCTCTCACCGGATGAAATAGCATTGAATGTGAGACGCGGTGAGGAGGCGCGGGGAGGGGAGGCTCGGGCTCCAAGGACCGCCACACGTTAGATTCAATGTGGTATGAGAACAGACCCGAATACTGCGGGCTCGATAACTCCTCACTGACATACACATACATATATATAAGGCGGTATAATAAGTATATAATTTATATAAACAAACGTAGTTTGTTATGGAAAAAGAATCACATTAATATTTTATGTGAAAATTAAATTACATGCTTTAAAAATATTAAACAATACAATCAACCAATGACAATAATATACAATACAATACAATACAGTAATATTTAATAAAACAGATTTATTTATCAACTTATGGCAGCAATACATCGGTCTATTGAGTCCAATGAGACGAGACTTGTATAAATTTCTATAAGACAAATGAGTTTGTTATTTTCACTGCACCGCGATTAAAGGGGTCAATGTATCTCTGAACTGCTACATAATTTTTTATATAAAAACTTATATCATTTAAGTCACTAAAAACACATCAATATATCTCTTGCCTAATATATATTATTGTCTCGTTTTTCATGTGTCAGAAACAGTCTAGTACCACAAAATCCTACTAATATTATAATTGCGAAAGTTTGTGTGTGTGTGTATGTTTGTTACTTCTTCACGCTCAAACGGCTGAACCGATTTTAATAAAATTTTGTATACAGGAAGCTGACATCCAGGAATAACACATAGGCTACTTTACATCCCAGAAATCCGCGGGTAACACAGATAGTAACTTAATAAAATCTCATTACGTGTTAGCCGGCAGCACTCGTCCTCCGAACACGTATATAGTCTGTTCCTGTGCGTCTAAACACATCTGATGATCGAACACGAGCCGCGGCCCGCCCGCCGCCGCGGTGTCCTCACACGAGACGCGCCACACGCCCTCACGGACACTGTACGAGTACAGCTCGCACTGATAACATAAACAAAAAAATACTTACAAAATAAATATGTACACACATGTTACGTGACGGTGTCATAAGTGGTCATTTAATTAAAATATAATTATCTTTATACGGTGTAATCGTAGGACGCCTTAGCTTCTGGGTAAACTCGTCTATTCTACACGGGTCTGACTCAGCAGTTCCGTGTGATGACAGATTTTGGTTTTATATTTCTTTTATGTTTTTAGATTATAATATTTCTTGTAAGAATTTCATTAGATTTATTGTCACTATTTGTTCAACCTTTGTGCAACATAGTCGAAACCTAGTTGTAATTTGGTTTATAATTAAATTAAGTCAAATAATTTTGGTTTCATTGGATCCACCGACCGTCGAACTCATAATTAAAACTAAAACATATAAGCATAACACGAGAAATAAACACAAACTTGAATTACCCAACACCAGGACCAAATACGGAATTAAAACTATACAGTTTGAGGGAGCGAAACTATATAATAGCTTACCTAATGAAATTTTTAATGAAAAAACCTTTACGATTTTTAGAAAAAAATTATTAACTTATTGTAAAAAGCACTTAGATTAACTACTCTTGAATTGTATAAGTCGTTACTACTATACTAAATTGTTAATTCAATTAAATTATGTAATATATCTCATTTAAGTGAACATTGTATGTTCTTTATGAGAAATAAAGTTCTTTAACCATAAACATAATATATTACATAATAAATATATTTCTCACTTAGATATGATGACAAAATCTTCGTTGTAAGGATGTATGTACCTATTGATATTACATTGACAGTGGTATATACTATAGATTTAATAACAACAAAAGGAACACTTAGAGTTATCAGTGGTGGCTCAGTGGTTAAAGGGCCCGCCTCTCGTCGCCGAGGTCGCGGGTTCGATCCGGGCCCGGGCAAGTACCAATGTGATTTTTCCGAATCATATGTACTTTCTAAGAGTATTTAGACATCACTGATTAATGTTGATTCCCAAAAGAGGGTTGATGTCAGGCAGGCGGCCGGTCGTAAAAACAAATAGCCAAAAACTATTCACAACATGTAAGGCAGACCCTGGCTGTAGCTGGGAAATTGCCAGGTAGAAGAAGAACAACAAAAGGAACACTTAGTATTAGATGTATAGATTTTTTTTTTTTTTTTTTTTTTTTTTTTGATGACGTAGTGGAAACTCTTTTACGAGCCGTCCAACCGGCCTTGGTGGGGCCGGAAGGGATGTGTGAGGCTCGGCCTGGGCAGGCCCCTACTCACTAAAACCACTGCGAAAGCCATCGGCCGCTATGTCGGTGTACCCCGGATCTGTCAGCGACAGGGCACACCAGCGACTGGCCGGTCCTGGCAAAGACCGGACTTACTCCCTCGGAGCATGGGGGCGATCCCGGCAATTAGGACCACCCCGACGACGCCGGGCTTTCAAAAGGGCCGGGTTACCACGCCGACCCCAGCCCGGAACACAGGGGTGCTATTGGAGGCGTAGGAATTGCCTCCGTCGCACCCCCGTACGTCGCCTGCGGGGGGAGGGAGCATCAGCCGCCCTCTCCCTTTCCCGCTGAGATGCCTCCTTCGTGGACATGACCGTCTCACAGAAGGAGGACACCGCCAACCAGGACCCATCACTCTCGAGCATCTTCTCCACGACACTCGAAAGCGACAGGTCCACTCCGCCGAGAGCCGCCACAAGGTCTTGGCGCTGCGCAGCCCATCTCGGGCACACCTCGAGGGTGTGCTGGGCCGAGTCCACCGCAGCGCCGCACTCATGGCAGCCTTCTCCCGGCTCTCTCCTGGCCGTCCGACACAGGTAGTAACCAAAGCACCCGTGCCCGGTTAAGACCTGCGTCAGACGGAAAGTGAGGGGTTTGCGTTTCCGCCTCATCCAACGCTCTAGGACCGGGCGAAGCGCTGCCGTTGTACGTCTACCGTACGGCTGCTCCGCCAGGTCCTCCCCCCACTCCCGCATAAGGCGCTCCTCCCCCTGCCGACGAATCGCTCGGATCTCCTCCGACGAAGGGTTCTCGCCGAGTGCCCTCCTACCCGAGACATAGGAGAACAACTCGGCTCGAACCGACGCCACGAGATCCCAAGGCGGATCGCCGGCAAGGGCAGTCGCTGCGGCCCAGGAGACCGTACGGTACCCCCTAATCACCCTCACCGCAGGAGCCCTTTGCGCAGAGCGCAGCAGGGCTTTGGTCCTGCGGCTCATTGGGCGATCAGCCCAAACGGGAGCACCGTACAGGGCTATACTCCGACAGACCCCAGAGTATAGCCGCCTGCAAGCTGCGCTGGGTCCTCCGAGGTTCGGGAGGAATTTTCCCAGCGCACCTGCCGTCCTCACGACCTTCGGCCCCAGTTCCTTGAAATGAGGCACGAAGGTCCATCCTCCGTCAAGAGTGAGCCCCAGATATTTCATGGTGGGACTCACCCTGACCCTGCCTCCTCCTATGAGGAGGGTGGCACCCGGCGGGGGTCCTTTCCGCCCAGTCCCGCGGAAGAGGAGGGCTTCGGTTTTGTCTATTCTCACCCGAAGCCCCAACCTCTCTATGCGGCTGATCACGAGCTCAGTTCCGACCTCGGCCAGCCGCGCCGCCTCCCTGTAGTTTCGTCCCCGGGATAAGACGAGGGTGTCATCGGCGTAGCAGATGACACCCATCCCGGGGAGGAGACGACTCCGCAGGACCCAGTCGTATCCGACGTTCCACAGGACCGGTCCCAGGACCGACCCCTGTGGCACGCCGTTTTCGACTGTCCACCACTCTATGGACCCCCTCCGGCTCTCGACTGCCACCCTCCTCTGGGAGAGGTAGCTGTTTATCAGCCTCCTCAGATACAGGGGCACTCCGAAATACTCGAGTGCCACCTGTATCGCGCTGTGTGGGAGGCTGTTAAACGCGTTTGCGATGTCCAACGACACCGCAACCACTACCTCTCCTCTGCGTTCCGCCTCTTCCGTCACCGCCCTCAGGCGTTTGAGAGCATCGACGGTCGACCGATGGGCTCGGAACCCGAACTGGAACTCTGACAGTCCCGGGCCCGAGCCTTCCTCCAGATGCCGAACGAGACGGGTGGCCATTATTTTCTCCAGGGCCTTCCCCGCCTCGTTCAGCACAACCACCGGTCGCCACGCCGAAGCCGAGTCCGGAGGCCGGTTGCCTTTTGGAAGAAGGCAAAGCCGGCCTTCCTTCCAGGCCCTCGGGAACTGCCCGGACCTCAGACAGAGGTCGAACAGCTCCTTGAGGGCTCCACCGAGGTGCACCAGGGAGAGAGCGAGAACTCTCCCGTGCACCCCATCCGGACCCGGTGCGCTCTTCTTACTCTGGAGGCGAGCCAGAATCGCCTCCATTTCAGACTCCGTGACGGTGGGCGGAACGCGGTCGCCCTCTTCCAGCGTCAGCCGGGCCATTCTGGGGGGAGTAAATCCCGCTGGAGCGTCGGGGAAGAGTTCCCCGACGATCCCCCTCAGAGCAGCCGGCTGGAGCACCTCCGTGATGGGGGCCGACTGGGCGCAGAGTTTGTTCCGCGCCCGCTTGTACGGTCGGCCCCAAGGGTCTCGATCGAGACCCTCCACCAGCTCCAGCCAGGCTGCCTCCTTGGCCCGGCGGATGGCCTGCTGCAGGATCAACTTCTTCTCCACATAGACCCTGTACAGCCGACCATCTCGCTCCTCGTCCTGGGGGCGGCGTCGCCTACTCCGGGTGTATGCCCTCCTGGCCCCGTTGCAGGCGACCCGGAGGTCTGAGATATTCTCAGACCACCAGTATACCGCTCCCCGCGGAGGGGGAATTAGATGTATAGATGAGATATAATATATCGGAGTCCGAGCCAATTCGTTGTTTTTTAAAAGAGTGACGTCAGCATAACTGACGTCAGTAATGCCGTTCTTATCAAATGTCATCACGCTCCTAGACTATCGAAGGTAACTTCGAAGCTGGAAAAACGACAGAGTGCTTCCTACTCCGACATACAAATATCTTTATATATATAATTCTTCTGTGAGTGTGTATGTCACTGAACTTCTCTCAAATGACTGGACCGATTTTGATGAAATTTTGTCCGTTGAACAATGTTTTTTTAATTAATTTTTAATTTATTAGTAGTTGTTGATACAAACGTTTTTTTGACATTAGATTTGACAACTAACTAATATGTCAATCATTCTGTCGCACTTCAAACCACGTAGATTTATGGCTTTAATAGGTAAACTCCAAAAACATAAATAAAAAACGTAACAGATATTTCTTGATTATAGGGCGATACGAAGTTCGCCGGATCTTCTAGTATACAGGGTGACAGGTGAATTACTATCAATATTTAAGGAGAATACTCGGTACATGATTCTCATTTGAATTATGTAAAAAAAATAGGTACTTAATTTTTGACCAAATTTCCGTATAAATAAATAAAGTGAGGACACGTTCCAAGTGTTCCAAGTGTGGACGCGTGCGGCGGCGTGCTGATACAACACCACGCCGCCAAACGTGTGTGTGTGTATACCTAATCTGTAGGGTGTTCACACGATGCGTAATTAATAACATAACTTTTGGTTAACTTTACTTAGAAGTTTATTAATATTTATGTTACATATATTAATTTTTATTTTGTCATATATGATCGTCAAATATAACGTCCTCAAGTATCGATAGTAATTCACCAGTCACCCTGTATATGTATATCAAGTATCGTTCACCTTCATATTCTCTGGCACTCGTTGCACATTATCCAGATACCGTCCGAGTGTATAGAGTCTCTCGTGTACAGGATCAAACACCATCTTGTGACAGGAGCGGGGCGAGGGCCCACCCACCGCGCCGCTGTGACGACACAGCAGCCTCCAGGACTCCGTTGAAGGATCGAAACTCCACAGGTCGTCTAGATCCTCCTCGCCGTTCCAACCACCGAATAAATATAAAAGACCTGGAAATTACAACATAAAATATCTCCAAATATCTAGAAGTATACATTACTTAAAATACTTTGCAATAAATGATGTTTCTTTTTTAATTTACAGCATACGATTATAGTATATTATATATATTTCATTATCATCATCATCATCAAAGGTTCATTATACATACATATAAATTACTTTGAATATGCCGAAGAACTTTTACGAATATGGATATCAGTCACCTGTATTGGGATCCACTACAAGCTGATGTCCACCGCGCGGCACCGGTCGTAGCAGACACGGAGATGACGCTGACTCTGCACTCCCTGCACCCTCTGCACCCTCCCCTGCACCCTCAGCGTCACCCCCCGCACCCCTCACGGAACCATCAACCCCACCAGCCTCCACACCATTAGCCTCCTGTTTACACTGAACTCTTAAACTTACACTTTTGCATTCTAAAATTAAAAGTACGAACTGACTACAATAAAAGTAAACAAAGTCTTGTTATACTTTTCTATATAATAGTTTATTACTAATTACTTTTAATTATTATGAAGACTAATAAAATGCTACTATGATATCTTACACATATAATTATATACTTTTTTATATTATTATTGGCTAGCACTAGACTTATTACCCCTGATGATAAGTATATGAAGCCAAAGAAAGTAAATGCTCTTTATTAAAATTATATATAACACACCAATGGATCTATCTGCGGTTGTCTGTCTGGGCAGGACAAGTCTTGAGCCCTAGAATGTGGGGGAGGAGAAGTGTCCCCCGAGTAGAGGCGCTCCTCCACAACACTAGAACATGGCACTAACTGCTTCCACTCCGGAGTATAGGGCTGCCAAGACAGGTACCAATCCAACTCACCATCTGTTGAGTTACCCGATAACTTCTGTTATACATCCTACTAATATTATAATTGCGAAGGTTTGTGAGTGTGTGTGTATGTTTGTTACTTCTTCACGCTCAAACGGCTGAACCGATTTCGATAAAATTTTGTGTACAGGAAGCTGACATCCAGGAATAACATATAGGCTACTTTACATCCTGGAAATCCCGAAAATCCCGGAAATCTGCGGGTAACAGCGAGCGCAGCTAGTTACTCATATAAAATGAACATTTAAAGGAAACTAATATGTATTTTACGGATATACTATGCGACTTTATTTTTGGTAAAAACTACATACTCTCGACATTTTAGCTACTTTTCACCAACCATGATCACGAACAGATGAGATGTATATCCGAAAAAGTTTCATTTAAATGAATAAAACTCGCGAAAATCTTAGATATCATTATATTATAAAGATTTCTTACTTAATATATTCTATTTCTAATTTTAATATTTTCACATTACTTTATTTTATGAGTTTCTCTATGATAATGATTTCACTGTAATAGTTGCTGTTTTTATTTCATAGATGATAGTGAGAAGGAAGATGTAGAGGTATATTATTCTATAAATTATTGTTTGTTTTGCAAAGCATATCTTGCAACTAATACACACTGTTAGCAGCCTCTTCAAATATTTGCTCAGCAAGTTCATAATCTCCATTTTCAACAAGCGCATTCCACAGCCTTCCTTGCATGGGACCCTCTAACTGAACGCCACTCTCACGGGTCAAGGCTTCAAATGCATCTTTATACCGTCTTCGTCTTAGATGCTTCAATAATATTCGAACTGCCTCTTCTTCTTTACGCTATAATTAATAATGTATATATAAGGTAATAAATTTTTATTGGTGATGTGAACATATAAAATTAGATGACATACAAATCTACTAGAGATATTATTTTATTACAATAAATACAATCTTACTTTTTCTATTTGTATATGTTCCAGAATAAAAATTATTCATGTTTATATTTTCTAAAAGCCTTCATAAATTAATTTCAAAATAAGTACATACATTATATTCTGGTAATGTCTTCTTTCTTACTTTTACAATTTTTGATATCAAAATTTGTACCAATAATAATTGATGTTGTAAGAAATTCATAATTAATAAGTTAAAAAAAAATCATAACTCAAAATGTAAATATTTCAATTGATCCTTCAATCTTTGAGTACAGCAAAATATCAATTAAATGTAAAATGAATGTTAAAATAAATCTTAATGTTCTTTCAATAACAATACAATCATTATGATAAAAACAAATGAACTGAATTAAACTATTTAAATATATATTGATGTTAATAAACTACATTTTATAATAATAATTAGATTAGAAAATTTAAGGAATAGAAGTCGGAGTATTGTTTTTACTTCACATAGATACATTTTAGGGCTATTCTTACCAAGCTGATAGTTTCAAGGGCATTATTGACAAAATCCTCTTGATTTTTCCCATTTAATTCCACATACCATATGGTATAATTGTATGCCGGTCCCCAAGACTGAAGAGGCACAATTTTTATGTATTGCACTGGAAAAAATAATCCTTCTGAGGTTCTGTGCCTTAATGTGAAAGTTTCCGTACTGTTATCCTTTTTTAAACCTCTGAAATAATAATCACTATCTTGTAACACAATTTACTTGTTTTTCTGTTAGCTATACTGGTCAATTTCCAAACTAGATATATATTTTATTCTACAATACATACGCTTTTAATAATAATGACAAGTTGTTTTCTTCTGTGCCTCCAAGGATTTGAAACTTTTTAAGATCACTGACATGTGCCTTTATGTATTTTCCAAATGTTATAGACTCCACTATAGCTGGAGTTTCCAGTTTTAACAATATGTACTGACAGGGTGTCGAGCTATCTGTGAACCATCTCGAAAGCTGGTCTGATGGTTTGTTTATCAAAATATTTCTGAAGCGAAAAATATTTAATCATATAAAAAGCCATAACATTATTTACTATTAAAGTTGAATTGTTATCCCACAGTGGCCTTATTTAAAAAGTGTTTTTAATCTATAAATAGGCTCATGTATAATTATAACGTAAAGAATAACATTGATTGTTCAATATAGGATTTTGACTACCGTTATATTAAAAACCATTACAATTAATAGATACCAAAAAGGAAATGTATTTTAAACAATAAAGTTGTGTCGAAACGATATTGAGTCCCTAAAATACGATCTTTGTTTTATTTATTTATTTACGTAAGAATATACGTACTCCGGTAAATAATTGGCAGAATAACTTGAATATCTATGTATGGTGTAAGAGAGTTTAACCGTTTCACATTTACTATCCATTTTGTTTAAAAGTAATATGGTATTAATTCCAATTTATCTACATCTAAATCGTTCACACTTGCATATCGGTAAGAATCAGACTGGTATTGACAGTTGACATTTGACAATGTGTAATAAATAACAAATTATAAGCAACTTACAACTTAAGCATACTTCATACAAAATAAAAAAATTTACAGTAAAATATTAAATATCAAATTCCTATTATTTAATATATCTGATATATCTTCAATAATATTTAAAATATATTTATATACTAAAAAAAAAATATTCACAGAAATCTAGATACAAAATATCTTAATAAATAACTGCAACTAATACGCACATTCTTTATTGAAGTCTTTTTTTGCCATATAGGTATTCGTCACTTATATCACCTTTGACTTTCAATGTAAACATTATATCATCTGCTTTAAAACAGGTTTAAAAACGCTATTTGGCATATCATATATTATTAAGTATTTGAGAATATGTCTTTTACTATGTGGTTCTTAATTTTTTATACTTTAATTATTAATTCAAAATTTTCACCTGTAGTATCCGTTACAATAGACGAGTGTTGCAAAATAAACAAATTAAATGACGATTGTTTAATCAAGTTCAGTAAAGCAATTATTCCAAGTTTAGAGGGCAAACATAAGGGAGAAGCTGGAAAAATAGCAGTACTTGGTGGTTCCATAGAATATACCGGAGCACCATATTTTGCTGCAATTTCGTCTCTAAAAGTAAAGACTTCGATATGTAATTGCTTTTTTTAATCAAAGACTACAATTGTTTTTTGGTAAGATTGCTTTGCTTTGTCTTACAGGTTGGTGCAGATTTAGTGACTGTTTTAACAACCGAAAATGCAGCACCTGTTATAAAGGCTTATAGTCCTGACCTTATTGTTATACCGCACCATTCCGTTAATATAAGTAAAATTATACCAAAAAATGATTTAGTTGTTATTGGTCCTGGATTAGGAAGATCTGAAGAAGCTTTAAATTTTGCCTACAATGTTATCTCACTTTGTAAAGTATTGAAAATTCCATTAGTAATAGATGCTGATGGGTTATATGCAGTTTATAAAAATATTTCTATATTAAAAGATTATCCTAATCCAGGAATCATTTTGACTCCTAATAAAGCTGAAGCTAAGAGATTGCAAGATGCTATTGGCGTAACTCATGTGCCTTGGTATAGATACTGGGGTGATTATGTTACAGTCTTAGAAAAAGGAGAAACAGATCAATTTCATTCTAGTCAGTCTAAATATAGTTGGTCTCTCCAAGAAGGTGGTTCTGGACGTCGTGCTGGCGGTCAGGGTGACATTTTGTCGGGGGCGATGGGAACTTTTTTTAATTGGGCGATTAAATCTGATATCTGTGGCGAACTTAAATCTTTCGAATTAGCACCAAGTGTTGCATCATACGCAGCAGCAAAATTCACAAGACTTTGTAACTTTAAAGCATACAAATCGAATGGACGCAACATGATTGCTTCCGACATGTTGAAAGAAATTCATTCTTCATTCGACGATTTATTTTTATAGTACCTCTAGTATAAAAATAAATGTACCTTTTTACAATAATTGATTTTTATTTTAGTTTTAACTTTGTTGTAAGAACACTACATGTAATTAACACTTATGTACGATGTACTATTAAATCCTCTTAAAGAGGATTGAGTTACTGGTTTTTATCTTGTTTTTAAAAAGATAAGACGACCTCTGTTTAGATTCGGGGTTAAAATAAATTAGAAGGGATAGAAATGTGTTTTTCATTTATTTACTATTGGCAATGCAAATAAGGATTATGCAAAAAGTATAAAAAAGAATGTAGTTTAAATGTTTTCTTCGTAACCTTAGAATTGGGCCTATATCTTTTTTATCAATATGGAGTTTTAGGGTTGTAAGAATATAAAGTACCTAATCATATTGGAATATGACACTGACTGCTGACACTTTATCCCGTTCAACAGTACTGTTTTTCTGTTTCATTTTTTTATACATTTCTTAATTTTTATCTATTTAATATTTAGAATTATTCAACTGTTATAATAAAAGTACGAAGTATTTAAAACTGTTTTTTTTAAATATTCTTTTTAATATATGAAAAAAAATGTTTTTAAATAATTAGAATGACAGAAGTGAAAGCAGTGTTTCAGAATGGTTGTGGACTGTGGTATGTCTATGATTTTCTTATCAAAATATTTTCTGCAGTATTTTAATTACTATAATTTTAATATCGATGAAATCGTGATTAGGAGTTAATACTCCACTATCATGGAGGATGAAATAGATGAATGTATAAGGAAAAAGATCCAATGGCAGCAGCTTCCTAATAATATAAAAAAGGTAGCAAACTATTATATGAATATATCTTTTTACGCGTAAAACATGAACATGTTTTACAAATTTTTATTGCATTTTATTTATTATTCAATCGAATTAGAGCCTATAAAAGTTATATAAGTTGATACTAGAATCATTATTTTTATTAAGTACAACAATTTATAATATTTGTAAATAATGTTTCAGTTGTTAAGTGACTCTCCAAAAGAATATGAACGTTACATATTCGAGTTTAGCGTTAAAAATCAACTAAGATTCAGAGGAAGCTTGGGTAAGACATTTGAAATATTCTGTTGTTTACAATTAAGCTGTATAACAACCAATAAGACTCCAATGAGAAATTGTTTTGTTTTGGTTCAAGTTATTAACTGATATGTCTATATATATATATATATTGTTATTATTGTGCTCTGTTCATAATGTAAATGGATTATCAAAAGATTTGCTTGAGAAATTATATTCAATGTTATTTTATATCAGTTTTAGCACAAACTACATACTAAATTTAATACTCATTTGTTGTTTCTTGTTGCAAAACAACATGTATTTTATTGAAAAATGTATAAAATCACTTTAATACAATTTTTTTTTAAATATTTATTTAATTTTATTTATTGTTAAACAGTTAGTAATTTTATAATGCATTTCTTTTGTAGTAAGATCAATAAGGAAAGATGAAAGGAAGTATTATGAAGCCCTGGTACAAAGCAGTATACAGAGGCTCATGCTGTACCCATATCACTTAGCCGATATGATTGTTAAAGGTAAAATGGGTTGATAAATACTGAAGATAATTATTATATTGACATATTATTTTTTATTAACAAAATTTCAGGTTTAAGGATAACTCCGTTTATATATTACATTGAAGTTGTAGCGTTGCTCATAGAATTGGAGAAGAGTTATGATACTATGCCCAACTTTACAGCTGCCGATTGTAAGTTAAAACATTTAGGTATGATAGATTCTTTTCTTCAATTCTTTGTATTAATATGAGAATTATTTCTAGGTCTTCGTCTTCTGGGCATAGGTCGTAATGAGTATCTTGAATTGGTAGCAAAGTCTCGATCTTTGGGCCGTCGTGGTAGAAGTAAGGCTATCCGTTCTTTGTTGCCTAGAGTCCCACTTAATATACCGATGCAGCCATGGTGGAGAGTTGAATTAGGATATGTACTTGAAGATGATGTTAAGGTAATTACATATAATTTAATAGTTTGTCATACATTTTGAATAAATATTATAATTTTGGTTAGGCAGAGAGAGGAGCTTGCACAGTGGAGGTGTTTAACGCTCGTTAGATAGGGGTCCCTTAAACCTACACCTGGGTTGCAAGTCCCAGGCACTGTTGAAGCTCCTCTCCCTGCAATGATGGACCTGGCACCCGCACGGTGAATCTATGAAATGCTGAGAGTTTTTATCTCTATAATAAACAAATGTTTTAGTTTTTTATATTTTTTAAGTCATTAATTGTAATTCTATGCGTTTTTTTATAATATACAATATGAATGATCCTTTACTTTCTGTACCATTCAATATAAATAATTTGATTTCCAGCCATTAAGTGAAAGTGAGAAAGTTGTTATTGACATGTTGATTGACCGGGGCTCGCAGACAGCTGGTACACTCGACTACAACGTGGTCAAGACACTTTACAGGTTACAATGGATGATTTTATGCAATGGATGGTTTTATATAATAGATGGTTTTATGCAGTGGATAGTTTTATGCAATGGATAGTATATTACATAAAAGCAAAAATTGGAGTGTTATCACAAAATTGTTAAGAAGTTTATTACACATGTTCCTGTCAACTCAAAAGTAAAGTTATATTTTTGTCTTTGTTAATGGGGTGGAAGAATAAATTCAACATTTGAAAATAAATCTGAACCTTGGATCATGATAAATAAATTAATTCAAATATATTTTTTAATTAAATTAAAATATTCAATAGTTTAATGACTTTAAATATATCTTATTATTACGTATATATTGTAGGCGGGGTTTAATTTACCTGGACGTTCCAATAACGTCTGCGGACAAGGTGTCGGTGCCTCCTTTAAAGGGCTTTGTGATGAACCGCATCGCTGGCGACTACTTCGAGACGTTACTTTATAAAGTGTTCGTGTCCATTGACGAGCACACAAGCGTGGCAGAACTGGCTGCAGTGTTACAGGTGCGTTGTATAATTTATAACATTAATTTATTTAATATATAAAATTTATACGTCTCAATGTTAGTTACGGTACTCTTCCGAAATGGCTTTATCGATTCTTACCTTTCGGCTACTATCTATTTTTCATACCCCTAAGTGATAAGGGTTATTCACCCCTAAATTTTATTTTTATTTTGAGATATTCCTTTTTTGAATGTGTAATAAAAAATACATACCTTAAACTTTTACTTTTTTTAATGTGTAATTAGAACATACATACAACCTTAAACTTTTACTTTTTTATCACCAACCTTAATTTTTTTTATGGCAAAACAACGTTTGCCGGGTCAGCTAGTATACATAATGTGAGAGTCATTTCTTTTTCTGGCATTGTTCCAATTTATCAAACCAGAGAAGTTCTAAAGAAGTATTGTATAACATGCAATAGCTTGTGTTTTATATACCTAGCTTTTTATAGGCAGATATTGTTGATAAAAAAATTATTATGTACCTGACTTATTGTATGTGTAAAATTTCATACTATTTATGTGTTCTATATGTTGTGTATAGGTTGAGTGTGAGTTAGTGAAGCAGGCCGTGTCTCTGTACTGCCGGCTCGGGTTCGCTAACAACCTGCAGCCGCCGCCCGTGGTGCCTCAACACGCCTCCTGGAGGGACGCGCTCACCACGCATACACATCAACCGTACGAATAATATACAACACATATATACAGGGTGGCTGGTGAATTACTATCGATACTTGAGGACGTGATATTTGACGATCATATATGACAAAATAAAAATTAATATAACATAAATATTAATAAACTTCTAAGTAAAGTTAACCAAAAGTGATGTAATTAATTACGCATCGTGTGAACACCCTACAGATTAGGTATACACACACACTCACACATACGCGTGCGGCGGCGTGGTGTTGTATCAGCACGCCCCCGCACGCGTCCACACTTGGAACACTTGGAACGTGTCAACACTTTATTTATTTATACGGAAATTTTGTCAAAAATTAAGTGCCTATTTTTTTTTACATAATTCGAATGAGAATCATGTACCGCTATTCTCCTTAAATATTGATAGTAATTCACCAGTCACCCTGTATATATATATATATACTAGCTGCGCCCCGCGGTGTTACCCGCGGATTTTCGGGATGTAAAGTAGCCTATGTGTTATTCCTGGAGGTCATTATCAATATTTATTTGAAATCTAAAAGTACGTATTTAGGGCGTTAGAGAATTAATGAAATGTAAGAGTTTCGTGAGTATTAATCCAAATAAAACTAATAGTTTTGGATTTACTACGCATTCATAATTTTAACTACATGTTCCCGAAGTTTAGGTTACTTTGCAGCAACCGTTATCACGGTCAGTTAAGATGTGAATGCGTGATCGCGGTTGCAAAATATTAGTTTTATTTCGTAAGAGAATTATTAATATATTTACAGATATCGACAAATAGCTCCACTGACCTTTGAACAAAATGTTGAAGATGTTCTACAAATGGAGCCGGTACTTATAAAGGATATGCCGTCTACTTCAAAACAGGTGAGCTTAGTTGTTTCACTGGAAGATTTGGTCTTCTCATATATGGAAGATTTGGTCTTCTCATATATAGAAGATTTGGTCATCTCATATATGCAAGATTTGGTCTTCTCATATATGGAAGATTTGGTCATCTCATATATGCAAGATTTGGTCTTCTCATTTTTATTATATATTTGTCTATATCTAACTTATATATGTTCTAGAAATCTCAATCGGAATCCTCAGAACCATCAAACAGCGGAAGTCAAAGGGTCGCCGTTCTATTTGACTCAACCTTAGCTGCCTATCTCATGATGGGGAATCTGTCGCCTGTACGTATTTAATAGCAATGGTTTTTAATCAAACTATATTTTATTCAAATATAATTTTGCTATAATTTTTTTTGCAGGATCTCAAAAGTCATGCGGTTACATTGTTCGAAGTTGGAAAGCTTTGTGATGAAAGTTTGGACAGCCTGCTGATGGAATTGGATAAAGTAAGGATGTGATAGAAAATCAATATGCATGTATATATGGTTATATTTTATTTGATCTTTAATATAGGTTGTAGGTGACCCTGAAATAGAAGGAGAGGCTCGTAGATATTTAGCGGCTGCAGCGTGTCTGCGGATAGCGCTGCGTACTTTGAGACCAAAATTACGACCGCTTGATCTACTGCGCTGTGAAGCGCTTCATGCGTTAGATGCACCTGCTAGAGCTAGGTTACTGGCCACTAAGTACAGGTAAGAAATTAAACTTGTTCAATATATTTGTCTCTTTTCTATATATAAAAGAAAGTTGTTAGTTATAACTCAAGAACAGCTGTACAGATTTAGATGAGAATTCGTGGAGAAATAGCTTATTGTTCGAATTAGGATTAGGATATAGGATACTTTCTATCTTGCTTCATCGGAAAAGAAAAAAAGCTTAACTTATTAAATTTTAAAATCTGTTTACTAACTCTTAGGCGGAACAGAGTTCGCCCGGTTAGCTATAGTTAGCATTTGTAATTACAATGAAACCGGCGAGGATTTAGTCACGGACAAAAACTAGTTTTATATATATTTGTCTTTGTTACGCAACTATTTGTCTAAAACTGTTCGAAAAGATAATATTTTTAAAATGTATATACGCCTTAGAATGTGTTTACATATTATATACATAGTGTATGATTTAAATTAACCTCAGATTATCCATGAAATTCTATAAAGGTAATTGCAAGTAAATAGCTAACACGTTTACTTTTCCTTATAACTGAATCTAACGAAATCCGATAAAGAATCAAAATTATACATTATTTAAATTAACATATTCAATGTACAGATATTAATTTGAATCTCTCAAAAAGTTCTATTAATGTAAATTCGCGTCTTAATTTGTTTCAGACTGGCGATATCTACTGCGCCGTTGAGTCGCGAGGCCCGCGCGGGGTCTGCGGCGGGCTCCTTGCCTCACGTGGGGCCCGCGCCCCCGGAGGCTGGCTCCCCCTGGATGAAACTATATCTGTATCACCTGGCCGGATATGGACCACCTACATTACTGCTGCTTAAAGGTCAGTTATGTTATATAATAGAGTTTCATTATTATTATAGGAATTATCATTAAGTTCTTTTCATAATACATGTCGATGCAATTTGGTCGATCTACCAGTTTCATGTGACCTATGGATTATACCAGTGGCGGCTGGTGGGTAATAGAACTGGTGGTGCACTTTACTAAAATATTAAAATTAGAAAATGCAACGAAACAACGAGATGTCAATCATAGCTCCATTCGTCATACATCGGGTGCTCTCGGTAATGTTCGGCCGCTCGTGCGGCGCTCGAGAACCGACTCATTACTCGGTACATTTCTATGAACTATTTTTTGTTTCACGCGTCAGGCGTATTAATTCGTATCTCATACAAGATGTATTAGCAGTCCTCGTGCACTCGCCGAAGCGCACGATATATTAGTTTAGTAAAGCACACAAAGTTTTAGACCATAATTAGGAAATTTAATTGTTTATACGTTTTTGTATGTTTAAAAAATAAATATTAAAATGTTAATTTAAAAATAAAGATGAAGTGATATTTTGTAATTTTTAAATATTTTGAATTGGTGGTTCAGCGCACGAGTGCACTTAAGGTACAACCGCCACTGGATCATACAATATGTTATTATAATCGACAAGTTCTTAATCTTATTATAATATTTATTCATTCAGGTACAGTACTGCGCGCTGTTCCAAGATGTCTACTAGGTTTCTCTCGGTTGGCGGTGTCTTGGTGGGGGGCGGAGTCAGAGTCCACGGCGCTGCCCGCGGCGGGTGCTCTAGCGGCGGCCAACTCGGCGCTCCGCCGCGGGCCCGTGTTACTACAAGCGGCCGGCGTGCGAGCCCCACCCGTCCTCCTACACGTGCCCTTCCCGCCGTCTAACGACGAACATGATGGTATATTATATTGTAACCTATATGATTATGTACTTTTATATTAATCCTTTCAAAGCTGTGAAATTGCCAGGTAGAAGAAAATTAATCCTTTCAGACTTACAGTTATTTAATACAATAAGTTCAACACGTTTACACATTAACATTTACACATATAAATGTTGGGAATGTTATAATAAAGTGTGATAACATCCACTTTTGATAAATGAGTATGGTTATGATAATGATGTATATATATTATATTAAATGCTATGGTACAATTAACTATTTATATTACCCTATATAAAAGCCCCCCCCCCATATGATACTCTATACTCTATGCTATGTTCTTTTCAGAGTATCAAAGTCTATGGCGTCGTCACGGCGGTCTTCGTCGTGTGAGTCGCCGCCTGCGTCTGTTTCGGTCCGCGGGGTACGTGACGCTAGCTGACATTGGGGTCCCGGATCTTGGTTGTGCGAGACCCCCCTCCACCGTACAACTAGTTACCCCCAGGAAGAAGAAGGACGTGTGTGGCATCGCGAAGCCGGTCAGCGAGATATCGATATCATCTAACGAATCCACAAAAGAAATCTCCGAATTCAAGAACACTAGGCTCCAATCACCCATAGAGTCCCACTTCGCTAACACACCGACCGCTGACAGCAAAACCGGCTCACCAGCTAACGGGTTCACGAGCGCAGAGAGCGGGAAACTTCTCTGCGAAGAACTGGACAATCTGAATCTTGATAAACATTTGAGCAAAGAATCAATAACTAGCGACGATTTCGTCCCAATACATTCCTCTAGAAGCATCGACGATCTAAACAAACATTCCACTGAGACTCCCAGGAGCAAAGAGTCGGTAGACGAAATAGTACCCGTTCATAACACTAATATCAAAGATAAAGACAAGTTGGACAACCAGTTGAGCGATCTGTTGAGTCCAGTTGAAGAATCCATATCGATGTTCACTCAGTTGTCCGACAAGTTGACTGAAATAACTAACGAAGGAGACAGCGGCGTGGACACAGCTCATAATAACTCCGACGATGAAACTTGTAAACCAGAGGTGAGGGAAGAAATAATAATAATAACAATGTTTATTTATCTCAAACACATTACAATTGTATAGACATTAACATAATCTGATCACAATGCATAAAGGTAAAAGGTATTATAAGTAATTAAAATCTACTATCCCTGAGGTAGGTATAAGCCTGTATTTCAGGCGACAGTAAATAATAAACGAACTACCCTAAAAAGGTATGAAATATAATAATTTGAAATAAAATTCTTCTCAGAAATGGACCATTCTGGATCTTCAATTCGGCATTCCATTGTTCGACGAGGCGCTCTGTGAGAATGTCTGTCGCAGTATCATTGATAGGATCGCTAAACCTGAGTTGTAAGTTATTAAAAACTCCCAATTACTCGTATTTTAACTTTAAATATATTTGAACATGAATTTTTACTGTCTAAGATTATGATTCTGTATAAAAATTCATAATAATTTCTAGATTGGAGAAAGTCAAAGAAGACAACGAGTTTATTCGTGCGGACCTGTTGAAGTTTGTCTCACAATGTCAGGTAGGAAAATTTCTTTTTGATTTTGTTATTACAAATATAATAATCATAAAAACAAATTTAACCATAAAATCCAGCAAACTCAAAATGTTGATTACATAATCACTTAATATTTCCCCAAGACATGGGACATTAAGTTGTATAAATCGCAGAAAACCCCACTTCGTATTAATTATAATTGAACTTTCAGTATTACCCCGGCGAAGATATGGGCATAGTGAAGAGAGGGACGCTGGTTCCACTGCCCAGAAAGAATTTGGTATTCGAAAACGGCCAGATCAGTGAGTGGACGGGAAAATGAAACATTAAAATCACACCTTATTTCTATATAAATAAAGAATAAAATTAAATAATGATGAATATTGGATGTCTCAAAAGTGTGAAACTGTTCTCAATCAGTAGATATTACGACCTAAGTATCTTGTAATTTATTTTCTTATTAGACACTTAATTGATCATGTTTCCCATGTGAATTATGAAGGTTAATTTTTAGTTGAAATTATATTTGTGCTAAATAACTTGTTTGAAACATTAATATATGTCAAATCAAATTAAATATTTAAGTTTTTAGTGTAAAAAAATTAACATGCATGTATTGCTGCATAAAGTATTAAAAATCCATTTAAATATTAAGTTATGAAAGAAATATGTATTTTGTTTTGTTTAGTGCATGGATTTGCAAGTTTTTTAGTCATATTCAAAAATCATTCCATTCAAACAGTAATGAGATTGTAATTTTTCTTTAATATAGTAACACTTATAGTGTACTGAATAAATGTTACCTGTTAAAAATAGTGTGTAGTATATTAAAAAATCTACCAAGCTTAAATTTTTTTCTTAACTCTGTTAGTAGAAAGGATATAAGTTTGAATGAGCTTATACATTTCTAACTAGGAAATGATAGAGTGAATTTGTTGGTTTTAAATCTGTTATTTTTTTAAGCACATTTTTGTTAAGCACCCATTATTCTTTGCATGCAGATAGAGGTAGGTACTTTTTTCTTTTGTTAAATAAAAAATGTATAAGCTTTTGAAGCTTAGCTTCCGTCCATGAAACATTATCGAAGATATTTTTTTATTAATTATAATTATTCAAAATTTCCGTTCCCAATTTATCACGATCATTTCAAGCCCTACCTCGTTCTGTTTATTTGTTTTTACTGTAGTTGCAATACAATATCAAAATAATAATTTATAATAAGTCTGTGTCGCATTGTACCTAAATATATATGTAATTAATGTATGTGAATTAGTAATATTCCTATACTGCTTGTTAATTCCAAGTAACGGGAAACACTTCAGAAGTATAGATGCTGTCTCTTTTTTCATATATAGTACAATATTAAAGCATAACTTTGACCATATTCAACCAAAGCAAGTATATGTCTATTCTAAGATTGCTTTCTCACTTATATACTTATTCCTCATAATAATGGTTTAAAAAGCAGTATGGAATTATTATACGTGATTAATATGTGGCCATTAACTCACAAATAATAACAATGAATTAAATGTGTTATTAAAAATGTAAATATTATGGAAATATTTGTGTTATTTTTTTATTTGTCCCCGTTTCATTGTCTTGTGTTATCTTAATGATCATAACTGATAGATAGTTGTTCCTACAGATGTTTTTAAAAAATTACCTTTAACTATATGTAATATCTTACAAGACTTGCTTTTAACAAATCCCAACAATCGACATCATAATCGAGAATATTATATTAAAAAAATAATCAATTTTTAAACAGGGTTTGACTTTGCTATTTCATATACATACTAAGTACAATTCTCAAATTTTGTTAAACGAAATATCCATATGTTTAAAATAATAAGTTCTAAAATATTTTGGTATATTTAGTTATTTTAGATAGTTTGAAAATCAATTACAAGACAAAAGAATATGTACATCGAAAAATTAAAAATCAGTTAGGATCTTTAATTATTACAAAATAAAATACATTGATTTATTCAATAAGGTTCCATGTTTATAATCCCCTTTGAAAAATGTATTAAAAGAGATGAGCCTATTATAATAATACTGTTATAATTCCTATTATATACTTTAGTAAATGCATGTTTCTTGCAAAAGCCTTCTGTTACTGTGTTGGTAACATCTTGTGTTCAAGTTTTGCCAGTTTTCCAATTTCCATACGCTTTGACAATTCTGGCAACTTTTTTTTTGTCAGTGTCAGTATAACATCTTTTGACATTTTATTTTATCGCAGTCAATTTCTCGAAAAATACATACTTTTCTATTATTTTCTCGATTAGTCAATTGTCTTATTATTGCTTATTATTGTAACTGTTAAAACTGGCTGCGTTTGGGTCTGATATTGGTCAAACAATGGAAGTGGACGTGTATTCACTGTCTGAAGGCTCTCGTCTACCGCTAATTGACGAAACATCGGCTTTAGGAACAACAGCACCAAAAGACAGGTTTGTTTATTTGAAAAAAAAAGTCACAATTACAAATATTTTAATTACAATACGGGTGCATTATTATATTTTTCCTTGTAAGTTTTCTGATAGGTTAAGGATACCAATTTTAAAAATATCTCATATCGCCCACGCTATAGTCAAAAGTAGTTTTTATATAGTTTTAAATTACGCAATTTGTTACAATAGGAATGTTACATTTCCAAAACAGTATCATAATAACGACCACATCAATTAAATATACCAGTAATTAAAAGTAGAATGTAATGTACAGAAAAACATATAAAAAAAGTATCCTTGTTGATTCATTAACTGGGTATGGATTGCAAGTGGCTATGAATCACAAACAATTAAAATGTTTGAGTAAAACAGTGTACTATTGTAGTGTACTATATATGAACAACATTTAAATTGCTTAGCTATTTACAGCCTGTAACAATATATGTAATTTGTTTTGATTAAGATCATAGTCATCATCATTAATAATGTTCTGTCTTTTTTTATGCTTATGAAAATTAACTTATTTTCAAGTTTTATCAATACAGTATTTTCTACTAAGTAATATATTTAAGGAAGGAATATAATAATAATAATATAAGGAATACATTACTATCAAGTTTTTTTTGTATCAGATTGATATCCGTATTAGACCAAGTGGAAATGAGAGTGGAGCGACTCAGACGAGACACTGTGCGTATTGAAGAGGAAAAAGACTCTTTACTGTCTACTCTAGACAGTGTCAAACATTCAGAACTGCTCGGTGACATATCTGAATGTATGTAAATATTATCAAATATATTTATTTTAAATTTATATTCTTGAAAAAAAAAGAAAAGTTTTCTTTTAATATAAAAATAATATTAGAAAATAAGTAACTCATATTTCTTCAGTTTATATGTTAGTAACCATATGTTTTCATTCACAATAATATAGAATTTGTTTTGAATGTAATATTTAGAATTTATCAGATATCTTAAAGTACCAGATTTTTACTATGACTTTATTTAATATAAATTCTTCCATATGATCAATAAAAAATAAGTTTTTTACTTTGTTTTAATCACATTAATGCAATTTTCTATGACAAAGTGTAGATGTAATTTCACACAATATATTTCAATGTAGGTGATAAGGAAGATATAATGCGTTATGCCGACCGTATCCTGGCTCGAGCTCTCACCGTGGAGGTGGCTGTGAGGACAGACAGGGACCCACAGCAGGAGGAAGCATTGTCACAGGTCGGTAGAAATATATATTATATTCATATAATTATATCAATATAACCTTAACATAATAGTACTCTTATAATGTCAAATATACTGCATGTACTATCTTAGTCAACATTTCTACTTTTTATCATTAGGCCAGAATATAATCAAGCATTATCCAGTTAGTTATGAAAAAGAATTGTATGTGATAAATATTAAAACAAAGTAATTTATTCATTCATTCCTTTAAGATTTTAATTAAATTAAATGTTTTTAATCTAATTAGAGTAATAAATCAATTCTGATACTTTTTGTTAGATACATATACAAGTAGGTTTTAAGTTTCGTTTAATTGAATAATGTTTTAATAGCTTAATATCAATTTATGGCTGGGTGCCAATTTTTATCCATAATGATTTGATGACAAAGTCTCGATTGACAAATTATATTTATATTCATAATTATGACAAACTGGTTATTAATAGATTATGACTAAAACTGTCTTGCCTTTCTATATTTTTGCCTTTTTCTTTGCATAAACTACTCTACTACTAAATACTCTTTGCTTCATTAGTCTATAATACTGCCAGTTTATTGTATTTGTTTTTTTTTTCTTGAGAAATCGTCATTTAATCTGAAGCTTTACTATCAGTAGGTGGTTAAGTTTTCGATAAAATCGTACGAAGCATTATGGTGGCCGTATTCCCACGCGAAACGACGTGATTATTGCTGTTTTGCTTCGTCACTTGCTATAATTTGATTATGTAAATGTTTGAAACACGGCACTATATATGTATAACCTTTTTGGTGTAACATAATTGTTTCCCGCCTTTATTAGGTTATTAAGTGACAGGAAGTACTAGTGACGTAAAATTAAAATTATTAAACTATGTAGGTATAAATATTTCGAAAAGTTGCATAAATTTTTTTGACTTATTTTGGAATAAAATAGCGATAAGAAATTTCTTTAGGCGTTACGGAAAAAAAACGAGCTTTCTGAAATTATTAATTAATTCACGCTATTTTCTCCTTCCAGGCACACATAATTAAAGTTTCATATATATTTTAGTACGAGACAATAATAATGTTATATTTCAAGCACAACAAAGCCAACTCGTGTCGTAAATAGTTTATTGCGTTTTGATAGTTTGACTTTTGATGAAGAGAAAGCACATGTTGATTGGATTACAAATACGTGATAAAATTACTTATATGGTACGAACGGTGTACATGTCTCTGATGAAATTGTCTATGAAGTTTGAATGAAAAGTTCAGTGAAGGGGAATTAATTGCTTGTCTCTTTATTTATCTTAACGGTTGAACATTTTAAATTTGTGTTCGAAATTTCAAAAATGACAAAAATAAATTAAAAAGATTATGATCTAATTATTCGTAAAATTAAATCGAATGCCAGAGTGGACACAGTTTGGTGTTCAGAAATAATAAACTTTTAAAGTAATGTCGTGACTAAAATTAATCAACAGTATAAAATTAAATGTAAATAACAATAAATTACTTGGTTTATGTCTCCCATTTCCATACCGATATAAGTTTTCTTTCGTAATTTAATTGAGTCGAAAGCTTTGCATAATAGAACTACTTAAGGACCATTTACTTAATACGCATTTTCTATATTTTTTTCCAAAGTCTTTTTCACCTGTACACTGAATATTTTGCTCAGAACCATCGACATAAACTAATGGACATGCCTTAGAGATGAGAATTGTGGCACTCCGAAATAAAGAGAGGTAACGAAGTTTCGGTCTATCTTTATCTCTCTCAAATTTATATGCCGTACTGATCATGAAAACTAAGCGCCAATCATCTATGAGGAAAGAGATAGTCCTAGACAGAAAGCATAGGCCATCTCTCACTCTTTAAACCAAAAAAATACTGCAAATTAGTATATGTCGATACTTAGAACCTCTTTGGTATATTCCTATGACGTCACCTGTCAAACGGCCTGTCATTCCAGGTGAACATGTTCATAGACCAGCTAGTGATGTCCGTGCACGAGGACGCGGTGGTCGCGCACGCACGCTGTCAGACGTACATGAACGCGTGCACATCAGCGCCCGACCACAGCGCCACCGATAGAAACTTCGAGACAGCGATCCTGGGATGCACGCTCGACGACCAGAAGCGAGTCAAGAAACGCCTCCAGGGTCTGCTCGATTACTTCGCTAAATTGAACGTCATCACGTACTCCTGAATTAACGTCTAAGATAGTCCAAGAGCCTTCACTGATTGTTGTTACTTATAAGTGAAGGCTCTTCGACTATTGAACTTTTACTTAACGGACGCGCCTCAATATTACTTCAGTCCAGCCGTCAATTATATATAAAGAGATGGCGAGTGGACCAGACTTCTAATAGTGATGCACCAATAAGGAATTAATTGTTTTTGAGTGATATGTGAATGTTGGTAGATCTAGTGTTGCCAGTGTTTGCATTTATCAGGTTGATTGTTTAATACACGCACAATTAAAAATAGAAAGTTCCATATCTAGAGTTAAATAAATAAATTTATATATTTAGATTTTGATACATCATGAATTAATGCTTCCATTTGACTGCCTCATAAAAATGTTAGAAGATTCTAGATAGTTCTACATATCTGCTTACACCTTGTACATCATTCAATTTTTTTTTATCACCAAATATGGAGCATTTGTGAAGCGAAGGCGCGTCTTTTACAGCTTAGGAATATATTCTAAAAATAAGGTTTTATAATAAGCTTGAGTTACACAAAGCTATAATTCGCTAAGTTACCAGCCTTGGTTATTGTGATTATATTTTGAATTATTAAATACTGCCTGAGTATGTCCTTGGGTTTGTCTTATTTCTTTAAGTTTAAAAAAATTCGCTGTGAACATTTTTATTGGAAAGAAGAGGTAAGCTCTTGTGGTTAGTTAAGACTTTGATTTTCATAGTATGTATGTCTAATGTGGTGCTATCGAAGTTAAAACTTTTAATTTCAACACTTTTTTTTTTAATTTCGTATGATCTGTTTTGGAATGTCTCGTTTTTTTGTTTTTCTTATTTAACAAGAGGATTGTAATTCGAAATTATATGAAATTGCAAAACTTTCAACATTTTATTTAAACAAAACTAAATTTCTCATATTATTTATAACTATATTGTTTCTTGTCATTATTTTGGTACTTACTTTATATAGCTGTAACAAATTAAAAATTGGTGTTTTCAAATTGGTCTGATGAAGATTGCTCAAAGCATAAATTGAATTATCGACCGAGCTGGTATAATCTTTATAAATATATTAATTAATATTTAAATATCAATATAAATTTTACTAGTGATGTAATGAATCGGTAAATATTCTTTATCTGTGGATGAAGTGGTTTCCTAAAGACATTAACAACGCCACTGCCATTTCATATGATTCATGAACGCAAGCGCTTTCACATTCTGCTGGACGTCATGTAATAGCTTCGATTAATAAATTTTAATCGCATTATATGTGTTTTATTTTATAATATTGTTTAATTTCTCTAATAAATTTCTTTTATTTATAATCTGTTGCGTGCATACCTGAAATGCACTTTTATTTATATGATATTTAGAATTTTATTGTTTAAAGTAGTAGATTAATAAAATACTGTTATAAATAAAAATGTTTAATTCACAAATACATAGATATTTACAAATGTTTCAGCTTATACAATGATCGGAATTCAGTTTTATATTCTACTTCTAGAATCTAATTATTTCAATATTGACTCATCCTAGTCTTTTTTTATATTTAACATCACCTTATTATTATAAATATTAATATAGTATAAATATTTATTAGATTAATTAACTATAACTTAGCAACTCATTTTTACACTGCTACTTTAATATGTACATTTTCCTGACTCTATGGACAAACAAACGTACTGAAATTCAAATAGTAGATACTTAAATAATAATTCAATTACAGAACCCAAAGTTATTTTATTGTCATTTTGTATAAAGTTTTACTAAATCTATATAATTAAAATGGGCATTTCAATGCCTTCTGTATTTTCAAGTACCTATTGTGTCTTAATATTTTCGCTGAAATTGAGTATAGGTACGCGTATGTGTCATGGTGACGTCAGCTGTCAAAATTATATTTTTAAAATATGAATTCACTTTAGTTTTAATTACTCATTTCTGTTGTTGATAATACAAGACAATTGTTATAGCAGTATTAAAATATATTTTTAATGAGTATTATAAATACCAAATTTTCATTTTATTTACATTTGCCACTTCTCTTAAAATTTATAGTCCAAGATATTGAAATTAATAGGTGAATGAAAATTCAGACCAAGTGAATATAAATAATCAATAGGATCTGAAAATGTATGAACCTTTGATTTATTGCCAATGCAATAATTTCCTACCAAAATGGAAGTGTTAATAAAATTTTCTTTCTACTGTTATTACAATATACGACAAGCGCTTTTGAGCACGTTCTTCTTTTTACCGGAACGATGCTTCGTCGGTCTCAGTAAGATGGTTCCGTTGCTGTTGTGGTTTGTAAATGTACCTGCAAATATTTTATTTCTTTATATGAGCAGAATAATTTAATTAATATACTTCACAGATTCCAAATAATCAGTACTTCCTTTCATAGAAGTTATTCTATGACTATGATTATGACTTTTCACATCTTAGATGGAGACTATAGACATAAAAAGTAACCATAAAAAGCCACATTTTTCAGGCTTTTACAGAATGAAATATAGAAAATTCAACGTGAGGTCTCAATGAGATAAACATTAAGCATTATCATACTCATTTGCCACAAATAGATTCTTTGTCAAGTATTCAAGAACACGATTTAATACATACATCTTCAGAAAGAGGTTTATATAAAGCATCATTTAATAGTGAGAATTATATATAACCTATAAGTGGTGTGGCTGTTGGAGGAGGTTCACTGTCAGCTCTCAGGTCGGCGAGGCAGCGCGAGGCTAGCGCTCGAAACACGGCGCCAACATTCACGTCCTCTTTGACAGACGCACGCATTAAGCGGCAACCCAACGCCCGGGCCACTAACTCCGCCTCGTCACTTAATATGAAATAAATACAAATTTTTTAACAACTAATATATAAAATAATGTCTTAATAATATTCATAATTTATTACAAACTTGAGTATGTATAGAATATATCAATTTAATCATTAATAATTAATATTATTATAATCTGTATGTTTAAACAATCATGTGTTGATTAAGTGACAGCTCGATAATCTTGACATTTTTAATGATGCAAATCTTTTATAGCAAACACATTATCATAATATATGTTTTTTGTTTTTTAAATTGAAACAAAAATATTATACTTACGGTCCGACCACACATTGATCCATGAGGTCAATTTTATTCTGGACTATTATTGTAGGAATTTCTCCGCATTCGTTTTCAACCTGGAAAGTCGTTTTTGAAAATGAGAATATGTTTTTTATTTATATACCTATATAGGTTAATGAACGACGGTTTAGTCTACTTAAGGATTATCTCTGTCTTTTCCTAATCTCTTTATAAGCGTGTATATTCTTATATTTTTTATTTTTATACTGTAAAAAAGATTTAAATAAAGTGTTCATTTTAAGACTCACATTTATTTAAAATAAATACTACAATAGTACTTTCAAAATCTTTTATTTAGTTACAAAAGTATGTTATATAATATAACCAATCTTATGCTTATAAATCTGTAAACTAAGTATTACTGAATACAAAGTTTTCTTACATATGAAGGTTACAGAATATAAGAGTTTTATATATAAGTATAAATCTCATGCCAGTTTACAATTAGGGCTGCCCTTACGTCCAGTCATAATATCTATATCTTCCACAATCGTTTCAACTTCTTCGTTAGTCGGTAGAGACCGCGCTAATAGAATACCTCTACCACCATTAGAACAATTGATGCCCATCACATAACCGTCGTCTACATCCACAAATATATAATCCGATATACGATCGCAATCCCTCATCTGATGCTTAACTTCTTCGCTTCCATAATAGTACAGATCTATCTTCTTCCCGGTACTGTTAGTATAGCTTGCTTTCAATAATATTTCGTCATTATTCACTTTATTATTACATCCTTCAGGCGGTGTTGATCTCTTGAAATCTATAACCGCGCAGCTATGCCGTTGTTCGCGTATCGGCGGCCAATAATACACAGCGTACCAAACACCTTCTAATTGTTTCAAATCGAATTCTTCACCAGTACGGTAATAATTGATGCACATCTCGTTTGGCAGAAGATTACATGAGACTTCGGTTGAGATGTAAATGAAGAATAATATGTAACACAAGCGAGCCATGTTAGCGGCGGTTATATTAATGTACCGGATATGAATACAGATATTGTAATATAAACAATGTGTTGAACTTTTGCACGCGATATAATGAATGAGATTAGAACACGCGTTCGGAAAGTTCGAGGAGATAAACATTGTCATTTAATAAAATAAAATATATATATAATAAATCTTTATATAAAAGAAAGTTGTGTTAGTTACACTATTTATTACTCAAGAACGGCTATATAGGTTTGGATGACAATTGGTGGAAAGATAACTTAAAACAAGAGAAAGGATATAAGATACTTCTCATCCGATTGAAAAAGACAAAATAAGTTGTTCAAACCAAAAATTCTCTCTGTTGTCTATAAGGAGCAATAAAGTTCGCCCGGTCATCCATACTAATAATTACTACTAATTATACTATTATACTACTAATAATTTATGTTTACCTTAAGTTTCCATGAATGCAAAGCTAAAAAGGAGTCTCTGTCTGTTGTTGAGAAAGCCAATACACACGCGTGTGCTCCTCTGTAATACGCCTTAGTTATAGCGTCGAACTCTTCCTGACCAGCCGTGTCCCAAAGCATCAGTCTCACTTCTTCACCATCGATACTGAAAACAATATAAAATAACGGACCACAGAACATTAACATTCCGTAATTTCTTATAACGAACGTAAATATTTAGAATAATATGTGACAATCATCTTTTTTCTAAACTATGTATGTATTCTAACTCATTTCATTGAATGTCATTAGGAAAGAACGCTTCTGGATAGCAAAAACTAGTTGTTGAGCCTTTCAAAGCAACACTATACGTACTATCGGGTACTCGTAATATCGCCTAGAGCTATAGCTTTGAAAAACTTTCATTGCACATCATATTAAATTATTAGAAAGTTATATTAATTATACGGAAGAAATATCATTATATTAGCAGTAGATAGGAACAAATTGATAAAATTAACTGTTTTCAATTTTAGTTTATACCCAAAAATCGTTAATTAATAAACCACACTTATTCTCTGAGAGTGAATTTAAAATATAATATTCCAGCTTTCTAAAGTTATAAAATATTATAATATATGCATTAGATATTCATGAAGCATCCTTAAATGCAAAAAATAAAATGATTCTGAATTTTTAACGGTTTCAATTTAAGAAATCATGTTAGTTACAGTTGAAAAATTAAATAAAAATTATTCAATATAATATTCTTAAGAATATATAATTAATTATTAAGTTAAAGTAACTGTAGAAGACAAAAAAAATATTTTATATTTCACGAAATAACGAAACTCGTAATTTTCGAATATGTATAATGAACGTGTCCGCACTTTATTTATTTATACGGAAATTTGGTCAAAAATTAAGTACCTATTTTTTTTACATAATTCGAATAAGAATCATGTACCGAGTATGCCCCTTAAATATTGATAGTAATTCACCAGTCACCCTGTATATATATTTAATATAATCATTATTATTTGTCAAAAATTAAATCATTTATGAAATGCATATTGTAATACTTTTCTTACATTGCACGCAAATTCAAAATTAAAATTTAAAATATTGCTTTACGTCGATAAGAATTTTAAATTATATTGTCAAATTTAAATGAAACTAATGTTATTCGGATTTCTACGCATAGGTATTGTATAATTTTCAAAACATACTCACGATGTTTCGGTTACTTTTCAGCAACCGTGATCACGGGCACACGAGATGTGAATCTCACGTGTAGTTTTAAAATAATAAAATACGAATAATATTAGTATCATTTAAATTAATACTCGCTAAAGTCTTAGATTTCATTATATATCAAATTATTTGTAATCTTGTCAATAACTTACTCGATCTGTCGCTCTAGAAAGTCCACCCCGATGGTTTTCTTGTAATCCCTAGTGAAGGTTCCTCTACAGTATCTTTGTATCATACTAGACTTGCCAACACCACCGTCGCCGACGATCACAACCTTCAGAGCTACCTCCAGCTCTTCTTCCCGCATCCTCGCTTCTGATCACCTTTCATTAGTAACTGGAAATAAATACAAAATATCTTTACCATGTCTATAACAGTCTATTGAAGGTAGAAAATGGTTGAAATCCTACTAATAATTGCGAAAGTTTGCGAGTGTGTGTGTATGTTTGTTACTTCTTCACGCTCAAACGGCTGAACCGATTTTGATAAAATTTTGTATACAGGAAGCTGACGTCCAGGAATAACACATAGGCTACTTTACATCCCGGAAATCGGTAACACCGCGGGGCGCAGCTAGTATTAAATTGCATTTAGTGAATGAGTTCTAATAAAAGTTTGGTTCAATAATTTTCGTACATCAAACTTCAAACGCATTTACTTTCTAGAATCGGTATATATATCACATTTTTAGCAGGTGGTCTGTATGTTAATAGAATTACGTCAACATTAATGTTATATGAACGGTAAAAAGTGAGCCGTCTCGGTATATATTCTAAGATAATAAATTTATTTTGATCTCAAAGCGGTTGTTTGTTGTACGAGTACCGTGAAACCTGTTCCACCAGCACCTGTTACGTACAAACATAAGACTGATCGCCTGCTCTGATTTAGATAGAACTAAGAGATTAACATAAAACATTCATTCCTAAAGAATTTGCGAAGGAAATTTCTAAAAAATCTCTTTCGAGGTATTAAGAAATTTTATAGCTTTTTTATTGCGTGAAATTCGCTAAGGCAGATCTAGTTTTCTATTCGTCTCGACTGGTTTCATAAAAATTTAAATTTAATAATAAAATACACTTTTTAAAGAGTTTATTTTATATTAATAAGGAATAGAAAAATAATTTTATTATAATGAACCATTGATATGCAATCATTCCAATTAAAAGTCAAATAAACGTTGTTAATTTCTGTTTGTTTTGTTTAATTTCATTACTTTTGGGTTTTGCATTCGTTAATCCGAAGAAATATTTTCTGTAGCAAAACACTTGTCGATATCAGAAAGATCTTTTCAATTAAACGTGTAATTTTCAACTGATTTAATTTATTTTACGTTCGTTTAGTTAAATTTATCGATTTTATACAAAAACGTCATTTACATCTAGTTTTGGCATCGACGAAATCATTCATTTTAGTTTCTTAAATTGATGAAGCCCAGGTAATATGTACTGAGTACTCAAAGAGAGTAGTGTTTATAGTTTTCTTTGGACAATAATTATTAATTAAAAGAATGTTATTAGATTTTGTTATAGACTTCACCAATTTATATATGTAGGTGACGTAAAAAATTTTCTGTTTTACCATTTCATTTATTGTTCGAAAGTTGATGGGGTTTGAAATAAATTATATTTGTTGATTATTATTTGTGATGTTTTCTTTGTCTCTCTACTAATGAAATATTGAATATTAAGTATTCATATAGTTGGAAGGAATTTAAAAGAAATGCCTATTAGAATTTACAAGTTTAGTAGTACAGACGAAGGACTCTTCGTCTTAGACTTCGACTGAAGACGAAACAAAAATTTCTCATTACTCCATGTATTCACCGTGCGGGTGCCGGGTCCATCGTTGTAGGGAGAGGAGCTTCAACAGTGCCTGGGACTTGCGACCCAGGTGTAGGTTTAAGCTCCTCTCTTTACCATATATAATTATTAAACTATGAATGAGAGATGTATCAAAAATGTGTCTGCTATACAGTAAAGACCTACCTATAACATAAGTCATAACTAACAAGTATAATAAAAGGTGAACTTGCCGAAAAAACTGTTATTAGAACTTAAGGAAAAATTTTTACTTAAAATATTTTAAACAAAGTTGCAATAAAATAGAGAATATTTTATACTGATGCTTATTTTGAAACAAAAGCCAAAATAAAAATATTGGAAGTGGGCATATGGGTGGTTATTACTTATTTTTTCAGGTTTTTCAACATTTGGTTCCACAAAACTTAAATTCATAAACAGATAGGTAATTAAAATTGATATTAAAATAATTAATTATAATACCTACTAATATATTATTTGAAAAATAAATAAGAATCCCACATAACACTTTAAATTCGTCACTTGAATTTTATGTTTTTTTAATGTATCAACCTACATTCTAATCACTAAGATCGGTAGAATTTAACGATGTTAAATTTCCATTTGGCAAAAAATTTGTTAATCCCTTTTCCAGTTATGAATAAACAACAAACAAGGTCACAGACAATCACTAGTTGAGACTAAAATATCAATAGAAAAACATTACGACGGACGACGGACAAGGAAAAGTAGGAAAGATTTCTTTTATTTGTCGTATTTAAATAGATATTAGTATATCATATAAACTACTAGCTTTCCGCCCGCAGCTTCGCCGCGTGGAGTTCGGTTATATCGCGTTTCCAAGAGAACCTTTCAAAAGTCTGGGATAAAAACTATCCTATGTTCTTTCTCAAGGTCAACTCTATCTCTGTACCGAATTTCATTAAAATCAGTTCAGTGGTTTAGGCGTGAAAGCGTAGCAGACAGACAGACAGACAGACAGACAGACAGACAGACAGACAGACAGACAGACAGACAGAGTTACTTTCGCATTTATAATATTAGTAGGGATAATATTTAGTTATAACATTTTATTTATTTTTTTACAAATAATAACACTTATAAATCATTTTAATAATGCTAAAGAAATCCAACGCAGATAATTTTACTTTCGAAGACGCGTTTCTCCAACCTCGGAATTTTGCTAGTCATGTGACGGATGCGACGCCATTAATGCTTTATACTTCTAATTTGTTCAATCTATGATAGATGTCAAATTAAGTATCATGGCTGCGATCTTATTTGTCAATATAAAAGGGAAACGAGTATTTAAAATTAATTAAATGTTTAATGTATGTAAATAATGTACATTTAAATTGCTTCCTAAATTTTCCTGACATCCAAAGTTCCTTATGTTTCCTTAATAGAATGTAAAACTTAAAGTCATATGTAAAAGTACGTCTGAGTCGGTTTTAGTTGAAAGTATGTCATTGCAATGAGGGAATGTTTGCCGATGTTAGGTAAACTCGACCATGATCTATTTTGTTACGGTTCGTAATTTCTCCTTAACTGGCTTTAATTTATAAATCAATCAACTATTTGACAGATTCTTTGTATAATGCCAATTAAATTTAATGGTGTTTACAATAGTTGTCTCTTCCCATACCTAATATATTAGTTTCGATAGCAAAAGATAAAATTATCTTGTGTGAATTAATTGTTACTGGATGCGTAACTTAGTATTTACTTTAAACTAAACCTTCAAATGGTTTGAAATGCTGTCACATTGCCAGAGCGAAATATAAGTTGTTAATTGTTGTGCCACCGTAGGTTTTTCTGGTGGTCACTAGAAAACTACTGAAGGTCGAGTCAGAGGTTCTTTTCTGCCATACATCACAAAAATATCCATATATTTTTATAGAAGAAGAAGAAGATTCCGCAGAAGAGAAATACGATGTGGGACGTCCATTTTACTATAGGACGTACGTCTTTTTTTAGGCCCTAATAATTCTCGTGTCCCAAATATATTGCAATTACTCTAAACAGTTGTCCGAACAATAAACATAAAATAAAATAAAAAGGAATATTGATTCGAAAACCTAAAGACACTTGGTAGAACCTAGCAAGGGCCACCTTTTTTAAAGTTATAAGAAATTTTACTAGGTGAGAGATATACAACTTATACAGTCAATATTAGTGCTCAAGAAGTAGAAAAAAACCATTAACATAAAACATTTTTTTTAAGGATTAAAAATATTTGACATAGCGACAGCATCGTTATACCAATAAACTCTAAGATCCACGATACTACATATAAAAACCGAAATCAAATCTAAAGCATTGAATGAAATTGACAACATATTTCAAATCTTCATGAGCGACAGTAACAATTTATTATCAGATGGGATTCCAGCCCATCTAAGTTTTTTGCGACGAGACAACTTGTGTGTCGCAATTATGCCAACATTACTAAGAAGGTCGTAGGGCTCATTAATTCAACGGAGTTGCTACAATCTGTACGAGAATGATAAATAGACAAACACGTGCCTGACTGCTTTAATACGAACGTGCAAAAATTCTCCGCTTATCACTTTCAAAGTTACCTTATTGAGATATGATTTAATTTAAATGTTTATTCCTATTTAATATGTCATTTTTGCTTTTGTTTTTGACTCATGAATAGTTTTCGACGTGTGTTTTGGTTGTTATATGTGTAATTATGAACTTTCTGTTCTATTTCCTAAATTTAATTTAACAACCAATATCGATTAATAAATGGTACCGATGCTAGTCGCTGAAACCGGTGCAATCATTTCGTAGTAAGTCGTACACTGACTAAAAAATAAGGTAAGTAGTTCTTCAACGATACATAAATAAGATTTTATAAACAGATATAAAACTTATGAGACGTTGAAACCAATCAAGCGTTTCCATTTAAAAGTATAATGATGATAAAGTAGGTGCGGCGTTGAGTTACAAGTCTCCGTTCAGAGAATCATGAACGACATTAGCATTCATTCAATTGTTGACCGTAATTTCAGTCCGAGTCATTCACTTACTGTGGTCGAGATATTGAAATCAAATTACCGATACTGTTAGCTGTTCAATAAATAACACGACGATTTCTTATTTTTCCACATTACGTGTTACGTGCATAATAGATTAAATTATTATTTGTTTTTTTTTCTTCAAACGGACATTTTCGATATATTTTTTAAATTATTCTTGTACTCCCTACTCATAATTTCTCTTTTAAATTTCTTTAATCAATCGTCTCCTATAAATACTTTCTACAGGATTTATATTTCTATATAAATTTATATATATCCAGAGAAAATCATTAGAATATCTAATAAGATTTTAACGAGAGTTTTCTCAGTGATTAGATCATCAATCACGATTGCAAGCTAACTCAGTAATAAATCATAATACCAGATGTACTTATGTGAATATTCCGTTTCTTTAATATTATTTGAATATCAAAAAATATACAATAAAAATATTC